CGTCACATTCCCGCAGAAACTGGTTGATCACACCGGGGCCAGACTACTAGCATGTGGTTTTACAACCACAATGTCCTCAGAAGCAAAAACGCTTTTAAAAGGGAGGGAGGAGTCCTAACTGTTGCTGCAGGCGTGTTGTGTGAGAGTGCAGTTATATACTGGTTAATATATTTTTGGGTTCAGTTGCTTTCATGTGGCCTAATGTGAGTCTATTTGGGATCATTGGAATGATCAGCAGCATTTCTTGATGTGACTTTATGGCAGTTGCCCAGGGCATCATCGCAAGGAGGATGGCATTCATTTACTTTTGTTTTATTTGGTATTTTTTCAGTCATTTTTGGAAATAGTGATCAATTTTGATTAATTCACAGCCTATGTTTAATTACATTTAAAATAAATGTCAACAGATGAGATCAAACAAAACAGATGAGAATTGCCCTTAAGCTGTTTAACTTGGACCAAGCATTTTAGGTCACAGATAGATGTAGCTTAGGGTCTCTGTCTATACACCTTATAAGACAATTTAGGTGATGGCATGTTGTTTTTCTGCTATTGAACTGTTTTCTAATAATGTTGTGTTAAATAAAGTGAAGGAAGGAGAGAAATAACGTTTCCCTAGCAGTTTTTAAAAATGTCCCCATGTAATCCGATTAATCGATTAATCGTGTCGAGACCCCATCCGATTAATCGATTATCCAAATAATCGTTTGTTGCAGCCCTACTGTGAAGTAAAGTTGAAGTGCTGAAGTTATGCAAACTAATTTTGAATAAAACTTGAAGAATAACTGGCAATTGCTTGCTCATTTTAAGAGGTCTTTCATAATTATAACATGCTATTTGATATCAAATCACTTTTATTGTCACGTCACATGTGTAGGTACACTGGTACAGTACATGCGAGTGAAATTCTTGTGTGCGAGCTTCACACCAACAGAGTTGTGCAAAAATACAGTAATGTAAAAACAAGTAAAATATAAAAATGGCTAATCTAAGTATACAAATGAATAAAGTAAACAATAAGATAAGAGATATAAAATGTACAGAGGTTGGTATGTGCAAAACAGTGGCATTAATGTACAGTATGGAGCGTGTAATGTTGGAACTTGGTGGAGCTCGCGACGAGGCAGCCATACTCGGCGCCATCTTGGCTCATCAATATATGATATAATGGTTTACAAACACAAAAGAGTAATTTATTAGAGTACTCGATTAATCGAAAAAAAGATTCGATAGAGTACTCGATTACAAAAATATTCGATAGCTGCAGCCCTAATATATATATACACACACATATATATAAATGTGATTTTTAACATTTACACTAATTTTTCTAGTGTCAAGACCTACATTTCTGTTTTTAATATGTAACATTCAGAGTGCTCACATGGACATTGTATTGTTTATTCTATGATCCTATTTAGATTTCAAATAGGGTCATTTTCAGTCTACACAGAAGTCAATGAGTGTATAAAATCTTCTAACCCTCTTAAGAATTGTACTTAGTCCAGCTGTGTTCTTCCGGCAGCTGCTGTGTTTTAGTTATTGATGCCCTTTCCCCAGCATAGTTTAATTTTGAGATATGTGAAATTTTTTCATGTGTAGATGAGGGGAACGGCTCTCTTTGGCGTTCTTCTTTTCTTTGTTAGTGTCTCTGCACTTTCATTTTTTACTCATGAGAAACTGAGAGTTCTCAAATGTATTTTTAGGAGGATATGGGCAGAAATGCAGAAGAGGAGCAAGGATACGAATTTGCATTAGAAAGTTTCATTTTTTTGAGTAAATGTGTTTCTGAATTTCAGAAGCGTAAACTAGTAAAGTATCAAGTAGATTATCTGTTTAAATGGGAAGACCTGCTGCATGTTGTTGTTAGAAATGTAGATCATCTCAGTCGTAAAATGTTAAAATATAAAATAAGCCATGTGTGTTCATGGCTTAGTGTGCATTGTGTTTGAGAAGTCCCTGGTGACTAACAGGGTTAAAACAGCAGGGCTGTATTATTGTATATTGTTCAGTATTTCATTAACGGTGTTGACTCTCTGGAGATTTTATCTGGGATCATGCTTTGTGTCTGTGTGACTCACTTTTCTAAGGGAAGGAAGAAGTCGAGTAGACAAATAGCGTGCTCTGTTAGAGTTGCCCGGGGCAGTGTTCCTGTAAAAACGTAGACATGTCTGCAAGTTTGTTCAACGTATCTGCCTGGCTTTTGCTCACCAAGGCGAGTGACTCAGGCCGTCTGTCTGTTCCCGATATCTTTCTGTGTAATTATAGCCTAGCTAACCTTAAAGGGGTGTTGCATGCTGGGAGGAGAAATGCATTTTGGTTCTCCAGAGAATTCATCTGTTGTTACTCACCCTTTTCTTTATGTTCTTCTGCGCCTCGTACTGTGTCTGAATACCAGACTGCTCATGGTTTTTGGTCATTTTAACGTGTCTGATTGTGTTGCTGAAATTTAGCTGGTACTTATTCTTAATAAACATTTGTCTCTGTTTGGCATTAGCTTTTCTTTTGTACTCAGGAAATAATTTCTACCATCATAGTTAGGATTATTGCAGCATCTGTTATATTTATAGAAGAAATCCGCTTTTTGTCTTTAAAACAAATTATTCTTAATGTTAAAATAGTCAGAAACAATATATGTTTGCATCCTGAAATAAAATAATGTGTTCTCCTTTTGTAGATTATGTTGGAATGTATTTTATATAATTGCTATTTAATTTATGTAAATGGTTAAATTGCTGCATAATTAAGTAAAGGGTCATTTTGAGTTCAGGTTGAGTGTTTTTCTGTCAGATCGAACCTGTAAAAAGGGAAGTCTTGTTATTTTAACAACTTAACTCTCACTTTGTTACCCAGCCATGAATAGTAAGCAGTCATCTTCCTTTATCTTGCTTGCACTCAACAATCTACTTAAATTGTGATATTCATGTGGTTAAGCTTAGGGCCGTGCGATCTGACAATATAAGATCGTTAAGGATTATAAAGCGATGATGATCTACCAAAGCTCAGAGATCTTAGAACCACCAATTAGCATTCTATCACCTGTGCCATTATTTCTGGGCACACATTTTTTCTCAGCCGCCATTTGCCAGTCAGCTTCTGTTGGAATGACAGACACACCGATTAGCCAATCAGAGCAAGTTTAAGGCAGCATGTTGGTTTGTTTAGCTGGGGTGCTCGGTAGAGCTGAGGAAAATAATTTAATAATCGATGCATTAAGATGTGGACATAAACAATTTAGAATATTTCAAGAAGCACACCCTACTCGACTATGGCCGCTAGCATTAGCCACTAGCTTGCCCAGTCTCTAAGCCGTCGTTACATGTATTCACACGCGTCTGCTCGATCAGGAAACCTCTGGGCCAATGTTCTGCTCTAACATTTGCATTTGGCTTTGTAGCTTTTACTATCTGGCACATTTGTGTGTGTTTTAGTGAGGGTTTTCACCATGGCTGCCGACCGGAGCTTTGTTTATGCCAAACCCCTCCCCCATGTAGTCAGGAAACAGCTACGGAGAGCAATGAGGCCCAAATAGTGGGAGTGTAATCCTGACTACAGGATGCAGGAGATAAGGATGCATCATGAATTAACCAAACATTATAGATTTTTTTCCCCTCTGGACAAGAAATAATTACCTGTAATATAGTGGATTATATGATATGATATAAGCCATCTCTATACAATATTTCAATTATTTTACATTAATTATAAATGTATAATTAAATGAAAGTGTCTGTGGGAAATTTGAGACATGTATCTCTAGCTCTCAACTGTGATTAGATAGATAGATGATGGATGGATGGATGGATGGACGGACGGACGGACGGACGGACGGACGGACGGACGGACGGACGGACAGACAGATATTGGAAATTTAAGGTTGTTTTAGATTCTGAAATCTTTCACCCTATTTTCTGTGAAGGGGTACTTTTTTAAATGATTTACTTTACTGATAAATATTTTCAAAACATTGGAATTGTCGAAATAGAAAAAAATCGTGATTGAAATGAAGCTTACGGGACTATGAAGTAGTAATAATGATTTCATTTTGATGGTGCAAAATTGTAGTTATTTCTTGATCACCTAATAATACTAAAACACTGATTGGAATCACTTTCTTGCTTGGAAAGTGGTTACTGATGACTCCAGGAACAAAATGTAGTACGCATTTAATTTTTAAACTTTTGATTGACATAGAGAGCAGTAGTCAGCCATAGAGCAAGGACTTCATCTTTTCTTCCTCTGGTGTCATGCAGATCACATTTGTCACTGCAATCTAGCAGCTTTCTGCAGTATAGACCCATTATTCTTTTCTACTGCTGATCCTGGCATGATTGTAGCCTCCCCCCTCTCCTCAGCTTTTTAATTAGACAACAAAACAAAAATATGAATATTCATAGAGCTCTGCCTCATTAATATGCACAATTATGCAAATCGGGGTGCAATTAAGCTTCAGATTTCCCCCAGAGATGTTGTTCTGTTCTATGAGAGGGGATTTGAGAGCGAGGGGATGGGCACAAATATTTAAAACCTCTTCTTTTTGCAACACGGTCATCTTTCTTAAAGCTGTTCCAATCAGGAATAGCACGTCAGTCATGAGATTTTGAGAGCACGAGTCTGTGCTAAGGCAAAGGTGTAGGCCAAGTGTGCGAGAATAAACGGGCTATGAATGACTGTTGCCATGGAAAATGTAAAGGAGTGGAGTGGGAGAACGAAGAATGTCGAGGATGATTCTGGAAGCTTCATACTGGGTGTTAATTATTCAAACTTCCTACAGCTCATATCCACACTATGTGACAGCACTGTCGCTCAGCTGTCTGTGTGAGCTTTGATGTGAAGCTCCTCTGTGGAGGTTACTTTGAGGAGCCTGAAAAACCTGTATCAAAGCAGGTCGTCAATCTCTCAAGTGAGACATGTCTTGCAAAACAAGGGTATAAATCTCAGACAGCAGTGTTTTTCCTATTAACTGACTAAAGCCACTAACTAAACTCTTTGTCTTCCAGGTATAGATGAAAGGACTGGGTCCAGTCCTTGGGGACCAGGAGGACAGAATAGTCCATCTTTCAACCAGGCAAGGGTACGATTTATTAACCCCTTAAATTTCCAGGTTTAATGAATGCAATGGGGTTTTGTCCCATGGGCAGGACACTGGAATGCTAAAGGGTTAAAGCTGAGAAATTCATTTACCGAGTTTGAATGACATGTAACACACACACACACACACACGTTTGTTTTTCTATCCATCCATATTAGAACTTTGTATTGACTTTTATTCATTTTAGTAACTGCATTCATGCCTAACCCTAACCAATGTATTCCTAAACCTAACTAACAAAAACTCGATTCACATATTACCTCTAAACCTCACCCCTAAGCCTAAAACAGGTGGTCCACCATATTAGGCCCGGGTTTTGGTCCCAATAAGGCCCATCAGTCTTCAGTAGATTAGTTAATATGCCAGTTTTGGCCCAAGTACACACACACGCACGCACACACACACACACGCACGCACACACACACACACACACACACACACACACACACACACACGCGCAGATGTATGTGTGTTTGTACAGAACAGCGTTTGACACGATGACATGCTCTATCTGACCACCTATGTTGTCACGGGTAAACGCTGAGCTGTCACCTGATTTTCTGCTTTTAGTTTCATCTGGTTGATTAATAAAGTAAAGCTCAGAGTTTAATACCAATTTTACTTTGCTGTATTGTTACTCCACTTATTCAGAATATTAATGACATTGTTCAGGCTTTTTATTGTTGCTCTAAATTCATTTTCATCCACTTGGAAAAGGTTCAAATCTCATCCCTGTTTCTTAAGCCCCCTTCAGACAGGCCATGAAAAATGGAAATGTTCAGGACTCTGTCCGTAAGACCTTTGTGTCTGAATACAAACGTCCGGATAACGTGTTCCGGAATTTATCCGGACGACACCCCTAGTAACAGGTCCGGACTTGTTACGGACAGGGTGGCTGCTTCAAACTGGTGAGGTAGAGTTCCGGACAAGGGGGAGGGGGAGGAGGTGGGGACCGGGGGACGCTGTGCGCACCTAGATAGCCCGCTGCTGTAGCATGCGGCAAACCATGGCAGCTTGCATCCAATGGTACCGTCTAGATGTGCAACGGAGCGCTTCACACCGCTTCCGCGATTCCTTTAACCATTGAGCTTCATCATCCAGGTCTCTTATGCATCTTCGTGTACGCAGAATTATGCTTAACGTAGGTCCGATCCCCCCCCCCCCCAAGACATCTGGAACTTTTCCCTGCTGTGTGAAGGCAGCAGCCGAAAGGACAAGTTCCGGTACAAAAGTGGTGTGTCTGAAAACACAGTTCTGGTTAAAAAACCGGACTGAATTGTCCACACACATTCCAGAATGTCTATCTGAAAAGGGTTTTGGTGTCACATTACAAAACATTCCTGCCTCAACATTGATTCTGAGAAGATTATATCAGTTACCTAAAACAATTTTACACATAACCTGCCTTTGTTTATACTGTGCGCGCTCAGTGCACCAAAATAGCTGTGTGTGTTGATTTAAATATAAAGAGCTCATTAACTATAATCTATGTCATACTATGAACGGTTTTATGCTTTCGCTTTTAATCGAGGTGACAAAACTTTATTCCTACAGCTAGGGTTGGGCATCAAGCATCGATTGGAACCGGTTCCAACATTTTTTCTGGAATCGTTTGAAGTTTTTTATTTCGACTCCTAGTTTCGATTCCTAGAATGCCGACGGAAGAGGAATCCGCGGCCGATCTCCATGAAAAATAAACGTGATCTGCACATTGTGATCAACGCTTTTCAGAGCTGATCACACCAGCTGTCTGTGTGCAGCACCGAGTACCCCCTCCCCCCCACCTGGCGCATAACGGCCAAATATAAACAAACGCGTCTGCCAAACGTTTACTCCCGAGTCGTAATGTAAACTTTAACTCCTGCAGCGTAGAGGAAACTTGTTAAAAGATGTCAACACAGTGGATTTAATAGAAGTTTTAAAGAACAAACTCTGGACGGTGAGAGGTGAGTTTGTCTCACTGCAGAAATAAAAACACTCACAGAGCGTCAGCAGTCAGACACGTGAGCGTCAGAAGGCTGAACAATAACCTGTAGAATAATTAAAGTCGTCATGCTAGAGCAGCTTTCTCTGGACCACACCAGCTTCTGCCACAATAAATAATAATAATAATAAATCACACACAAAGTTGTGAACATTTTAATTTCCTTTCTGAACTATTTCTGTTGAGAGTTTTAATGTTTAAAATCAGTTAGATTGGTACTGACAGCAGCTACATTTAAGTTTGGCTGCTGCAGCATGGAGGTGTAGTTCTCAGTCATCCTGGACATGATCATCCTGAGAGTTGTAGCTGAAAACAGCTGCACGTTTCTGGATATGTTGGAGACATTTAGCCTCTCATCCCGGAGGCTTCTTCCAGACTTTGGCTGTGGACAGAGACAAACACACTGATTGTGCTGCAAGTCTTTTTCTTTTTTTTCTCCAAAACATGTTTTTGTCTAAATGAAGGTGATGTTGTTGTTCATAGAATTAAAATTCATGTTGAAGTTAAGATTATTTCATCAAGTAGGACCTGCAGTTAGCTGGCTCATGTAAAACATGTCATGTCTTGAAAGAATCAAAATCGGGAATCGATAGGAACCAGAACTGAAACGAGGAATTGGAATCGGAAATTAAACTATGCCCAACCCTACCTACAGCTGTGTATGTAGATATTAGGATACATAACGAATTGTTTGGCTCACTGTTCAGTTATTTGTTGTTAAAACACAGAAGACCTCACTACATTTGTTTTTAGTTAATCTTTTTGTTTTGTTTTAGTATTTTTATTTTGTAAAACAAATATACAATGTTTAGTATTAATCTGTGAAGAAATGTTATTGTCAGATCTTTTCTCTTTTCATTTTAAATGAAATTCAACACAATAAAGTAGGGATACTCGATTTGATCGCGTAATTTTAATAGGATCAGGAGAAAAAGATCAGATTAAACCTTTTAAAGCAGCAAACATGACATTGTAGGATCCTCCCGAGTTAGAGATTTTCAAATGGAATAACAATGGCTTAGTTTTGAGTTCAGCAAGTTTCTGTATATTCATATTCTTAATTTCTTGTACAAAAATAACAAAGTAAATTCACACAATTTACGCTAGGCAGACACCATGCTGCGGCTGTTAGCAAGCAGGCTAACGTCTCCTCAGGAGATCTATAATGTCTGCAGCTTAGTGGTAATTTAAACCGGACAGAAGAAGAAAGTATCATTTCTATAGCGCCTCTCAAGATAAAAATCACGAGGCGACAGCGAAGGCAGAACAACAGTATTCAACATGCTGGAAACAACTCCCATGATTGGCTGCTTTCAAAACAGACTTCTTTCGCTTTTGGCTTTTCCCTTCGGGTGTCAACAAAGCGAATCACTAGTAGTGATGGGATTTATGGGTTTTTCATGGGAGCCGTTCATTAGTCGGTCGTTTATCTCAAAGAGCCGTTCAAAAGACTGGCTCCTTTGAACGAAGTTTACATACATATCTATGGTTCCTCCTACGTCTGTCACAGCAGTGGGTGGGGTTTGAGCGGGTGAGTTTGACCGACTTCCGGGGAGGTTTGTTAAGATGAACGGCTCTCTGCATGGACTCGGCTCTCATCATTCACTTTGAAAACCCGTTCAAAAGATTTGATTCGTTCGTGAACGTCACATCACTAATCACCGGTCTCCATTAATTCCCAGTTTGCCACTAACAGTCCCAGTTTACAGCAAACACAGACAAAAATGCAGAGCCAGCTGACAGAGAAAAATACACAAATAAACAAAGAAAAATTGCCAAAAAACTACTAAATTTCCTGCAGCACCTGAGCAGCTCTGGTAGTTACAGGTGTTATGCAGGGAAGCATTAGCTTACCATCCGAGGCTCCGCCTGCTTAATCCGTCTCATGAACACACACCACTAAATACAGCTGCATATTGAGGGAGTAAGCAAATGAAAATAAGAGCAACAATTCTACTTTTACATATATTCATATTATAAACATGTTTTAATCAGTGTACTTCCTAAAAACGTGAACGTGAAACTTAAAGGACAACTTGAATGTGTTTTCTTCTTATTTCCATGCTTTCCTGAAAATTGTTTATTTTAATGCTTTGCTGAAAAGTATCGGATCAGGACTCGTTATCGGCAGATACTCAAAATTAAGTGACTCTGAATTGGATCAGAAGCAAAAAAATGTGATGGGAATGTCCCCACAAGAACTATTTCTTTTGCTTTACCATATTCATACAAACTGACTTATTTGCTGTTTTAACTCTTTGTTTATATAAGTTATGTCTCTCCTGTCGTCCTCCCAGGGTTATGAAGAGGGTCTTTACAGTGAACGTGAGAACCTGGCCTCTACCCCGGTGTTTGAACCAGGCGTTGTTGGTAAGAAAGATGAAACTATCATGAGCTCTTGAAGTGTAGATACCACATCTGTTCTGTCACTTATTTTTTAAAATAAACCAAAGTGAATGAAGGGAATTTTGTTCAGTGCTGGACTACATGATGAAGCAGTGTGTTGACTGGAACACACACTTTGTGTCAGAGCAGAACAATGAGGTGTTTGAGAGAGCAGCCGTTCACTAGTTACACACTTCTGTTGTAGTTTAGGGTAAAGCATATTTCAGGATGGAGCTAGTAGGGTAATCAGGGAGGATGTGGAGGAGGGGTGTGTGTGTGTGTTCAGCGTGGGAGGGGTCGGGGTGTAAAGGGCACCCATGCACAAACACGGCTCTCCCTGGGGAGAACTGTGGACTACAGCTCTCCTCTGTTAAACTGTCATGGGAGGGGGCAGAGGTTGAGGACAATTGCCCCTGACGCATTTCTAAAGGGTCTGTTTGTTTTGTTTTTGCTGTCCACGGTCATAAATAACATTTTATAGATTCACATAGCAGATGGGATGGGAAATGGGGAAAGGACAAGACCATGATTTAATATTGACATAAAATCCTAATTTTACATATTTCACCGCCAACAGGGAAGGCTGATCGGGGACCATACCCACCATTTGGAGCACAGGTAAATCAATTCCAAAAGGCATCAGCATTTCTTCTAAAGAATCACATCATCTTCTAGATTTTGTATTTGCTCATTATATTTAATTTTCTTCAATTCAGAATAAACACAAGTGAAAATAAATGTTTAACTTGCTCATGTGGGAATGTGCTGCCAGTGTTGAAGACGATGTGTTAGCATTATAAAATCTGGCAAGGGGGTGCCACGAGGATCTATAGCTATATATCCATACCTGAATGAAATCAATGGGAACTGTGGTTCTCTCGACAGCTGCAGAGCTCTATAACCACTGCACTGTGGCATTTTCTAAAATAATGTTGTTTTACTATATTAGAAAACAAGCAATCCTCCTGCAGCCACTACGCAAAACTGTTCATTTAACACTAATCCACTGAGCGTTAATCTGATTGTCTGGGCAAGTTGCTGCGGTGTCACCTTTTACCTCATTTTACCCCCAAAGGGGAAAAAAAATCTGTTGTTTACCTGATTTCTCTGCAAGTTAATTGACCTCACTGAGGTTTGCAAATTCCACCATCCTGGATGCAATTTCACAACAAAGGACAGGGGAGATGGTTAGTTTGTCAGACACACGGCTGCCTAACATGATAGGTCTCTTAGCATGTTTTCATTTCCAACATTTAAATCTATCAACTTGTGAATTTTCTATATTTGAACTGTAAAGATGTTCTCTGAGCCTGTGCTTTAATTGTTCTTTGCCATAGCCGGGTTTTCTGCCCAGTGAGATGCCGATTTCCAGCCCAGATGGCACCTCTCCGTCTACTGTTAAGTCTCAGTTTTATTCATCTTACGAGGGCAACAGCACTCGCAGGAGACCCTCACAGGACCCCACTGGTAAGATCGTTTGAACGTTTTTGTTGATAAAGAAAAATCTGGTGTGTATGTTTACATTTGTGTGTACCACATTTTCTCTTACGATCTCAAAAAGCGGTCTGAGAAATCGCAAAAGTGACATCCCCTGGTTCTGAATAAGGGACAATGTTGAATAACATCAGCCTGATTACTTTCTGAACGGGGTTTAATGAGCAGTTATGGATAGATTAGTTCAGCAGGGCTTTGGCAGGAAGGAAGCACTAAGGGTGAAGCCTCTCATTACCTATTGTGCAGTTTGTTTTTCAGTAAGTTTAGTTTTTCTGTCTGAGGAGTCTTATAAGATTTCCTATTTTTCTCTCTCCCTGCAGAATCACAGCCAAGAAAGATCAGGAAGGTGCCCCCCGGCCTGCCCTCCTCAGTAAGTACAAGCATCCAGAAAAGCCTCAGCCTTGTACTGGATCCCGACCCTTTCATTCATTCCAAGAGACCCCATTTTTTGTTCTTTTAAGCCCCTTTTTGCATTCGGTTTGGCTTCTGAATCCTTTCCCTGACTTCCACAGCAATATAATAGCAGCAAAGCAGACCTTCCAGGTCCTACAGCTGTGCATCTGCAGCAACAAATTCAAAAAGAAACAGTGTGGAGAAGCCACTCATTTACCAACTCACTCATTTGCTAGATGTATTTATAATGTGTTGTATTTGTGGGCTCTTTGCTTTGTGGCCACATTTCGCTCCCTCTGCCAAGTCCACCCATCATGCAGGGGGTTGATGGTTCCCACTCAGCTTTTCTCCTCCCAGTCTCTGCCTATCTGGACACCCTATTTCCTTTTCTCCCCAACTCCCCACCCTGCCTCACACACCCTCCCTCTCTTTCCCTCTCCACCACCACAAACAACAGCCCTCCCCGTTCTCCTGCTCCCTCCCCCATCCCTCTACCCCAGCTGCCAGTGGGGTTGGCCGCCGTCCAGGATTCGGCAGATGGTTCAGTAATTAGGAGTACATCTCCCCGTTCCTTCTCCTCTCCCCTCTCTTTCCACTTCTTTTTCACAGTTGAATCAAATTACAAAAGAAAACTTTGGATTATTTTGATCTAAAATTGTCAGAAAAAGTTTGATTTTTTTTTTTCAGATAAAGATGGCCAAGAACAACTGTTATTTTCTTAAACCCATAGTAATTTATTGGGTCACTTTTTACTTAATTATATAAAACAATGAATTATGCATCTCAGTGTCTAATGTGTTTATAATTTAAAAAACTGGCTGATATGTTAGATGTGAGCCCAAAAAGAGCACTCGCACTGGACACCGTCCTGTGTTCAGGTCTGAAGAAATGCTGAGATGGTGTGGTTATTCAATTAGGCCGTAAAACCAGATAGTAAAAATAGACCAGGAAGGAAAGCCAACTTTTTGGAGCTCTGTTTAATCAGGTATTCAGTGCGTTTACATCGTCACTCAGTCAGGAAAGACACTATTTTTAAAGGGAAATAGATTTTCAGTCAGCCCCCTGGCTCAGCATGATCCTTCAGTGAAAGGTCAACACGCTTTTCAAAGCTGCTGCATAGTTTTCTTGGAACAAGTTAAACGTGTTTACTTCGATTCGACAAAAGTTTTAAGTGTTTAGCTGAAGAGTTTCCCTTTTCTATGGGCAGGTTTATGCATTAGCCACAGGGGAGGATTTCAATCAACACGGTGCTTGCTACCCAGCCTCCAAAGGAGGAAGCGTCTACCCATCATCGTTTTACGTGCAAGGTCAGTTGAAACAATATTTCCCATCCCGAGTCTCACCGTGTTCTTTGTTTTCAGTAGAAAAGTTTAGTCTGACAAAGACAACTATTTCCTGGAATTTTCCTTTGAAGCCGATGCAGCTGGGAAATTGGTTTCTGGACTATATTGTGTCCAGATGAACCATGGTCGTTGTAGGCTACTAACTTGTGCCGAGCATCGGTGTTGAATAGTGACTCACGGTTGAATAAAGTCATCACAGTAATGTGACATGTCTCATATGCGGCCCTCATTGTCTTCTGATCTCCTGTGGCTGGTTATCCCTCACCCCTGTTTCTGCCTCTTTCTCTGTCGGGTGGCCCCTGACAGAAGGCCTCCACCCACCCTCTGATCCTTGGAGCTCTGCCGGGTCGATGATTCAGCCTGGTTATTCTGCCGTGTTGGACAACTCCCCCCATCTGGGCCAACATGGGCCGTTCTCTGCCATCAACCCTCAAGATAAAATGGTGAGCTCAGTTTTCACACTTTGTGCTCACTAAATCATGAAAATGTTCAGCCTGGATGTTTTCTTTAACTGTTGATTGTCCGTTCTTCACAGAAACGACAGCCTTTACCCCTTTCTCCCCAAAACTTCCCCCTGCATGGCAGTGAGGTGAATGGAGCTCATCCTGCAGGCTTCCACTCTGGTTCCAGCAGCTTTGGCGTCCCCAGCCACACACCCCCAATCACCGGCACTGAAACCATCATGGGTAAGCCTTATAGGCTGAATCTTACCTGTTTTTCTAATAATAGCACCACATAGCTAAACTGTGATCATAATAAACTGTTTTTCTGTCTCAAGTGAATCGGAGTGCAGTACCGGGAAGCTCAGGTGATGAGATTGGGAAAGCCCTAGCATCTGTAAGTAAACACAGAACACAACTAATTCTGAACTTCCTGCAATTTTTGTTTTTGTGAGTAAATTTCATTTGACTGAAAATTAGGACTTTTTTGTACAGATCTATCCCTCAGACCCTAACAGTAATGCTTTCTCTCCATCGCCGTCCACTCCCTCTCGCTCCCCCCAGGCTTTATCAGGTGAGTTTTTCCAAGACCTCAAGGTTAAAACCTTGTTTTGCTTCTTTCATTTGCTCCAACTCACCACAGTATTTTGTTAAAAGGATCTAAATATTTTAAAAATTAAATGAATGTTTCAGATTCAAACATAGTGTAGCTTTTCTTTTAAAACATATTTATTCAGTGAAATCAGAACACTGTCATCAATTAATCCGCCCATCAGGGGGACTTTCTTACTCTGACAAATTTTAGAAAACAAAACAAGAAGTCTATCCAGAACATTTCCCTCTCTTGGTCATTCACACACACACATTCACACACCCGATTTAACTTACGAGAGAGGAAGGGAAATTACAGAAAAAAGAGGGTGGGCCACTTGTTTGTGTGTGCATCGAGTTGAAGCGTGAAATTGGTAACAGTTTCAGACACTAAACACAAGAACAAATATGTGCATTTCCTAGTTTGGAGGATATTTATTATTTAATCATAAAATTTCACATCTCATGTAGCTGCATGTGTGTTCTGTGTTCATCAACTGAGCTGTTAAAACAATTAAAAGGGCCATATCATAGAAAAGCAACTTTTTGGAGCTTTTTACCGTGTGATATTGTTATTTCCTCATGAAAAAAAACATTTTTGGCTGCATTCATGCATTTTCCTGTTTCAGCTGCAAATTTTGAGTTTTACTTTGAAAATCCTGTAAAGTGTCAATGGAAACTCAGGGTTTCCCCCAGCGCTTTATAAGATTGGCGGCCCGCCAGGCTTTGCTTGGCCACCCGCCAGTCATGCCCCGCCCCCCTCCCCGACCCTACAGTGTCCGCTGACATGAACGGCGCAATGAAACTAGAGCCCTCCATCAGCTGACAGAGCGCGCGACCCCCCGCCCTCTGATGGCCGAATCCGCCAGGCGTAACTCATTTTCTGGGGGAAACCTTGGAATCTAGTCTCGTCACCAGGCCCCGCTCCTCTCCCGGAAGCTAGTCTCTGGTCTGAAACCCATCTCCTCTGGCCAGCCCAGGATGTGTGGATGTGCGACTGCTGTCATGTAGCAGACTTGGTAGTCCAGTGGTTAGGCTGGATGCCTAACCACTGGACTACCATAGCCAATACAGCAAACTACCTTGTCTAAGACGCTGTTGTTGGCACGTTTTGTCGGAGCAAGCATGGGCGGAGTTTCACTGAAACTAAGCGTTTTATTTCTAGGTATAAATTCAGGCTGATGACAAAAGCTCCCATTTAAGATAAATTACATCTCAGTTGTGCCAAGGGTAATATTTTATGTCTACCTTTGCTTTCAAAGGTTTAAAATAGCACCATATGGAACCTTTAAGGCTTTGAGTTGCAGAATTTGGTTTTTATCTGTCGATTTAGTAACAAAGTCTCATCTTGGAAAAATCACAAAGGACTCAGTGCTGAGAAGATGAGAGCTCCAGCGTGTGGGTTTCACACCATCTGGATCAGGACCTCTTTCAGCTGCTCACTGTAGAAATGGTTGATCATTTTTGTTGGGATTGTTGCTGTGCTGCACGTTGATTTGAATATTTGGAGGAATTCTGTAGCTCTTATGTGTGGCAGTGCTTTTCTGTTGCCTGTAGACACTCGTTCTTGTAACTCTTGTCAGCCCAGATCACCTGCTGTTAGCTTGGCTTTGTTTCATGTCAGAAGAACATTTTTCTGGCTTCTGTAAAGACCACTTCAGACTAGACTTCTCCAGACTGTAGGTGGGTGTACCAGGTCCTACTGGTGTCTGTCAGCTCGGAGCTGATGGCTGTGCTCCACAAGTCAATTCATCCTGATACTTCTAGTCGTTTATGCTCTGTTTTCTTACTTCTGCTCCTCTCAGTTTTCTGTTTTGTAGCTTGGACACAAAACAAACATATGACATGCTTGCAGATCCTTTTTTTCTCTGCTCATGATTTTTCCTAAAGGTCAAAAGGTCAGCATAACACCTACATCCTAAATTACATTTCTGTTAACATGGATTAAAAATAACAAACTTACCTGGGAGGAGCAACCAAAATGTCCATATTCACATTGGTCACCTGACCATGGGTGACTGACTGTCATGTTACACCACTTCTAAGATTTAAGATGTCTGGAACGTTTTCAGTTAAATTTATCTGAATAAAGCTTTTTTTCTCAAGGCTCTGCATCTCAGTGGACTCGGTCGTCTGGCCAGGCCACACCGTCTCCCAACTATGAAGGTGGAATTCAGTCTATGGTGAGTCGGTCTGTAAATTACTTTCTTTCATGTCAACGATCGGTTGAAATTATAATTTAGGCATCACCATTGTTATGGTTCATGCTTTATAGCAGAGTAAACTGGAGGACCACCTGGATGAAGCCATCAATGTTCTTCAGCGGCATGCTAGCGGACAAGGGGGGCCGGGATTTGCTGAAATGCATAGTCTGTTGTTGTCCCGTTTCAACAATGCAGCAATTGGACTGGCCAGCCGCCTCTCAGGACTGGTGAGGATTCCAGATAATTGTGAATAAAAACATACTGATGTTAGTTTTATTGATGTAAACGGGTCAAATGTGAGAGTTTTGCTGCCTTTAAGCCAGCACTGATATAAAATGCTGTGTTGAAGGCATCAAGCCACCACGAGGACTCTAATGGTCTGCCCTCTAGTGGAGGGCTTTTGCATCACGGCCCTTCATCCATCTCTGGCTCTCAGCCTGGCAGCTTTACAAGTACGACTCTCTCTTCAGTTTACCATCCTGTGTTTTTATTATGTGAGACAGAAAAAAAAAAGAAAGTCACATTACAAACATTTATTTTAAATTCACAAAAAAAACTTTATTTTGGTCTATACTGTCTTTAGGTCTGGCCCGTTCCAGTGGGGCTGCCATCAAACGTGAGGAGAAGGAGGAAGACGAGAACTGCTCTGTTACAGACAAGTCAGAGGACGAGAAAAAAGACATGAAGGCCCGTCTTCGAACAAGGTGTCCAAAATTTATTCAACTTTTATTATTACGTTTTTTAATAAAGACTGAAAGAAATGTATCTGTAACAGCTACTTGAGATTTTAAAATGTGTCTACTATATTATATTACTAGATATGATCATCATGTTGCAAAGTTCCACAGCTGTGGTGGTAGAATCGGGACAGATTTAACTCTAGTGGTCTGAGTGGTCCCAGTAGTTTTAGACCAAAAGGGTAAATTATTTATAACCGACCACATCACAAATGTTGATGCTAACTAAGCTGGGACACTTATACGACTGAAATATACCCATCCTGTTGTTTCCTTCCTTCCTCATTTACCACGGACTCTTCTGTAGTCTGGATGATGAGGATGATGATGATGATGAAGATCTACCAGTGGAGATAAAGGCTGAGCGGGAGAAAACACGGAGGTTGGCTAATAACACCCGCGAACGGCTCCGTGTGCGGGACATCAACGAGGCTTTTAAGGAGCTGGGCCGCATGTGTCAGCTTCATCTGAGCTCAGAAAAACCACAAACCAAATTGATCATTCTGCAACAGGCTGTTAACGTTATACTCAACCTGGAGCAGCAAGTCCGAGGTCAGTGGGTGTCCAGGGTGAAAGGAAGTAGAGGGGAAAGGTCTCTTTTCAAAATAAAACTCCCACACAACTTCTCTGCTTTAAACATAAGATGCTACTCTGAGCTTTAGTCAAGCTTTGTGTTCTTAAAGTCTGTTCTAAAAGCTAAAAAACTGGGAAATGAAGTTGTGTGGTAGTTTGAAGACACGCCCATTCTCTAGTTCATTTCAAGATGTTTTCATTGTAACACCAACGGTAATGCTGTTTGCTGTAATGCTCCTGCCTCACTCACAGCTTGATGTCTGCTTCCACGTCTGTCTACATCACAACTCGGCTTTTTTAGCCTCTTGTTGAACACTTGCTCCATTGTTCTGTTTTTAAGCTACACAACTCATTTTGTGTTCAGATTAAACAGCGTTTTGATTTCTGTCACACAACCTTTTAGCCTAATGAACCTGCTGGCATGAAAACAGCTGTGTGCCATGTATTAATGTGCCTTTGTGTTTTACAGCATTGTCTCTGTGCTGCATGCTCAAACACTAACCCTTTCATTTTTGCTACATTATTATCTAGACGTCCTTTTCCATTTTGACCTTCACTTCCCTGCCCTGTTCATTATCTTTTTGCAGATGGCAACAGAGAAGTCTCTCAGATAAATACATCGTCTGCTGATGTATTTGCCGTGATGCTGATGTCAGGCTCTTCCTTTAGCTTTCTTCTGTGGCTCATTCTGCATTTGGCAGAGGGTGTTGCTTCCTCTCTTTCTCATACCTTCTTTCAATTTGCTGGACAGTCATCATATCCCTCAACTTCCATCCTGGACCCTAGAGACCAAAAATGCTCTTTGGTTGTTGTTAAACTTGAAGCCATCTTGATACTGTTGCTTCCTGATGGAGTCTCGACCAAAGTTGACTTTAGTTACCATCTATATATTTTAGTGTAGTTGTATTTTTCTTCACCTGCGTTCATTCTCCTGGAACGCAGCCCCGCTCCACTGAGATCTTCTTCAGTATTCACTTCAGTCACATCTTGACAGAGGAAACATGTTCCAGTTACGGGACAACAACGCTCAGAGGGTGAAAGACTAGATCAAATGCGTTATTTTAAGCTGTAAGTGCAGTGATTTGAGAAGGTTTAGTCTGTGTTCAGTGAGGGTTGTGGTTTGGGTTTGTTAACCAGCCCCTCCAACACCCACTTCTCCTCCCGACTGCAGCCTCGTCTCGGTGACCGACGAGAACCTGTCAGCGGAGGAGAAGGAGCAGAGGGAGCGCGATCGCCGCCTAGCTAACAACGCTAGGGAGAGAGTGCGTGTTCGTGACATAAACGAAGCCTTCAGAGAGCTGGGCAGGATGTGTCAGGTCCACCTGCAGAGCGACAAGGCCCAGACCAAGCTGATCATCCTGCAACAGGCTGTCCAGGTCATACTTAGCCTGGAGAAGCAGGTGCGAGGTAGGTCAGCCAGAACAGGAAGACTGGCAGCCATTCACCAACTGGGGAATCATTTCTTTAGCTGTGTTCCGCTGATTTATTTAGTATCATTTTGGCTATGTCACCTAAAAATAAATAGAGAAAAACAGGAGAAAGTTTGAGGAAGTACATCTCTGCTTTCTGCCACACTCTTGCATTTCTAACCACACTTTTCATTCTTTGTTTCTACTTTTCACTCTTCTGGATGTTCACATCTGTGCTTTGTTTAGTTTCTTTGAATCTAAGAGAGGGATTAATTTTGTTCAGTAATGTTTCCGATGTTTTTTAGAGCGTAATTTGAACCCAAAGTCTGCCTGCCTCAAGAGAAGAGAGGAAGAGAAAGTTTCAGGTGTGGACCATCAGATGCAGCTTGGTAGTGGTCACCCTGCTCTTGGAGGAGATGGACACAACCCTGTGAGCCATATGTAACAGGTCCGTCTGCAGACTGTGCTTCAGCTGCTTTTGTATCATAAACCTTGTTTTGTTGTGAAGTATTGAAACTTTTTTGTGTCCCTTTCTCTTGCAGATGTTTTTAGTGTACAGCCCTTAGAACACGTGGCCTTATCTATCATTGTCGAACATTTCAGTGTGTGGAAAAACACACACACCTCATTAGTGACAAAGCAGGTGGCCACATTCCTGAAGACAACATGAGTATCCGAAGAAAAGGAAGAAGCACACAATATTAAAGGAGAATGCTTTGAAATAAAGACACTGTCTTTTGGAGAGAGTGCAAAAAGGACAATGTTCTTATGATCATGTTTTTGTAGGACTTTGGAAAAATTGCTTTTCATGTTGGGAGCAATTCTTGTTTGGATCAAATCACACTTTTGGATCAAACGCTCATTTGAGTGAACTTGGGATTGATCGTGTTGAATAGTTATTGGCATTCCCATCAGAGTAAAGGAGGTCCCACATTCTTCACAGACACGAAGAAATGATCTATTTCCTGCAATTGAACAAAATTTGTTTAATCATGTCATAACAGACCTCTGATGTGTTTGGTTTGATAAAAAAGATTGTCCCCAGGTGATACAGAAGTAAGCTGGGATGTATCAGTCAGAATACCAGCTTTTCATTTTTATACGCCGGTATTTTAGTCAGGTTTTCTTAATTTTATTGCTGTGGCTCAAAAGGTGCCACATCTGAACTGACTTGTGTACTGGGGGGTCTTTTTTTCATGCATTTCTCAGAAATGTGGATCTGAGTCTTATCTCTTTTAAGTCCTGTACATGTGTTATTGTCACTGCCATGCAAGTGGAATGGAAAGACTGCCAGAGAAAGGCCCGCCACACACACACACACACACACACCGAGGCTCAGTCATGTGCAGAACAACAGCCCGACTCAGCCTCTGGAGAAGCCAGTTCCTCTCAGCCTCGCGGTCGGTGCAGACTGAATCAAGCCGAGTAATTGTGAAGCCTGTTCTAAGGATCTTCCATTTGTAGAATTCATATATTTTTGTTTTTGTACTTTTTTGTTTTTTACTTTGTAACATAGTCGTAAGCGTTTTGTTTGCATTGTTTGGAATGTTATTTCTCTTTGTTTACATTGTTTAATTGTAAGACAACTGTTTAGATTCCAGGAACAAGGTGAGGTGTTTTTCTTTGGTGCCAGGTCCTTAGATCTGATGATAACATCTCATGTTGTGATACTGGTCAACTTTGTTAAATTCTGTCTCAACAAAAACATTTTTTGCCAGTAGTAATTGGACTGTTCTGGTGTTCGTGGACATTTTCTTTTTTTTTTCTTAAAAAATTACTTTATCACCCCCCACCCCCCTCCTCTCCAGTCTTTCTGATGAGCTTGTTTGCTGGATGAAGATAGGGTTGATGAGGCGGTCTGCATCAAAATTCAGTTTCCTTCTAATATGAAGAGGTGGCCTTAGTCATTTTGGCTTTGGGAGTTTTGATCATGGTTACTGACTAGTGCCTGTACATCTTTGTTAATGGTGGATAATGTTGCATCCAATGTTTTATAATTGCATCTTCTTGCTATACAGATGATTTTAAAAACATGTATAATTTAGGAACATCTGTAAAATGAAGAACCACACTTCGTGAGGAAGTTGAACAAATTTGATGCTAAATTTTTACTTAAACTTTTTTATCTTTTATGTTTATTTTTGTTTTTATTTTGCCTCAGACTTGCATGTGCATCAGTGTATGTCTGTTAGATGTGTCTTTGTTAAGCTGACACTGCTGTGGAACAGTATTTATCACAACTCCTGCGCCATGGTGAAGGCCAAAAAATATAATTTTTGATATCAGTTACTTTCCCGAGAAAAAGAAAAAAACGGTATGAATTGAAAACCCATTTTCATGCACTAATGTTTCAAAACCAGATTTTTTTCGTTAACAGCCTTTCTGTCCTCCATGAAACATGACCTGCTACAGATCTGTCTTCTCTCGTGCTTGGGGACAACATCTATGTAGGCTATGTCCTCAAAGTGCCTACAGTTTCCTATTTTTTATATAAAGTAGATGCTGAGAACTGTTGTGTATATGACAGTAATGTAGCAATAAATGTGCCATTTTTAATAAAACAAAATATGGTTCTTGATCTTTTTTATTTGCAGCCAACAAAAGAGATAATTCAATTTTGATAAAATAAATCTGAACGTTGTAGATTTCCACATCATCTGATTATTTCCACTCGTGTTTTATTGTACTATAATTAATGAATGAAACTGATCGACGTGCCCGCACTTTCATCCACCGGAAGTAAACCCAGAGAGACTCGGAAGTTCTTCCTGTACTAAAGCATCACGTCCATCATCAGAAGGGCATCTGTCGGCCAAAATGTTTAGCAAAGTTATCGGCCAGAAGTATGCGGCCATCGCTAAGTCATGGTAAGATATTTGTAAATGCGAAACCCGGAAAGATCGTTAATTTGGTGAGGAGTCAACGTAGGCTAGTTGAACATTAGCTGTTAGCCTAGCCGAGGTCATTGCTAGCTGTGACTTTAGCCTCAGACAAACCCGAGGATAAAAATGAATTTAAAAGATTTTGATATTAGAGCTCGAGACCGTTTAATTATATCAGCTCGGTTCATAAAACGTATTCACAACAATATAGTGTCCATTTCTAATGATGTTATTTTGGAACACCACATCATTGGCTAACTGTACTGAGACAGCTTGTTTTAACTATTATAGTTTTAAAATCTAGAAACCATATAAGCTTGACTGTCCTATATTCCAGTTAGACTTTACAAAGCTCCTCGGATGAGAAGCGAAACGTCTTCAAGAAACCAAAGAAGTCCAGTTGCCTTCATTTGAACCCTTTGGATTACCGTGACCTGGATGATTGAGAACCTTCACCAGCAATTAGAAACTTTATGTTTACTCACAACAATAATAGATGGCACGAATCATGTGATTTTTACACAAAAAGGCAAAAGAACAATGCAAATAATCAAGAACTGTGTGTTTTATATTTTTCTGGGCACAGCGGTTAAAGAAATTTTAATATTTATCTAATTTTGAAAGTCTTCTGAGAGTTTAGTGAAATTAATGTGACATTATTTGGGATCAAAAAGACAATACAGTAGCCCCTATATAATCATAATTATTTCAATTGATTTAGCCAAAAATATAAAACAATGTTTTATTTTTATAGCTTTTCTTCTATCTGCACATTGTTGATTTTTCACCAAACATACCAATAATTGTTCTTTATAATTTTTACTAAAACTATTTTCACCTTTAATTCAAGAGATGCAAACATAATAAATGTTTTTTTCTGCTGACAGGGTTCCCACCATGGCTGTGTGGGGCACAACTGGAGGCGTAGCTTTGGTTTACTTCACAGACTGGCGATTGGTTTTGGATTATGTTCCCTACATCAATGGCAAATTTAAGAAGGATGACTAGTGGCAGTCAGGTCAGTCAAAGGAATGGAAAAGAGACAATCCATACAGAGGTCGTGGTCACAAATTGGGGCATTATTTTGATTCTGCTGGGTCTACAATATTTGAAGACCCAACAGAATCAGCTTTGATGTAATGGTTTATCTCTCCATAAGTGCAACTGGAGGTTGGGCTTCAAAATAAGACTGAAGACAACACAGGAGGCACTGGATGGAAGTTATCAGGAACATTTCTGTAGCCTGTTTGTCACATGTCTAACAGAAACATGCATTAATGTAGGGCCCGACCGATATGCTTTTTTTGGGACCGATACCGATATAAAACTTTTAACAAAGGCCGATAGCCGATATAATGACCGATAAATCTCCCTCACAAAAAACATAAATACAAATTTTCTTAAGCTTAAACCCTTCATTCTCTGCCTTTTTGATGCAAACTTATTTCTCTATTACACACCAAAGAACTGTCTCAGTAACTCACTAGGGTTTCCAAGTAATGCAAATAAGATTCATTTAGCAGATCTCAAAAACAACAGAACACACAAACTCAGTCACAGCATAAATCTAACTTTCAAGTTTTTTTTTGTAAACTGTGGTTTCCACAAATACATTTTAACTTAAAGGAATATTCCACCACTCAGTAAAAGTGTGTCTTGTTAAGATTCCCCAGAGTTAGACAAGTCAGAAAAAGCATTTTATAACCAGCCCAATGTGATCTGGCAGCAGTTGGTTTTCTTAGTTTAGCATAAAACAATGTAAGTGAATTCACATACATTGTAGTGTGTTTTTATGTGGGTGAATGCAAGCCTTCCCTTCCCTTGCTTTATGCTAAAACAACTGGTTACAAAATGTTTTTTCTGACCTAGCTAACTCTGGGGAATCTAATAACACACAAGTTTAGGGACAGAAGATCCCTGTAAGAATATTAAAATAATAAAAATGCAGCAATAAATAAAACGTAATACTTGTGCTTTGTAACAAAGTAACACTCTGTGGAAGTTCACTTGGTGAACTTATTCACCCTGGACAGGAAATAATTGCACATAAGAAACATAAATAAGAATAAATTAAAAAATAAGTTCCAAAACAATAATTTGTGTTCAAAGTTCTAAGGAGTGGAGCCACACATGAGTTCATTAAGCTGGCGCCATCTGCTGGATAGGTAGCGCAATATCGGCCATCTTTTTGGCCGATAGCCGATACTGTTAATGACCCCAATATCAGCCGATAATATCGGCCGGCCGATATATCGGTCGGGCCCTACATTAATGTAAACATTTTTTTTATTCAATTCAAATTCAGAAATATTTTATTAATCCCAGAGGGAAATTGATTGCTGTAGTAGCTCAGAATAATAATAATCAAGTCATCAAAGAGTTATTGTGAAATGTTCCTGTTTTCATTGAGTAAAGCTGTTTGGGAAACTATAACACTGTTTACATCATAAGTTTTTAAAGGTGCGGAACACTGAAAAATATTTCTGATTATAGTCGTTAACTGTGGGATTTTCATGCAGACCGAACATTAAAATAGTCTACGCCTATCTTGTGTCAGCTTCTGATAGCAAATAGACAGTGAAACTCTAGGATTTGAAAATCCTGACAGATCTACAGTTGTGGTCAGAAGTTTACATACACTTGTAAAAAATATAATATAATGGCTCTACTGAGTGTCCCGTTATTTCTAAAACTCTGATTTTTCTCTGATAGAGTGATTGGAACAGATACTTCTTTGTCACAAAAAACATTCATGAAGTTTGGTTCTTTAATGTCTTTATTATGGGTTAACAGAGAAAAGTGATCACATTTGCTGGGTCACAAATATACATACAGCAACATGAACTAGCAATTTTGGTGGCTTAGAAACGTGTCAGTGAACTGAGCTTCATAGCATGGCCTCTTAACTTCTTGTGAGTGATTATGAGTGACTACAGCTGGTGACTTCTCTTAGGCCAGGTAAATAGGGCTCATTGGATACAAACGCCCACAAACGCTACAATGGGAAAGTCAAAGGAGCTCAGCATGGATCTGAAAAAGCGAATTATTGACTTGAACAAGTCAGGAAAGTCACTTGGGGCCATTTCAAAGCAGCTGCAGGTCCCAAGAGCAACAGTGCAAACAATTGTTTGTAAGTATAAGGTGCATGGCACTGTTTCATCACTGCCAAGATCAGGAAGAAAACGCAAGCTATCACCTGCTGCTGAGAGAAAATTGGTCAGGAGGGTAAAGAGTGAACCAAGAATCACAAAAAAGCAGATCTGCCAAGAATTAGAAGCTGCTGGAACACAGGTGTCATTGTCCACAGTCAAACGTGTTTTGCATCCATGGACTGAGAGGCTGCCGTGCAAGAAGGAAGCCCTTGCTCCAAAAGCGGCACCGTAAGGCTCGACTGAAGTTTGCTGCTGATCACATGGACAAAGATAAGACCTTCTGGAGGAAAGTTCTGTGGTCAGACGAAACAAAAATCGAGCTTTTTGGCCACAATGCCCAGCAATGTGTTTGGAGGAGAAAAGGTGTAACCTTTAACCCCAAGAACACCATGCCTACAGTCAAGCATGGTGGTGGGAATATTATGCTGTGGGGCTGTTTTGCTGCCAATGGAACTGGTGCTTTACAGAGAGTAAATGGGATAATGAAGAAGGAGGATTACCTTCACATTCTTCAACATAACCTAAAATCATCAGTACGAAGGTTGGGTCTTGGGCGCAGTTGGGTGTTTCAACAGGACAATGACCCCAAACACACATCAAAAGTGGTAAAGGAATGGCTAAATCAGGCTAGAATAAGGGTTTTAGAATGGCCTTCCCAAAGTCCTGACTTAAACCCCATTGAAAACATGTGGACAGTGCTGAAGAAACAAGTCCATGTCAGAAAGCCATCAAATTTAACTGAACTTCACCAATTCTGTCAAGAGGAGTGGTCAAAGATTCAACCAGAAGCTTGCCAGAAGCTTGTGGATGGCTACCAAAAGCACCTAATTGAAGTGAAAATGGCTAAGGGACATGTAACCAAATATTAGCACTAGGGTTGTCACGGTAACCGGTATAGCGGTAAACCCCGGTAAAAAAGTTGACAATAAAAATAACCGTCCAGTTTTTAAAAAACTATATTATCTCGGTGGGTTTACCGTGGCCGCGGTTTCGGTGCGATGACCCTTACCAGCCACCGTCGCTTCAGCTGAAGTTCCCGCGGCGCGCACACGCACTTTTTAGTTTGCAACGGCACCAAAACTTTGAAGCTGAAATAATGGCCGAAGGAGGAGACGGCAGCGCCCAGGACATCCATCAGCCCTCAAAGAAGACTAAATTGGAAGTATGGGCATATTTTGGATTTCTGAAAAATGCTGAGGGACAGTTAATAGAAGACGGCTATCCCGTTTGCAGAACGTGCAGGAAACAAGTGTCTGCAAAAGGCAGCAACACTTCGAATCTAATGGCACATCTGCGTGACCATCACCCACGTCTCTACAGCCAGTGCAAGGTAGGTTAACATTAACATTTTAGCTTAAATGCATGACGTGAGGACTTTTGGCTGAGGGAGAATGCAACGAGTCACTATATACTGCAGCCGCAGCGTCCTCTGCCAGCATTTAAACCGTGTCATGGACACCCTGTTGCTGGATGAAGCATCTTATTTGTTGATGATGAAGAGAAATATACAATTAGTTCCTTGTCATTGGTTTGTTTACTTATTCAATGCCATTTATACTTGAACGTTTGGATTTGATTACATAGTGTAGTAGTTATTTTAGTAATTTGTTTAAAGTGGCTATTTATTTTAAATACATATTTTTTTAAGGTTGACTTGTACAGCGCTCAAGTCAAGTGTGGACTGGAGTTTTAGATTTTCATTTTGATAATGAAGAAAACAAGTATATGAGAAAACAAGTGGTGTTTCTTTGATTTGTTTACATATTGTTTATGTTTCGAATGTTTGGATTTGTATAATTTAAACCTGCACTGACTACTGTAACTTGTTCCAGAAAAATAAGCTATTTGTTCCTTTACTTGTGAAAAGTTGCACTTTTGCTAAGGCTTTGTGTTATTTTAGCTTTAATAAACACTGTTAAACCTTTTCAGAACTATTTCAGTTTGTGTAGAACAGGACTATCAATGCTTTCTGAACATATGCAACACCGTTTAAAAAATACCGCGATAATACCGAAAACCGTGATAATTTTGGTCACAATAACCGTGAGGTTAAATTTTCATACCGTGACAACCCTAATTAGCACTGCTGTATGTATATTTGTGACCCAGCAAATGTGATCACTTTTCTCTGTTAACCCATAATAAAGACATTAAAGAACCGAACTTCATGAATGTTTTTTGTGACAAAGAAGTATCTGGTCCAATCACTCTATCAGAGAAAAATCAGAGTTTTAGAAATAACGGGACACTCGGTAGAGCCATTATATTATATTTTTTACAAGTGTATGTAAACTTCTGACCACAACTGTACATCAAGCTGTCACTTTGACATTCATGGACTCACCCATCTTGGCTCTCGACGGGGGAAAGCTGTTGTTGGTTTTGCGTCCAGGAAACAGCAGAGAACGTCTCGACTAGTAGAAGCTAACTGTTAGCATTAGCAACTCCACCATAGGTTTGTGTTTAGGGCTGCAGCTATCGAATATTTTTGTAATCGAGTACTCTATCGAATCTTTTTTTCGATTAATCGAGTACTCTAATAAATTACCCTTTTGTGTTTGTAAACCATTATATAAAATAGCATGTTATAAAATATGAAAGACCTCTCAAAATGAGCAATTGCCAGTTATTCAAGTTTTATTCAAAATTAAGTTTGCAAAACTTCAGCACTTCAACTTTACTTCACAGTAAACAAATGCGTGTGCAAAAAATAAGTAAACAACCTGAGCCGATTTTTCCCTCGTGCGAGAATCTGCTAGCCTGCAAGCCAGACAGAAACTAGGAGGATAACTGTTGAAGTAGCGCTGCGAGCGGCTGCGGCCCAAACAGAACCAGAACCGCTCACGGCGCAAACAGCTCGCCGGCTGTTTCCCTATTAACACACGTCCGTTTTAATTTCTACACTTTTTTCTCACACAATAACAAGGATTGTCGAGAAAGCATGTTTGCCGTGGTTTTGGCAAATTATACTGATCACAAAACATTTATTTACTTTCTTTCGTTTTCCTCCACAACTCTCATAAATACCCGTGTCCTCCTGCAGCAATCCCGAGGGACAACAGACATCAATAACACAATAAAAAGTCCAACGTGTTGTGTAAAAACTGTTATTTTTAGCACATTTTAAGTCCGACGTGTTGCTACCAGATGTACGGTGTGAGCTGAAACTGAGCGCTACAAACGAAAAAGTCGCAGAGTCCGCAGAATATATAGAAAAACAGGCTAAAATGCATTAACTTGTAGAGGCTCCGAGTCCGCTTGCAGAAGTGACATTTATATGTGCTGCAGCATCGAGGACGTGGTGTTGTGGTAGACTAAATCCATTTTACAGTATTTATACTGGACTACGTTTTCCACCTTACGACGTGAAAAATTGTCCCACAACTTTGACATTTTCTGTCTTTTTCGCACTTCACCGGGGTTCAAATTGTCCGCCATGGCTTAAGAGAAAGTTAAGTTACATTCGCTACTCGCGTGTGCAGTCAGTCCAGTGGGCATGTGCGTCACTTATTTCGGTCCGGGTGAAACATGACCCCGGGCGATTGCAAAGCCATGAATTAAACGAATCCTCGAGGCAGAGAATTTGACTCGAGGATTTTTTGTACTCGAATTATTCGAGGTACTCGAGGAATCGTTTCAGCCCCATTTGTGTTATTTATAGAGATAAAACATCAACGTTGCAAAGCAGCCTGAGTCAGTGGTAGAGTCGTGTGCTGTTAGCCATTCCGAGGCGAGATGTCTAATATCAGGAAATAAGACAATGTTACACAGCTCTCCTCTGATATGGCAATATTCTACTTCCTGAAACTGGTGCACCAGAGCTTTTTTTCCACAGGGTACAGCTTGCAAGGCATTCATTCCTCTTGGAGACCACAGCAAATGTATTGATTAAACGAGTATTTCAGCATCTTTGTATGTTGGAGATGTGCATACCAAATCCCATTATGTCTGATGTAAATGGTCTGCATTTGATATTTGATATAGAACCTTCTAGGGTTCTACAACCCCCCAAGGTGCATTACAAAGTAACCAGTCTTTCACCCACCCACACACACATTCACACGCTGGTGGTGATGAGCTTCATTGTAGCTACAGCTGCCCTGGAGCGCACTGACAGAGGCGAGGCTGCTACGCACTGGCGCCACCGGTTTTTCTGACCTGTAGGCAAGACGGGTTAAGTGTCTTGCCCAAGGCCACAGCTGCAACAGACAGGGCTTGAACCTGCAACCCTCTGGTTGAAGTAGATCATTTTAATGCATTTCTTACCTGCACAAACCACAGTGTAGAAAAAGTGATTTACTTTGAGAACTTGTCTGCATGTGCCTGCAGTTGTGTGAATTTTAAAATCGTTTGATTCGGATTCCTCTCCAAGAACAACACTTTGTTTATAGTTACAGTTTAATTTATTTATCTAATAAATCTTTATTAAAAGCTTTTGAAGGCAGACTGTAAAGACAGAGATGCCACTACTAAACTGGATCACATAGCCATTACTTTGAATGTGTTGTAAAAATTGACCAATCTGTCATTCTTCTCTAAATCATGGCACAAAACAAGCAAATTGACTGTATGCAAGGAGACTTAACTTGATGTATTAGCTATAATAATTAATCACACACCCACACCCAACCCCCCCCTTTTTTGCAAATTAAAGATCCAGAAAAGCAAACTGCCAGACTCAGCATTAGTATAAATGTTCTATTTGAAATAAAAAGACAAATCCTATCGTTATGGGTATTGGTATGTTGGCACAATATTATCACTTCAGACTGTAAATGGTGCTAGAAGTTTTCTAAATTTGATGGTGTTAAACAATTGTTTTGTTTTTTCCTTTCAGGTCATTGCTGGGTTATTTTTTCTGTATATTTAATACAAATAACAAAATATTGAACATGCGCCTCTGCAGCCATGTTAGAAGAAATCTGGAGGCCATCGTCTTCATCCAGCAGCCCAGTCAACGTGGAACTGTCTTCCATCTGCTGAAATGTATTATGGTCACTGTCTCCATGGAAAATAGTAAACAAATGATGACAAACTTGTTTTTCCTCTTCAGTTTGAGGGCAATTTTTTCATCATTTATGCTCTTTGGGGCCATATGTGACTTGATTTTGCAATAAAGAAAAGTATATGATTTTGTTTGTCTCCAATTATTTTTATTTTTTCGATCATGCTTTGAAATTAGCAAAAGAAAATCATTGAAAAGCATAACAGAAATTCTTAATCGCTAATGAGGGTGTTGGGAGGTTTTTCAAATTAAAGTTGCTTTCTTATAACCCCGGGCTAGAATTACTTCCAGAGAGTACTGCGTTTACTGCAACAAAATAAATTTAATCCAAACATTTTCTAAAACAGAAATAATGGAGGATCGCTTACAGATCGTGCGTCCTACTTTTTGTACTTCTCGCAGCATAGTGCGTCTGTTGGTTTTTATCTAGACCCCAGAGCCTCATAATCGGACTAGTTTACAGTCGTGCGGCGCATGGATTACAGTGATCATTATGCAGCGAGTCTGGCGGAGTAATCTACAGTTGTTAAGGTACTGACAGCAAGTGTCGACAGCTCACCAAACTGTAAATTCAGTTCTTCTACAAATTAATAGCTGGTGTCTTTTCTGCGCTCATCCAGAATCACAAGCAAGCAAGGAATAGACCAAGACCATGGAAAGGAAAAGGTGGGACTTTTAAACATGCTGTCGCCGACTTGTTGAAACATCGATTAAAGGCACGCAGCGCGTGCAGACGTGCGTTGTGTTGTTAAAACACTACAAAGTAAACATGTCTGGTTTATTTGTTTACTCTGTTGTTTTGTTTGGTTAGCGTAGTTTTAGAGCTTCTTCAGTTTGTTGCATACGGGAGCTAATCGGTTTAAATATTCACAAATGCAGAACAGCACACCGGACGCTGCTAGCTTGATTAGCTAGCTAAGTTTCATTGTTTACACACGCTTGACTTGGAGCGCGCAGGGCCCCGGTTTTACGCTATGTTTAGTTACCCCCAGGTTTTGTGTCCGGACATAAATTCCTGTTCCGTTAATTCTTTGTTTGTTTTTAAATTGTTTTAAATGTACTTATTAGATTAAGTTGTCTATTTTAATCACGAATGACTGAAAATTAAAATAATCTTGAAACTGGGAAATTATTTTAGCGATGATAGTTCAACATTTCTGTGTCAGGTGTAAGGCTTGTTACAATTTAAAAAAAATACAGGAGCTGCGTCAAACATCGAGGTTTTACCACGAAGCACAAAAAATAATGGGTGATAATCTGATTCGTCGCAAATTTAGGCAAGGGAGATTATAGCACATTTCATACATTGGAACAATTCCATGTGCTTTCTATTAGAGAGAATAGCATGAGCATTAAAGGCAACGTGACAGCACAATAACTATTTTTAATTTATCTGACTAAGTTAAATACACAAAATCAATTCAAGAATCAGTAAAAAAAAACAAAGTTAAAGGGTGAGCAGTTACAGTGCAGAAGGTGTAGCGTAAGAAATATTCACGCAAAGGCTGATGAACACATGAAAGTCTTCCATTTTTATTTAAAAGTTATCAGAGTTGGGGCAGATTTGAATTTTATGATGATGCTGATTCCATCTGTGTGCAGCATAGTAGCTAAAAGCAGCGTTACCCTGTTTGGTTCTGACCCAGATTTCTACAAGCTGACTGATCCTTATGGATCTCAGAGTCCTTCCAGGTGTATACAGTTGAATGATTTATAAACTAGCAGTAGTACTTTGAAATCAATTCTGTAGTTTACTGGTAATCAATCAATCAAAGCTTTATTTATAAAGCACCTTCCGCAACCCTATCAGGAAGCCCAAGGCGCTGAACATGGTACAAGAGAAAGTTAAATATGGTGAATTACCAGTGTAGACAAGTAAGAACAGGAGTGATGTGCTCAACTCTCTTGGTTCTTGTCAAGGCTCTAGCAGCAGCATTCTGAAGCTGCAGTTTCTTCACAGCTTTTTTGGGCAGACCAACCAAAAGACCATTGCCATTGTCCAGATATGATCTGGACACAAGATCTCTGAATTTTGCTATTTGATGAAGATGATAAAACACTGATCTAGTTATAGCCTTAATGTGACCTGTGAAGCTCAGGTCTGAATCAATTATGACACAGATTTCTAACCTGGGTCTTTGTCTTCATTCCTCTGAAGCCGAGTGGAGCAATAACTTCCATCCTATCCTTCTTTATAAAGACAATAATTTCAGTCTTGTCTTTGTTTAACTGGAAGAGGTTTGACTGCATCCAGTCATAATAATCTCCAAAAACGGACAGCGTGAGTCTAGGGGACCACAGTCACTAGATGATAGAGGTAGGTAGCTCTGGGTGTTATTTGCATAACTATGACAGGCAATGCAGTTATTTTGTATGACCTGACCCAGTGGGAGCATGTAGGGCAGTCGACCAAGGAATGAGCCATGAGGGACCCCACCTGTCATGGTGATCAGATTTGATTTGCGATCTCCAATAGAGACAACATAACCCCTGTCTTCAAGATATGATTGGAACCAACTATAGACTGCGATTGAAAGTCCCACCCAGTTTACGAGCCTGTCAAGAAAGAGGTTGTGAAAATGAATGGCTAATCTGATTTTTATGATTTTCTTATTAAAAAAGGATGCAAACTCAGTACACTTAGTTTGGGAAAGGAATCAGGGGTCAACTGTGTTGGGAGATTAGTTAACCTCTCAACAGTAGCAAATAGAACACGGGAATTGTTAATATTAAGCATGTTTCCATTACCAGAATTCCAGGGTAGTTCGTGGGATGGGGAACTATAGGATATCCCAGTCCTCTCAGCTGTTGTGTCTCCATTCAAATTCAGCACTTTCACAACTTGGACAGACGTCAGCGTATCACGACTGCAGTGAGTGATGTCACTGATCAGCCCCAAAAAGCGCCCAAAGTAACATTAATAAATTAAAAGCATTTATTTTATAGAAATATGTCATAATTAAAACCATTCAGAGGACAAGAGCAGCTCTGAGTTATGTGAGACAAGCCCTGTTAAGTCTGTGGGGGAATTTTCCCATTTTTTCCAACACCTGTGAGGGAATTCCACCAAGTTTTCTGGTGTCTGGACTCTGGAGTTGGATTTTAAATGCGATCGGTGCCTTTTTTTTTCTTTTGCTTTCATTCTGCTTCACCAGCTACTCTTCTAATTTTACTGCTGCTGGTTGTTTTGGATGCCTACTGATGTCATTTCCTACTGAGGTACAACCAATCAGTGTGAGTTAACTTGAGGTTCCACTCAGTTACCCCACCGGGCCATTCAGAGTACCTACTCCAGAGCAAGTACTCAAAAGGTTCCTGAAAAAGGCTTGATAAAAGGCTGTTCGGGCGGCCCGGTCAGATGGAGACATGCGCAAGTCGGGAGGTTCCTGTAAAGCTACCCTGACGTTCTTGTAGTGGAAACATGCCTATTATCACTAATGGCTTTGGGGGGGGGGGGGGGGGGGGGGGTGGCTTGTCTTGCCATTGCTTAAAGGGGCCATATCATGCAAAATTCACTCTTTTGAGTTTTTTTTTTAACCATGTGATGTTTCCTCTTCAAACAACCCTCAAACCTGTTTTTGGCTGCATTCTCACATTTTCCTAGCCTGGCAAGCCAGACTAAATAAATGTATCATTCTTTGCAAAGCAAGAATTTGGTCTAGTTCACTAGGCTATCAGCTGCAAATTTTGAGTTTTACTTTGAGTGAAAACTACTTGCATCACCAGACATTTCTCCTCTCTCAGAAGCTGGTGGTCTTGGTTCTGAAACCCGGGTATTTTGACAAATTACGTCTGCATCAGAGACAAAGTACTGCCGTAAAAACCATGCATCTTGTCTACAAAGACGCACAAAATGCTCACCACGGGATTTGTATGTTAGGTGACTATAGTTTTGTTACAAACTTGGTATTCCAGTAGCTTGAGTGCCAGACTGGCACGTAGGTTTGCGCAGGTTTGCCTTCTGGTCATGGAAGTAGCATGTTTTTTCTTCTTTTTTAAGCTACATTTCCCTTATTATTGTTTTCAGCCCTTTATTGGTGAACTGATTAAAATATGAGGACTAATCTTTCTTTTCTACTTTCTTTGTTTAATTAGCCAGTGTGAGTCCTTGTGAGGTGAGCAAAGGAAATGAACTAAAATGCTTCTTGAAAATGACCAGATTCAAAGATCTTAAGAGACAAAGAAATGTTTTGCAGAAAATAATTAAACTAAAATATAAAAAAAATTAAATATGCTTCAGCTGGCTAAATAAATTACTGGCCACACAGAGAGTTGAACCAGCATCTGCACATGGCAAAACAAGAGAAAAGGCAGTTGCTTAAACCACTGGACTACCAAAAGTATGTGTGTTTGGTTGGAGCGGGAGTGGGCGGAGTTTACCTGAAACAAACCATTTCATTTTCGGGTATAAAATTCAGGCTGACCAAAAATAGTTCATATTTAGTATAAATGACATCTCAATAGTGCCAACAGTAATATCTTACCATTTTTTGTGCCTACCTTTGCTCTCACAGATTTATAATAGCATGGCTCCTTTAATTTAGAAATGTGAGTGTGAAGCTGCATTCTGAAGGTTTCATAGTGATCTGGTTGGTTACTTTTTCTCCATTTACGCTCATCTTTCCTGCATTCTCTTTTCTGGCTGGTAACTGGAGTGGAGGTTTTTGTTTGCCAGAAATGTTTGACCTTTTCAGGTGCAATGGTGTCAGGGTCTTCAAGAGTTTTACATTAGAAATTATTTGGCAGAGATGGGGAATTGTGGCATCAACAAGTCATCCCCATGCTGAGTTTCTCTTCAATTCAGCAACTAAACCAGGTGATTTCAGCCTGCACCGTGAACAAACCTTGTTCAGTTGCTGAGCAGAACAAAATCACGGCATGGAGTTGACTTGTTGAGGTCACAGTTCCCATCTCTGTGATTTCGAAGTGAATCCACAAAGCTGGTTGTTAGACTTATTCATGAGTTCTATAAAAACTGATGCAGTCTGATCACTCAGATACCTTTTTTTGAGAGCAACTGAGTTGTGATTTTATTTCTATTAAAGAGACACTTTCAGACATAACTATAACTTTTTCCTTCCAGTGTAAAATAAAAATAATGTTGTAAACCTACATGGAGTAGGTGTTTTACTCAATAGTGTTAAAGGAAAGTTTACAACTTTAAATTCTGAGTTCTGAGAAGCAAAAATAAAACTTCTCAAAACACGGTGACAGTAACTACCTCAAAAGAATAACCATTCCACTTGTGTGACAGTATTTTCCCTGTTCTATTTTTAGTTTACCTGTCAAGCGTATTCTCAACAAGCCCCAGATATTCCGCAGCGATCATCGCCCTGATGTGAATACCAATAACTCCAGAGGTGGACGATCCCCCCAGACCAAAGCCCAACGGAGTCGGCACAAGCATCTCTATGACACAAACCATCAGATCAGGGTGAGGCGTGGATTTTGGAGTCATTTTAACTTTTGTATTATTCCAGCTATTTATGGTGTCTTTAAAATAAACATAACATGTTGAGGGCTTATCACAAGGAGTACAAGCCCTTAAGGCAAATGCTGCGGTGTTGTTGGGTTTTTACACTGGTTAACTTTTCCATCAGGCAGTTTTTATGCTCTGTTACACACACACACACACACACACATGCACACACAGTTCTATATAAATAACAATCTGATGCATTGTTCATATTTACAAAATATTGTTTTAAACTGCCAGTTTATTTATTTTTTGAGGATTCAGTCATTTTGAGACTGCAGAAATTTGCTCTCCTTTTGAGTAGCCGTTGGGTCCTTTTCTCCCTTAAATATCCTCCTTAGTTCTTCAAACTGAGATCCTTCAGATTGTTGTTTACTGCAGGGGGCTTCTGCCATTAGCTCTCATAACCCCGCCCAGGCTATTCCTTTTTAAATGAGACAAATGAAAGCTAATTAATGAAATAAAGATTAAAGTAGAAAAAACAAACAATTTTATAAAAGCCCTCAGAAACTCTCCAATCTTAAGGTTGTACAGTCCTCTCCTCATGGTGTCCCACATGTCCTCCTAAACAAAGTCATAAAATTATCATGAGACTGGTTTGTTCATTCACTATTACCTACATAATAAAAGGCCTTATCCTTCTTCCTAGTGGTGCATTTACAACCTAAACAGTTGTAGTTTTATATTTGTTGTCAGAGCATTTGTTGGCAATTAAATATTTGCATTGCTCCTGTTAGCTTTCTCAGAGACGTAATACAGTCAGGTCCATAAATATTGGGACATCGACACAATGCTAACATTTTTGGCTCTATACACCACCACAATGGATATCAAATGAAACGAACAAGATGTTCTTTAACTGCAGACTGTCAGCTTTCATTTGAGGGTATTTACATCCAAATCAGGTGAACGGTGTAGGAATTACAACAGTTTGCATATGTGCCTCCCACATGTTAAGGGACCAAAAGTAATGGGACAATTGGCTTCTCAGCTGTTCCATGGCCTGGTGTGTGTTATTCCCTCATTATTCCAATTACAATGAGCAGATAAAAGGTCCAGAGTTCATTACAAGTGTGCTATTTGCTTTTGGAATCTGTTGCTGTCAAGATGAGATCCAAAGAGCTGTCACTATCAGTGAAGCAAGCCATCATTAGGCTGAAAAAACAAAAGAAACCTATCAGAGTGATAGCAAAAACATTAGGCGTGGCCAAAACAACAGTTTGGAACATTCTCAAAAAGAAGGAACGCACCGGTGAGCTCAGCAACACCAAAAGACCCGGAAGACCACGGAAAACAACTGTGGTGGATGACCGAAGAATCCTCTCCCTGGTGAAGAAAACACCCTTCACAACAGTTGGCCAGATCAAGAACACTCTCCAGGAGGTAGGTGTATCTGTGTCAAAGCCAACAAGAGAAGACTCCACCAGTGTGAATACAGAGGGTTCACCACAAGATGTAAACCATTGGTGAGCCCCAAAAACAGGAAGGCCAGATTAGAGTTTGTCGAACAACATCTAAAAAAGCCTTCACAGTTCTGGAACAACATCCTATGGACAGATGAGACCAAGACCAACTTGTACCAGAGTGATGGGAAGAGAAGAGTATGGAGACGGAAAGGACCTGCTCATGATCCTAAGCATACCACCTCATCAGTGAAGCATGGTGCTGGAAGTGTCATGGCGTGGGCATGTATGGCTGCCAGTGGAACAGGTTCTCTTGTATTTATTGATGATGTGACTGCTGACAAAACTGAAGGGAAAATGCTCCAGGAACAAGCGGGAACTGAAGACTGTTGCAGTAGAGGCCTAGCAGAGCATCACCAGGGATGAAACCCAACATCTGGTGATGTCTATGTGTTCCAGACTTCAGGCTGTAATTGACTGCAAAGGATTTGCAAGCAAGTATTGAAATGTATACGTTTGATTTATGGTTCTTATTCTGTCCCGTTACTTTTTGCCCCTTAACAAGTGGGAGGCACATAAGCAAACTGTTGTAATTCCTACACCGTTCACCTGATTCGGATGTAAATACCCTCAAATGAAAGCTGACAGTCTGCAGTTAAAGCACATCTTGTTCGTTTCATTTGATATCCATTGTGGTGGTGTATAGAGCCAAAAATGTTAGCATTGTGTCGATGTCCCAATATTTGTGGACCTGACAGTATACTGTGTTGCTGTCTCCATCGCTGCTAAACCTCCCCTGAAGACATTGTTTTATGATTCACTGCTGAGCGTAGCATCAGAAACGCCTCACAAAACACACTCAATTACAGTCTGTTTTCTCTGTTGGTAAACTCAGCTGCATGCTCACACTTATTCAAGCACTATAATAATCTCTGTTCATTGTGATGTTTATATAGCATCCTCACATTTACTCCAGTTAAAGGGCTCAATGCTAAACACTAGCAACAGGGCACAACCTGAAGCATGTACTTCTCACTAATGTTTTATCCTTTAGCTTTGTGTGGTGCAGAAGAGCTAATGAAAGCTTATAGGGTTTTACCTGTCGCTGATGGTGTTGTCTCTCCTGCAGCCTAAGCCTGATTTAAACACAACACTACCAGTTCGACAGACAGCATCTATCTTCAAACAGCCTGTGACCAAGGTAACAAACCACCCCAACAACAAAGTCAAGACCGACCCTCAGAAAGCAGTGGATCAACCAAAACAAGTAAGTCAGAGGCTAAGCACACATCTCATTTTCAGATTAATTTGCGTTCCTAAACCGTTCTCTCCGATGTGGTCTTTTTGGTCTGTTTGCCTTGTTTGATAGTTGTTCTGGGAGAGGAAGTTGAGTGGGTTAAATGCATTCGATATAGCAGAAGAGCTGGTGAAAACCATGGATCTTCCCAAAGGCCTACAGGGTGAGGAGAACGTTACAAACACCCCCAGCAGATGGAGATGAAAATGAGAATTTTTACCAAGCTGACTCTTTGTATTTTTTAAGGTGTTGGGCCGGCATGCTCAGACAAAACCCTGCTCTCTGCCATTGCCAGTGCCCTGCACACCAACCCAGCTCCCATCACCGGGCAGCTCACGTCTGCTGTGGAGAAAAACCCCGGAGTGTGGCTGAACACGGCTCAGCCGCTCTGCAAAGCCTTCGTGGTGACTGATGATGACATCAGGTAAAGCTGATCTGCACAGAGGACAGCTGATTTTACACTGCATGCAGGTTTTAAACGAATGGACAGTAAATTTAAGGTGCTGATCTGTCAAACTTGATGTAGGCTTAAGCGGTATCCAAATTTTAATACCGTCCAGCTTCCTCCACATTTTACCACGGTGTACGGTGTTACCGGGACCAATTTAAAATTGATGGCATGAGCCTCAAGGGGAAGTACCAAACTGTTGGTTTGGGCCTTTACCGTTCAGAAACTGAATAAGAAACATTACTAAAAGAATAACAACATAACACACATAATATTAACAACTTAATAAAAGCACAGTTTATAAAATGATTTTTCGCCTGAAAAACCAGCATGTTTACCTTTTCCGGCTTCGACGTAGGACGTTGTGGACCGACTGCTGAAAACTAGCTTCAATGAGCTTGTGGCACAGACATACGGGTACTTTAGGGCTAGTCGCAACATCTAGGGAAGGCTGACTGCATATTGTCCACCAGAAAAGCGGGTTGACGTCTCCTTTAATAACAAGCATCAGAAGTCTGCTATTTCAGCTATGGCTCGCTCCTCTGCGGTTCGTTCAGGGTCTGTTTCTTTCGCCGTCATCTTTTGTTTGGCACAAATTACCTCATCAGTGTTTACCGGCTCTCGTTTAAAGTTTACTTTGAACCAGAAATACTGTCACATGATGACATCAAGTTTAGAAACTTTATGGAACTTCTCTAAAAGTTATTCAAGTAAAACTGAAAATTCAACCACACATCCATTTTATACATTAAAGGTCTTTATTTCTCTTCTTTATTTATTTTTATCTTTGTCTCCTACATGCATTGTTTTTTTATGACCACATTGGGAACTGACATGATGCTATTTTTTAACAGCAGCTGTATACGGTACTACCGCAATATCGCCCAAGCCTAGCATGATGTAGTCGTATTTAAGAGTCAGGTGGCTAGTTCTCAACCAGACCTCTCTCCTGTAAGGAGATGGTTTATGTGACGGTGTGTTTTATTGTAAGGATGTAAAGAATACAGAATTTTCATCCGTCTGCTTCAGAGCTAACGGATACTGAGATGTTTTTATGACGAGGGCTGCCACAAACGACTATTTTAATAGTCGACTAATCGTGTCGTTCTTGAAAGTGTAGCTTATTGCACAGGATGCTCCAATATACCCATTGTTAGCTTCAAGTGTGAGGTGTGTGCCATCTCATAATAAAGACATGATTATAGCTTATCAAACTGCTTTTAATTAACTTTGTAACTTATCATTACAAATGCTACACAGTCAAATAGAGGTAGGCACCTAAAACTGTACGGCACCAAAAATAAACTATACACAGAAATGACTTGTACTCACAAATGTATCCAGCTAAAATAGTCTTTTTTGGCTTTGTAATAAATTCGTCCATTCAAGAGGAGGAACTTTTTTTTATTTTAACACTGAAACGTAGTAGGATAAAAGACTCGGGTTGCGAATGACCACAGTCACCAATTCTTGTCTCAGAACTGTGTGTACTGAAACTAATTTCCCTCTGGGATTAATAAAGTATATTTGAATTGAATTGAATACACGTTTGTAACATTAGAGCAAATACATGACATACATACAGGTGCTGGCCAGTAAATTAGAATATCATCAAAAGGTTGAAAATATTTCAGTAATTCCATTCAAAACGTGAAACTTGTACATTATATTCATGCAATGCACACAGACCAATGTATTTCCAATGTTCATTACATTTAAATTTGATATTTATAGGTGACAACCAATGAAAACATCAAATCTGGTATCTCAGAAAATTAGAATATTCTAAAGGCCAATGAAAAAATGTTTGTTTCTCTAATGTTGGCCAACTGAAAAGAATGAACATGAAAAGAATGTGCATGTATAGCACTCAATACTTAGTCGGGGCTCCTTTTGCCTCAATAACTGCAGTAATGCGGCGTGGCATGGACTCGATCAGTCTGTGGCACTGCTCAGGTGTTATGAGAGCCCAGGTTGCTCTGATAGTCGTCTTCAGCTCCTCTGCATTGTTGGGTCTAGCGTATTGCATCCTCCGCTTCACAATACCCCATAGATTTTCTATGGGGTTAAGGTCAGGCGAGTTTGCTGGCCAATCAAGGACAGGGATACCATGGTCCTTGAACCAGGTGCTGGTGGTTTTGGCACTGTGTGCAGGTGCCAAGTCCTGTTGAAAGGTGAAGTCTGCATCCCCATAAAGTTGGTCAGCAGCAGGAAGCATGAAGTGCTCTAAAACTTCCTGGTAGACGGCTGCATTGACCCTGGACCTCAGGAAACAGAGTGGGCCAACACCGGCAGATGACATGGCACCCCACACCATCACTGACGGTGGAAACTTTACACTGGACCTCATGCAACGTGGATTCTGTGCTTCTCCGCTCTTCCTCCAGACTCTGGGTCCTTGATTTCCAAAGGAAATGCAGAACTTGCTTTCATCAGAAAACATAACTTTGGACCACTCAGCATCAGTCCAGTCCTTTTTGTCCTTGGCCCAGGCGAGACGCTTCTTGCGCTGTTTCTTGTTCAAGAGTGGCTTGACACACGGAATGCGACACCTGAATCCCATGTCTTTCATGAGTCTCCTCGTGGTGGTTCTTGAAGCGCTGACTCCAGCTGCAGTCCACTCTTTGTGGATCTCCCCCACATTTTTGAATGGGTTTGTCGTCACAATTCTCTGCAGGGTGCGGTTATCCCTAGAGCTTGTACACTTTTTTCTACCACATTTTTTCCGTCCCTTCGCCTGTCTGTTAATGTGCTTGGACACAGAGCTCTGCGAACAGCCAGCTTCTTTAGCAATCACCTTTTGTGTCTTGCCCTCCTTGTGCAAGGTGTCAATGATTGTCTTTTGGACAGCTGTTAAGTCAGAAGTCTTCCCCATGATTGTGGTGCCTTCAAAACAAGACTGAGGGACCTTTTAAAGGCCTTTGCAGGTGTTTTGAGTAAATCAGCTGATTAGAGTGGCAGCAGGTGTCTTCTATATTCAGCCTTTTCAGAATATTCTAATTTTTTGAGATACCAAATTTGGAGTTTTCATTAGTTGTCACTTATGAATATCAAATTTAAATGTAATGAACATTGGAAATACATTGGTCTGTGTGCATTGCATGAATATAATGTACAAGTTTCACGTTTTGAATGGAATTACTGAAATATTTTCAACCTTTTGATGATATTCTAATTTACTGGCCAGCACCTGTACGTGTTCTAAAGGTAATACAATCTCTTATCACTACTGTTGTTGCTACACCTGTGAATACAAGTAACTTTGTTGTTTTTAGCACCCCTAGTGTCCATTTAGTAGAAACAAAAGCAAAACTCATTACCCCGCTCTGTGAAATGTCTTCCCAGCCCTCAATAGCATCTACAGGAGAGATTCGTCACAAAATCAAACATATCAGATGTGTTCATGATCTAAAACATGCAGGAAACGTGTTGGAAGCAGACTGCAGTGTCAGGTATGTCAGCTAAACAGCGGCTCGCCACACTGAAGTTGCAAGTGTGATGTTCTGGCCACAGAGGGCGGTGGGTCTGAGTGACTTTTCATTAACCCTGTTAAGGGTCATTTTAGCACATACTGGCTCAAGAAAAAGGTTTAAAAATGTGAAAATGTTGTATCCCTTTAAATAACCTAACTGTCCAACACGAAACAGAGCAACAAAACTAATTTTAAGTAACAAAAATAAACTCTATGTAAATTATTTAGACTTAACTATTTACAGGTAAACAACTTAGAAATGCTAAGATTACCACACAATAACATTTGTAGAGTCTGCTTGAAAAGATATTTTGCTTTGCATAGTCCACACACTCTTCATTTGAATTGTCAATATTGGTAAAATGTGTCCAAATATGCCTGCATTTCCTGCTTTAATTCATGTCCTCGCCTTTCTCCTCATCCTCCTCCTCCTGCTGCTCTTTGAGTTTACACCAGTGCCTGTCTGTATGCCCCGCTCCTCCCCTTCCCCTCCTGCTCGCTGCAGACACAGATACTAAGCACAGGCGCCCTTCTAGGAGTTGACCAATCACGTGCGGCTTAAACACGGAGAGAGAATGGGAGAGGGAGGAAGGAAAAAAACAGACTCCGATTCGGCTCCTCAGATAAAGATCGGTCATTTCTAAGAGCCATTGCGTTTGCGAACGACACATCACTACTTTGCTGGTTCTTCTGTTTTCCTCCCCAGCACGTACCACATTGTAAGCCAGTAAAATATATCTTCCTTAAACAAGAAACAAGTAACTCTACTTGGTTCAGTAAAGTTGTGGGTGAAAAAAAGTAACTTATAAAGTTGCCGCACGAGTGCTACTTTTAAAAATAGTTAATCGCACAGAGTTGTATTTTTTTCATCGCACTTGCGACATATATGTCGCACTGTACAGCCCTGAAATGATGTCTCATGCTCCCTGAGCCACCCTTTCTTTTTTTTTTCGTGTCCTGTCTGGCTGTGAAGCAAAAAGAATTAATGTCTGAATGCTGGTGACAAGCCTTACAGATTTACTCTCAGGTGGAGCATCAAAGCGTCTGCTTTTAATGTCACACCTGATACTTAAAGGGACTTTTACGGAGTTTTGAATTTTTATGCTCGCGATTGCCCCCTCAAGCAAAAAGCGTAACGGCAGCTTCAATAGTAGGCTCGTGCACGAGGCGTGCATGCTGTACGCGCACACTCCTTAACGAAAATAACAGCTGACAGTCAGCTCTGTGTGTGTGTGTGGCCCGGAGGACAGTGGACAGGAGAACGCGCAGCTAATTAATTAAATAATTTTGTTCTGTACCTTTCTCTTCAGCACAGCCGACAAAGGTTTAAGATGGGTCAGTCCGTCAGCTTCACAGAGCTTCCCTTCCCTTGTTTGAAAAATTGTTCCAAAATGAAAGTTGCTCATTCTGAGCAGAATCGTGACACAAAACTGTCAACGTCAGGGTGATTTGCATATGTGTGCACCATGCTGTGAACGTACAGTGTGACTGTCTCTGCGACAGCTCTTTGAGCCATGTCACAACCAAATCAGCCTCAAAAAGTCTTCAAGCACTATTTGAAAACCTCCGACTCCCGTCTGCAATCAACCAATAAAAACACACCTTTGGGATGCTGCAGCAAAAGACTCCGCCTCTCTGAGCTTCAGTTTCAATTTATGTTTAAAATGCAGATTATAAACTACACTCCAGTTTTTATTTTTATTATTAGCCCAAGTTAAACCGGAGTTGTACTAAAATAATGAAACTACATTTTTTAGACCATCAGATGAATTGTGAAAAGGAGATGAGCTCGCGAACATAAAAACTAAAACACAAAAACTTGTGATCCCTTTGCTGTTGGTGGAAATTTCACATATTCAACTGATGAGGATGGTTCAGTAGCGTTTTGCTGCAGAGGGACAGAGAAAGCCCCGCGACAGCGGGTGTGAGCTGTCACACGGAGTGGAGCTGTGGAGCAGTGAGACAGAACTCACTGCAAAAGTTATATTGCAGCGATCTGTGACAGATTGTTACTTCTCTGTAGTTTAGTGGGTTATTGTGTATAAAGGAGGATAAGGATGAATGACCAGCTCCACTTTTTAGCTGGAAGATGGGAAAATGAGACTCGCAGCAGAAGTCTGACGCCAAAGCGAGGGTTTTATAAACGAAGCTTCCTCTTTGAAAAAAAAAAGAGTTGGGTCATGAACTGACACTAAAAAGAAGTGTTTTCATTTTTTCAGCTTTGTTTTGGTTGGCAGGCTGCTTAGTGACGCATGCGTTGGGAGGTGCGCTCATGACGTTGCGTGTCCTGCTGGAGAGAGACGTCGTGCAATCTACCTCGCTGAAATCTAGCGCCGTATAGTGTGACACCTCTCTGGGATTCTCACAGTGTGACACGAACGATCCTGTGCGATGGCCAAAAATCGCTCAGTGTGATCCCGGCTTTAGATGTGTTCTCTGATTGATGCATGCCAATGATCTGGCCCTTCTCACACAGGCTAACATCTTCTCCACGACCACCAGGTGTGTCTTTCCACAGTGGTTTAGGTAATGAGAAACAAATGATTGCACCAGTTGGGGTTAAATTACCTGTTGCCAGCTGAAAGATTATCACCCATGCAGTAATTATCCAATAGGAGGTTCCTACCTATTTGCTTAGTTAAATCCAGGTGGAGACTTTTTTTGGCCGAGCAGTCCCACGGCAGTTTGCTCTGGTGGACACAGCTTCCTTTTTCTTTGATGAGCATTCATTCGGCGACTAATAAGGGAGACACTTAGCTGGTCAGCAACAAAAACACAGGGCCAAAATAAGTTGGGCTGACCTAGTTTACCTGTCTGTAGGACAGCTGGCAGGTCACTCTCAGTCCCGCTGTCTGGGATTACTTCTGTGTCCTCATTTTTAAAAAGTGTGTAATTAGCTCAGAAGATCTTACAGGATTGTGGTCAATCACAGTAAAGACTTGTTTGTTCCTGTCCCCTGGGAGGTGGTGGTAGGTAGGTACTCAGTGTAATGCTGTTCTCAAAGTAAATGATGGAAACATCTTTAACTCTTAATTTCACATTGAATAAAAAGTATTAGTAACCTGTTGGATTTCAGGAATGATTGGCTGAACAGTTTGGAGTTTTATAGTTTTTGCTATTCCTGATTTTATTGTAGTTGTAATTATGGATGCGGGATATCTGTATTGGCTGATATTGGTTCATATTTTAACACATAGATGAATAAAACTGGGCTGATATTAAGAACTCGTATTTATTTCCATCTTGTTTGCATCTGTTTGTCAGGAGGGGGTGGGCCATATGTGTGATGCAATGAAGGAGTGGGGGTGTGTAACTGAAGCAGAGATGCAATGAAAGTGGTGTGGTCACCGTTGCACGTTTTCAAAAGTTTAGGGTATGGGTGCCATTTCCTGGTCCTGGAGGGCCATTATACAGCATGTTTTAGTTGTTTTCCTGTTTCAACATACCTGTTTTCAGTCATCAGGTGATTAATGGGCATCTACAGAGTTTGATGAGCTGCTGAGCAGGTGGTTTAACCACTTGATCAAGTGTGTTGAAGCAGAAAAACAACTGGGTAATATAACACATAATAGTTGTAAATATCACGTATTAGCCATCACAGCAGCATTCAAATCTGTCATCAAAATCAGCCCAACTTTTAATAGCATTGCATCTCTAGTTAGAAGTATTACAATGTATTTTTTGTTTTGATTTTCAGTGATTAGGCCCCTTTCCACTATCAGAACTTCTGTGTAATTTTACCAAATCTTCATGCTATGTGTGTCTCCATTTCCCCGGGCCGGCCAGAATCGACCACTTTCTTGGCCATTTCAGTAACCAAAAGTGTACTTGCCTATGTGTGTAGCTGTGAATGGTGCTGTCGAGGTGTTGGGCGGGATTTTTGGTTAACTCATGCAGATTGGTTGGAACTCAATAGGAAATATTAGCAGCAGATGTCACCAAACAATATGAATTTGTAAAATTTGAAGAGTTGATGGTGGAGCAGAATGGAAGAAAAAGAAGATGAGCGTTGATGCGGCTGTAAAGTCACCAGTTCCAAACTCCAAATGCTAAAAATTGCAGCAGAAATCTACCAACAGTACCAGAATGTACACTCTTATTGTGTCTCTTACTGAGCGCCTTAAAAAAAACATGTTTCTTCTGGTCATTGAACACCACTTTTTACATCACACAATTGCTCTCTAAACGTGTTCGCTTAACGCCGTCAAAGATGGTGTACTTAAACAGAGAAGATGTCACAATGTAAATTAGCATTCATGGGCTCACCCATCTTGACTTGCAACGGGGAAGGCTGTTGTTGGTTTAGCGTCCAGGAAACGGCAGAAAACGTCTTGCTAGCAGAAGCTAACCATTAGCATTAGCAACTCCACAACATAGCAGAACTCCTCAAGGCTCTTGTTTTCTGTGTAGATGTGGAATAAACAGATGGTTCACGTATACAAGCAGTAACAAACCGTTCTATCAACCAGATCATCAGTAGTTATTTAACATGATACACTTGATCATGTAGAGGCTTTTAAACCAGAACAAATCACCATGGTACCTTATGCTCAGCACATAACCTCCGGTCTCTGAGGGTGTTGGGTGGGAAAGAAAATTCATTTGAAACTTTTAAGCCACAAGAGGCATCATATAAGTAGCTGCTGCTGTGTTTGTCCTTGTGCGTGTACCTCAGGAAGCAGGAGGACCTGGTACAGAATGTGAGGCAACGGCTCGAGGAGGCCCTGATGGCGGATTCTTTGGCTTACATGGAGGACGCCGCTGTCGACGCTGCAGATGACAAAGCCGAGAAAAAGGATGAGCAGCTGGAAAAGGAGGAATTATAGCTGAGGAGGTAAACGGGGAAAACAGCAGCACTGACTCTAAAACGAACATCCTTTGAGTCATCAACATTCACTTTGCCTCTGAATTAAACCGGCTTCTCGTCTTTCTCACAGGTGTGCGGAACATGAAGTGTGCTGGTAAACTCTTCCAGATATTTAAATAAAGGTTCCATTTTACATTCAAATGCTGATTAAAAAGGACTTTAAAATGAGACTTTCTGGAGACTTTTCTAACATAAACAAAGACCGTAGTCTTTATTGTTATATATTTTTACACTTGCTAGTGTAATCCTTAAAGGGTGCTTTTAAGTTTCACTTTTTATTTTACCTCTGCTAACGTAAGGCAGCTGTGGAAGGTGCTCAGTACAATGCAGTGTTACAGTTAGTTACCAGCTGTTCAAGCTCAATACTGAAGATGCAAACCTCACATGCGTGAATGAGTGTTGTCATGTTTATGTTTGTTGTGTGTTTTATACTTCTGTTCTCCCAGATTGTGTTGCTTTTTATTTACTGACACTGTTCGTAGTTGTGTCACATGGAGTGTGTTTGAACACAAGCTGCAGTATTTCTATATGAACACGGCAATTACGTGGCTGTGGATAAACATCTCGGTTTTACAGTTCATTTACAATAATTTGAGTTTACAAAGCTTGAGTCTTCATATTTGTGTTGTTCTAATTTGCCAACTACATTTGAGTTTTAACTTTAACATTAACGTATCTGTAACCTCAGACAATAACAAATGCTGTACTTCTTTACATATGATGTTTGTGTACCACTGTTACTGTAAAATAAACAAATTCCCTTTATAATTTGTGATCAAGAGTTTTCTTCTTGTGCTTATAATTCTTCAGAATGGGTTTAAATATTACAAATCTTCTCCGTTCTGGTTCCCAGAAGCATTTGGAGCATTTTGAACAGCAATAAATTGGTTCCCAGCTTGCCTCATTCTTCTTAACATGTGCCTTTTATTGTCTCGTTCAATACCTCTTTGAAATGTTTCTTCCCTAAAATAATAGCAGAAAACACTTGTTCTACATCTAAGTGTAGTGAATTAAGTGCTTGCCCCATAATCAGAAAGTTGCAGGTTCGAGTCCCACTCAGTCTGTCTCTGTCGTTGTGTCCTTGGGCAAGACACTTGACCCACTTTGCCTGCTGGTGGTGGTCAGAGGGAGGGTGGCGCCTGTGTACGGCAGACTAGCCTCTGTCAGTGTGCTCCAGGGCAGCTGTGGCTACAATGTAGCTCATCACCACCAGGGTGTGAGTGGGTGAATGACTGATTGTGCTGTAAAGCACCTTGGGGGGTTTTAGGACTCTAGAAGGCACTATATCAAATAGAGGCCATTTACACTACACCTTTATAACAAACAGAATTAGATGCATCCAATAAATGCATTTAAGATTTAGAATTTGGAGCAAAGATGTTTGCATTTGTGTTTTTCATGTAAGTGGTTGGTGATAATAGTGCCCTCTATTAATGATGCATCCTAAATCAGAAATTGTCTTAAAACGTGTAGGAAAATAACATGCTTCAGAACAATGTCTGTTGGAACAGATTAACAAGCTGCAATTAACCTAGATGCATTTATGTTAGACCTATTTTAATTCCATTTCTCTCTGAGCAGCTGGATTAAACAAGGAAAAGGCTAAAAAGCATCATTCTGAGCCCCGTCTGAATAAAAGGAGTTTGTAGACGTTTAAAGTTGCATCTGTTAAAAAAATGTTTTCATTCACGTAAAAGGCTCCCTGCATTATAAAGTGATGCTTTGGAAATGTTTCTCTTGTGTGATTTCTAATTGTTATAATTAAATGACTAGGAATCAAACCCAGCAACGCAGGAAGCATCATTCAGAGGGGATGTTGGACCACCCCAAACACCTCATTGGTAGCCATGATGAACACACCCAATAGTGAAATATCTTTTCCAGAAGTATCTATCTCTTCTTTAGCTGGGTGGGAAAACACAGCTTCATACAATAATAGAGGCGAGCAGATAGTTGGACAGAGTGGTAGAGGGTGGCTGATGCTGTCCTTGCTGCATGTGGCCTTTGAACCTATTGTTGTGTCGCGGCTGACGTCAGTGCCGTGTGCGGTAGACGGAGCGGCGCGCGCCAGGCGAGACAAAGGCGGCGGACCGAGCGGGGTCAGGCGGCAGCGCAGAGTCGAAGGCGGCGGACGGAGCGGGGTCAGGCGACAGAGATTCACTGTTTTATAACTAAAAAGGAACTCCCAGCCTCGGGTTTGTCCCTGACCTTACAGGGAACGGAGACTCAGCGGCTCTCTTAAGTGTGCTCCGACTCCCCAAGAAGAGAAGAAAACAACGGTGGCCTCTTTTCGATTTCTAACGTTTTTTTTTCTTCAACGCCCCCCATTTAGCTTCTAGTTAGCTGTCGCGCTAAGCTCGCAGCTCTGCTCTGATCTCCTCTGCCTCCTTGCTGCCTCCCGTCTTTTTACCTCAAGAGCTGGACGACAAGCGAAAAGAGGACCAAAAAAGACAGATTAAGTAAGTTCACCGTATATCCGCTTTTGTTTAATTTTAAAAGGTATCCGTGTTGTTTTTGATATTAGGCAGAAGTTCGACTGTCAGAGCGGAGCTAGGTAGCTAGCTGCTGTGCTCCCAAACAAAGGGGCAGACAACGTGACTGTGCCGACTGTGTGGAGCTAGCATGTTAGCTTTCTTTATGAAGCTAACAACAGCGTTTAATAACTGGGTTCTTCTTTTTATTTTACTTACACGCGCTGAGTGAACCGCAGGGGCTAATGCTAGAAATCTTGGGCTTCCCTGTGTTTGAAATTACTTGTCAGACAAAACAAGCAGCCTGCTGGATGTTGTCAGACAAGAAGCAGCAACAACAGACAAAGCGAGGCGCTCAAATCAACACTATTTATTCACGCTGTTGTTGATAGGAGCTCCACGTTGCCATCTTCACTCGTGCTTTGGGTGTTTTATTGAAAACTCAACACTTGTGTTTAAATCGTATTTTGTATCTTTCCTTTTTGTCCTATTTTAGCTGAGAGTGAGATCACTCCCAACAAACAAGCATCCGTGATCTGATGTGAGATCCACGGAGGGACTATGCCTAGCCCATTATTCCATCCCGAAATTATAGACCACGACGTGATGATCAGCAGCCAGCACGGCGGAGTTGCTCTGTCCAGGGAAACGGACCAGGAGTCCCGGGATGAGGATCACCAAGAGGCTCTGCGCTTCGCCCTGGATCAGCTGTCACTCATGGCCATGGAGAAAGTGGACTGTGGGGTCGTCGTCGTTGGCAGTGGAGGCAACGGGCTTGTGGACACCCTGGATGGGACCCAGGGTCCGGGTTCTGAGAGCTGCAATGGTGTTGGTGGAGGGGGGTACGTGGATCTACAGTTGCTGGAACATCCCAGCGGGTCGAGGGACTCTCCGTCGTCCTGCTCTCCTTCCCCGGAGTACTACGGCTCAGGCGGGTACCACATGGCCGGATCGCACCCAATGCTCCACGGGGAACAAAGCTCCGTCCTCTGTAACAGAAAAAGAAGCGTCAACATGACTGAATGTGTGCCCGTTCCGAGCTCTGAACACGTTGCAGAAATAGTAGGAAGACAAGGTAAGCATGTTCTGCAGATCAGACTAATTATCATTATTATTGTTTCTTTATTTATTCAGGACTTGCTCGGGCAGCATGCAGCCTGACGGCTCTTTGTTTGGGTGCTTGTCTGCTGAGAGAAGGCGCTCTGTACTTGAAACTATCTGGTTGCTCTAGGCTGCCTGTTTATTTCCCAACAGCAGCCTTAATGCAGCGATGCTGTATAAAACCAAAACATCTCACCTTGTGCTATTTTCTGTCCTTATTGTATGAGTATTTTAGACAATGCTTCTGACAGAGGAGTGCGAGAGTGGTGGTTGATGAGGAGGATAGAGGGGGAGGGGTGGAAGAGGGTCAGACAAAGCGGCAGATTGTCGGGAGTCTGGACGTGTCTAGCAGCCTGCACCAAACAAAGGAAATGTAGCGAAATGCGCTCAGGTGGAGGATCATAGACATAAAAAGGCTAATTTAGACACAAAACTCGCGTCTGTGACGTTTAAACGCATCAGCGGTGTGTGATGATCGGCTCTCCTGGGTAGATTTGAGGCTGAAACGAGGAGACGCACAAACACGGACTGGGCGGTGTAACGCCCTGCACCCAGCGGCTGTCGGCCGATGCTGCTGCTCCGCCTGCAAAGCCTTCAAGTTTAAATAAAAACAAGAAATCCTAGTTTTTATCCACAGATCGGCGACTGGTGCGGTGTGCTGGTGTTTTTGGGCTAGTTTTGCCGTCGCAGCCGCAGTAGCGTTACGGCATTGTTCTCTTTGTTTGAAAAAGCCATGCTTTCTGCTTCCCAGAATGACATCACGCTCCGCGCCTCCTATTGGTCACCGACACTGAAGCCTTCTCATTTAAAGACACAGAGCGGTAGATGGAGGCTGCTGGGCCACAACAACACAGGCAGTGCTGCAGATGCATCCAGTAAACCTGCTGCCATCATTCCCATTGTTGTGGTTTAGATTAATGAGTGGTGGCTATTAAGTAGACAGGAGTATTGGCACTGCATTAATATTCCGATTAATACACACAAGCTAGTGATTTACATTAATTTTTATGTTAAAATACATGCAGTCTTTTCCATAGTTAACAGTTTATTACCTTAGACAGATGCAGCTTTCTAAAGCTTTAGTGTAAGGATATGTATTCATCCAATAAATATGTATACAATAGTACATAATACAAGTTTTTGCTCTAAAAAGAGCATGCCCATAAATGCTCTAGTAGTGTTTACCTTTGCACCATCTGAACATGAGCACCATTGGATTTTGTGAACACGTGCATCATATTTTTGTTGTTGGATTTGCATAGTTTTGTGTATGAAGCTGTTTATGTTCCCCCTTTTGTCCCAGGTTGTAAAATCAAGGCCCTGCGCGCCAAAACAAACACCTACATAAAGACTCCCGTCAGAGGGGAGGATCCTGTGTTCATCGTGACAGGACGCAGGGAGGATGTGGAAATGGCCAAACGCGAAATCGTATCTGCAGCGGAGCATTTCTCCATGATCCGGGCTTCCCGCTGTAAAGCCGGAGGTGCTGGAGGAGGAAGCTCCCTGCCCGGACCACCTCACTTACCTGGGCAGACTACCATACAGGTACAGAGCCCCCTTTGGTGTTTTTGTTGATCTTTGCAAGCTGTTTGGTTTCTTCACATCTCCAGAAGGAAATATTCAGGCTGAAATCTTGTCTCCTGTCTTTGGTCCAGGTGAGAGTGCCCTACAGAGTGGTTGGTTTAGTAGTCGGACCGAAGGGAGCAACCATTAAGCGCATTCAGCAGCAGACTCACACTTACATCGTGACTCCTAGCCGAGAGAAAGACCCGGTGTTTGAGGTGACCGGGATGCCAGAGAACGTGGACAGAGCGAGAGAGGAGATTGAGACCCACATCACCCTCCGAACTGGAACCTTTGTAGACCTGCAGGGAGACAACGACTTCCACACCAATGGCACAGATGTCAGCCTTGAAGGCCTCAACTCCTTGAGTGGAGGACTGGGAGCATCCCTCTGGTCCAGAGCTACAGGCCACCATTCTGCCCCGCCTCCTCCTCCTCCATCCCCACCACCATCCATTCCCATGTCCATGCATCACTCCTCAAGTCGTAAGATGTCCTCATCAGTCGCCTACCACACGCACAATGGCGGGATGAGCTCAGAAAGTTTCAACACCACCCGAAAGGCCAATGAGGGGGGCAGCCCCACCAGTCCTTTTAGCACAGGCTCCAGCAGCGCAGGGGGGGGTTTCACATTTGGAGGTGACTCAACCCCAGGACTGCCTCCCTCAGATGAACTGGGCTTTGAGTTCAGCGCTTCAAACATCTGGGCGCCTTTTGTAAATGGTGGAGCAGGAAGTAAGACAGCCGGCAACAGCCAGCAGCAGCCTCTACGACGCAACAGCAGTGGCCTCAGCGGTGGCGCCATCACTCCACGATTGTCTCCAACCCTGCCTCAGGACACGGGCGTGGGCCCTCTGGATCACCCCCTGGCTCGCCGTGCTCAGAGCGACCCCCTCAGCACTCTGTCTTGGCTGCAGTCTGGCAGCACAGGTGGCGGCTCCTTCTCTGGAGCTTCCAGCTCTGGCGGCTCATCGACTGGCTACTCCTCCTGCTCGGCCTCCTCCTTGCCCGGCGGCTCGCCCACCGACTCTGAGGGCGGCGGCAGCGGCGTGGGCCTCAGCTCTGGGATGCTGAGCCGTCTGAAAGGTGGCCCCAGCTCTGGGGTTGTGGGTCTGGTTGGCGTTAGCCCGGGGGTCAACAGGGACTGCTTTGTTTGCTTTGAGAGCGAGGTGACGGCAGCCCTGGTGCCTTGTGGCCACAATCTGTTCTGCATGGATTGCGCTGGGCAAATCTGCCAGTCAGCTGAGCCTGAGTGCCCCGTCTGTCACACTCCGACCACACAGTGCATCCGCATCTTCTCCTAATGCCCTGCCTGCTTCAGTGAGGGGAAGTTGAATATTTAGGATGGAAGGGTCCAGACAGAAAGGCCATGAACATGGCTCCAGCTGTGATGGAGGCAATGGAAGGATTCACACTAATGACCTTCACACACTCTATGAACCATTAAGAAGCATTAAAAGAGTTGATGATACTATATGGATGTTGATATATTGCTGATAACTGTCCAGATAAATAATAACAGTAATAATAATGACTTATTTTCAGAAGAGAGTTGAGTAAAGCTGGTCAGCGGACAGTCGGGGCTGAGACCTTATGGAAGGAAACTAGTGTCTTATCTCTCCAGGCCTTCGTTTTGGACATGGAGCAGCCCGTCCCTTCAGGCTGCAGGTCTGTCTCCACAAGTCTTCATTCTGGCTTCTTCAGATTTCTGCCTGCTTTCTCTCTCACCGCCTTTCCTTTGGACACTTTTGTACGTAACAGATATTTTTGGATGAAGTTGTCAACGAGGCCTGCACTTTTCTACTCCTGATTTTCATATTCTCGACACCCCCACCCTGTCTGCGCTCACTCATGCTAATTTGTTTGAAGCGGGATGGCTGCTGTTTTTTTGTAAACCCAAAGCATCTCTGTATGTCTTATTTTTAAGGTCGACATGTTGTCAGGCACCCAACACTAACGCCCCAAAGGGACCTCTTCAGGATTGATGTTTTCATGATTTCATGTTTTCTCAAACGCCGCCGAACGTTTAGCCATCAGCTGATAATGCCAAACTATCAACTAAAACAACCGTCGGTAATTCTTTAGATTCAATAATGCGTCAGCTGTAATCTGGACGAGTCTGCCTCCACGCTTTAAATGTGGTCACTGAATTGCTTTTTATTGATTTTGTATGATGTGAGAAATGTATCATTTAGTGATGCTGACGGACGGTGATTGTGGTCAGTTTGTATGTTTGGACTGTCAGACAATCCCTTTACATTTCTATCTTCCTTGTTTGTGTGTGTGGAGAGTTATGCCCGTTTCCTCTGTGTCCGTGTGTCATCATCACACCACATGTCTGTTACACTCAGATCTGCTCGTTTTAGTGGCTTCTGCTGGTTTATGACGCTCGACTGTCTCATACGCGGCATTTGTTGAAGGCGCGATAGGGCTTTTCTGATGTCACACAAGAATGTTTGGTCCAATACGGTTAGGGAGAGAAGACTGCTCCTCGCACATGAAACAATAACAAGGGGCTTGGTTGAACCGTTTTTATTCTTCATGCACTGTAAGTCCCAGTCATTAAAAAAGTTTTCAGTTAGGATTTGGTCTTCCACCCGTCTCTCGCAGCCAAGCTGTACGACAGCCTCTCTGATGACACACTCTTGTACCCGCATAGCTGCACTACATGGTTTAGTAGTTTGAGATTTGTTCTGTGTTTCATAGCATAACTGAGTTACTCTGATGAGGCAGGTACGTTCCTGTTCTGTGTTTGTGTTTTTTTTTTAAATGTTCCGTGAGTTTGCAGTAACTGCCTCTTCTAGTGTTAATACGACGTGATATCTTTTTTATATATACAAATATTTTGGGCGACGTGGGTGTGTCGGTGGCCTTCGGTGCCCCTCCCCTCTTTGTGGAATCAGCTCATAGAATGAGACAAGCCATGACAGCTGACTTAAAGCAACACACCTGATTCTCAAGGGCTTCCTCTGACTGCACAGACACATAATCACATTTTCAGGCTCACACAGTAGGAAGAATCAACCTTATCCTTTTATGGCAGCTAGTAGCTAGGTCATCCAGGGCTTCCAGACACGTTTGTGTTCCAATTCCAGCAGCTGCAGAATGTTTTGCTTTTTATTTGTCCCTCCTATTGTCCCTACACAGCCATTACATCTAGATCTCGTTTGTGTGTAGGGCCCAGTGAGAAGAAGGGCAGGAACGGGCCAGTTCCCGTTATGCTGCGATGCTCCAGTTTAGGAAACGTGAATGCAGTTTACTTTTGGGACTGTGGCAGCAGCTCCGCCATAAGTGTCCCAGCTGAGTGCAGCAGTACACACACACACACACACACACACACACAAATTGTCCAGGAGCTGAGCTGGCTGTCTTTCATGGTGCTTTGGTGCAACTCCCTACTGAGTCACAGATGAACAAATCCAGTCGTTAGTGGTGCACCGTTTAGTTCTCAGAATGCCCATCCCCGGTGCACCATGGATCTGGCGCCCCTGCACTCACCCCCAACCCTTTGTGGGAATGCTGTGTTAAAACTGGAGACACCCTCTTCTCGTTGGACTTTGTTGCTTTTTAGTGTTTTTGTTTTAAAAAATTTTTTTGGGTTCAACTCAGAACAGATGCAGGGCTGTGAATGTGTCTGAACCCGTCTGCGATGACTGGTGCGAGCCTCTCGGAGCCCTCCTTAAAGTGTTGAAGTGTCGTATTCGCCGGTTGGGTTTGATCCTGGCGTCGCCCCAGGATGTTCTTGGCTGTTGTGAGAATGTTAGAATTAATGTACAGTAATTTTAATTGTTAAAAGGTACAAATTGTTTTCAGATTGACTGCTAATTTTTTTTATATATATATATATATTTTAGCTAATTGTGTCCCCCTCCCCCAATTCCTTCCTAAAAGGTTTGAAAACAGGGTTTCCTGAGGCATGCTAGTCAGTGACCTCTGACCTTTTTTGTGATTTGAGAGGGGATGCTAAGAGAGCCACACCAGTAGGGGGGTGACTGACTCCCCTCAAGTCTCCGCTCTCTTATTTTTTGCTTTAAATCTCTTTTTTTATGCAGAACCAAAATGTAAACGTCAGCGAGTCGGTTTCAGGCCTAACCTGTGTGTAAATACCCCGGATACAATCAGCAGGATCTTCTTTTCAAAAGCAAAACCACATAATTGAAGATAAGTGTAGTTTCTAAAGAACATGTATCGTTATTTGTAAGTTAACCATCTGCATGTCTTCGAGCCACCTGGCATTAGCTAATAATTTTTAAGACAAAAAATAAAAATAAAAAAAGCTTTTTACATGTTTTATTTTTTATAATTTGTTTGCTTAAATATCCCAGACAATAATGTGACCCTTTTTATTACTTCAAATTTATTTTTGTTTCCATTTTTTTATTTTCCTTATTTCCTGTGTACTACATATAGGCAATTTATAACAAAATGAGAAAATTATTGAAGAAATTTTAAAATTGAAATATATTTTATTTGAAAGTTTATGGACCTTTTAACCGTGAGCCGGAGAAATTGTATAATCGTATAATTTGAGCTGACTTGACGGTTATGAGAAATGTATCAAGAGTTTTATTTTTTATGCTTCTTTAATAAAGTCTTGTTTTTTGGTTTCAGTTTTTTACTGTAAAAATGAAAACCGTGTCCTGTCTTTATTGGCGGAGCAGAAAGGTGCCACACGGTGGCAGCAGAGACGACGCCTGCAGCTACATGACTCATGGCATGACGGGAACTCTGCAGTCAGGCTCCAGAGCAATAGACATCCTGAAGTCCTTGATGGAGTCCTGGCGCATTTTCATATTCAGCTGAAAAGCGCTGCGTTGCGTTTGCAGCAATCAACATGCTAGAAGCTACACAAACATTGTTTGGAAAATGTAAAAATGCATTTTTTAAATTTTCTGCATAAATGGCTTATTCCATACTTCGTTCTGTCTCGCACTAAATGTGTTTGTTAAACCATAATTAAAAACACTGATGTAAAATATTTCATGTCCATTACTTCGTGACCTGGGGAAAATAAAACTAAAGCTAATATATTTACTTGCTACATTTTACCTTCACGTAGAGGTCAGAGGTGGCAGGGGCTTCCAGCTAAAGGTTTAAAGGACTCCTCAGAGATGTTTGAGTTTAGAGCTGCAGCTTGACACCAGACTTCATGAAGCAGAGGTGACGATGTGCAGGTTTGTGACACAAAAGTGTTTATTAGGAAGCAGTTCACAATAAGGCTGCATTCCAGATCCACTTCATCCTTGTTAAACAATAATGATTAAGAAACAAATTACAAACATCCTCAGTAGAAAACAATCCTTTCATGCGACTTCTGTGTTCACACCACATTCATATTAATAACAGATGAATTATTTATTTTCAGAAAAACAAAACACACTGATGACTAGTTATGTAGCTTCGGAAAGTTAAAAAGAAGAGAGAAAAAGGCAAGTAACATCAAAGACACAACGTGCTGACACTAAAACGTTTCCCATCATGCAAGTGTGGTCGATTCTATTCACAGCGCGAGCGTCGTCTGTCTCCACAGAGTGGTGTTGGCGTGCATGAATGCATGTGTGTGTCGTCTACGTGTGCCCTTTTGTGCTTAGGTGGAGATCCGTGTGCAGGTGTGTCGTCACATGTGACCTGGATGGTTTTCTGTTGAAGTTTCAGCTACGATCTGCAGCCGGTGAGAACGGTGCAACTCCACCGGCGCATTCCACGGATTCATCATCTCCATAAAGCTGATCAGTAAAAAGATGTCTAAAATCAGTGGAGCAGCTCGAGTCAGCAAAACTAAAATCAAACAGAACTCCAGTGAAATTTAAAAGGCATGAATCGGTGTCTCTAAGCTAGTTTTTAGTTTAAACAGCCCCTTCAACCAGAGAGAGAGAAGGCTGCTGTGGATAAATGACAGAGGATTTATTTTTGGTAGCTTTCAGCAGGCCTGAATACAGACGACGTGTAACAGACAGAAAACCTAATGCTGACGTTTAGAAAAGAGACTACAAGACGAGTTGGACTATGGCTGTGTCTGCTTTTTTTTCTCTTTTAAATGCTTGGCGGTGACTGGGAAGGCTTCATTAGTTAAAAATAATCAAATATGACCTCTTTTAAATTTGGTAGTAAAGAAAAATACTAATGCTAATCAGTTTTATTCACACTTCTGACAGGAATGGGAACTGATGAGTCCATACATAAAACAACACAATTCCCATTCCATGGATGTGGATAGTGCACTTGGTGCTGCTGTAGATCAGAATGTTAACAGCGCATGTTTGGAGTGTGTTCATATTGCTCACAATCTATTATTCAGGTGTCACAATCCACCCAGACAGATACACAAACAAACACATGCATGGACACGCAGACAGAAGACAGAAGGTTTGTCCAGAGGGACAACTATTGCCTTTAGAAGATGGGTTTGTGTGTGTGTGTAGATGGAGAGGGGAGTCATGTGATCAGATTGCTAACAGAAACATGGAGGGTGTGTATTAGTTAATGAAAACCCAGTCCACTGATCTTGTAGCCCTTTTTTAAGTGAATAAGTACTCTTGGGGGGGGGGGGGGGGGGGGGGGGGGGGAATTGCTGAGTTTGATGTAATATGTTTACTGAAGCATCTCTCCATCTGCAGATCTCTGATCAGATTAACGTGAGCTGCAGGGTTATGTGCACCATGCTCGAGCAGATATATAAGAGGCACCCATCTTTTATGTTGCCATGGTTACAGGGAGTGAATCACAGTGTTCCTGGGGTCAACACATGCAGGATGATAGTACATTACAGCAATGCGGTGATGTTGCCCCGTTGACACTGATCTGAGGTCAGTTAGGGGAAAAAGGATCTTAGATCCGCGTCTGCACTCACACAAAATCACCCTGTAGGAAGACGGTAGAGCAGATGGCAAGGCTGAAGCAGGAAGAGCAACGCAGACAGACAGAGAGACAGGTAGACAGGTGGATGGACGGACAGCATAGCTAGGCAAGAAGTGCTCTCCTGAAAACGCAGAGAAGCAAAAGTGCAAAGTGGTCGTTTCCCATCTATTCACATGGTTTTGCTGTTCTGTGGTGCTTTTAATCACAACTAAATCAACAGCGTAAAAAAGGTGATGTAAGAAAAGACTGATGCCTTACTAACTGTAAACTTACTCAGTTCAAATGCAGAAATAAAATCTAAACCAAACCTCTGAATAAATCTATTTCCCAACTTTTGCATTGGTATCATTGCTGTGTAAATGTTGCATAATGTATGCAGATCTATGTACAATAGAGAAGCTTTACAAGTGTGCTTATATATTGCACGTGGGTTTCTATGGAGACGTGAGGGCTGTGTGTGTGCGTATGTCGTCGTCTTCCCCCCCTCAGCTGCGGCCCTCCTCGGCAGAGCGCTGGTCCGACTTGAGCTTGACGAACTCTTTGGCCACGTCGTCGTTATTGCGCTGAGAGAGGATGCGCAGCACCGTCAGGCCCGTCTCGTCCATGTGGACCCGTCTCCCCAGAGGCAGCCAGCAGGTGATGCTGCCCTTGCTGGCGATGTCCTTCACCTGCAGCACAGCCATGCCCACGGTGCGGTCCTCTCTGGCAAAGCAGTAGTCCTTCACACACACCTGCAGCTCGTAGCTCTCTGGACCCACCTCAGCGCCCAGCGAGCTGGAAAGGGACAGAAGAACACTTGTGAGCTGTCGTTTCCTGAGAGATGAGTGATTTTTAAAGACAAGCTGCTGAGTGAACACTCACAACTGGAAGCTCTCGCCGAACTTTGGAGACCAGCTGTTGTTCTTAGATTTGGTGGCAAACTTCCTCTTCTTGTCGCTGAGATGAGGGCCAATTATGTAGACCTCCACAAAAGGCCTGAAGCCCTGAGCTTTCCACTTCAGGTCATTAGCAGCCAACACTGGAGGGAGAGAGGACGCGTCTTAACAGAAGGCAAGAACGTCTTACCACGATGAAGTCTTCTTCTCACCCTTGATCCCGATCTTGTGCTCTCCGTTGGGTTGGGGTAAAATGTCCAGGCTCATGACCACCTCGCCCACTGCATCCACACCAGACGCTGCAAACGAGCTCACTTTCAATACACCTTTACTCGGCTTTAACAAGCTCAAACAGAAACAGGGGGAGAGCTGAGGCATGCAGGGAGCCAACACTACTTCAGTTTGATCATGGAGCTGTCTGAAAACAAGATTGGGTTCAAAAGGTCACCCTTTTGGAGTGCAGGTACCTTTCTCTGGTGGGGTGTCTTCATTTGCCGTGCACCTGATCCCTTTGCCTCCGTGCACTGAGGGCAGAATGAAGAAGTTAGACTTTAAAGACATCATTTAAAGGCATAATCCACCCCAAAAAGTCTAATCTATTCTGTGGCCATATTCCCCAGAGTTAGACAAGCGGGTAAACACATTTTGTAGGCAGCCCAGTCAGTCTCCTAATCTGGCAGCACTCCGTTAGCTTTAGCTTAGCATAAACAATGTAAGTGAATGTTAACAGCTAGCATTTCATGTGAAAAAGTCAAATAGGTAGCTTTTTTTGTGACCTAATTGAAGATAACGAGTAACATGAGGGAACGACAGGAGCTGATTTAGACTTGGGACTACTTTATGACAAAGTACGGCAGTAAGCCGCCGCTGCAAGGTGCAAGGACCTGGTGAAATAGCAAATGGCCTGAATTTGATATAGTGCAGGAACCTTTTTCTTAGATTAGAAATGTAAAATGTAGAAACTATGGCAGCAAAACCTCAGTGCGGCTCACACGTTTGTGTTCATGAAAGTAGGTGTCTTCTGGGGCCGCTGCGCTGTGTCACGTCCTTGTGCCTGGCAGCGTCGTGCTTCATCATAATATAGTCCCAAGTCTAAACCAGCTCCTGTAATTCCTACGTTACTTTTTATTTTTATTCATGGTTGATATGATTATTGAGGTCACCAAGCGAATCTCAGATCATTATTGGGTGATTTTTATAATTATTTCCCACTAATCTAACTCTGGGTAATATGGCAACAGACTAAATCTGACTTTGGGATGGAATATCCCTTTAAATGACAAAAGGTTTAAATGAACTCGGAAACGGTACCCTGAGCGTGCTGCGAGAGGACAAACTTCCTGATGAGCTTGTCGGTGGCCTGCGTGTACAGGGACAAGGCGTAACGCAGAGACTGCAGGTCAGGACTCTTCTCCAAGAATGTCTTCTTCAGGCCCACGCCGCCCGCGTGGAAGTATTGCTGCGTAGCAGACACAGCCAGACACAGATCAGACGGACAGCAGGAGGACAGGAGGCTCAAGAGTTTAATATGTCAGGCGCCAAACGCGTTACCTTAATAGTGTCGAGGGCTAGCTCTATGACCGCACACTGTTTAGGAGTCAGAGCCTTGGCCTCCTCTCGGCCCATGTGCTCCTGCAGGATGAACATAGAATCAGTCCAAACCCCAAATAATACAGTGTTCTTTCATTTTTAAGTAAAATCTGATTATATTCAAGTGCTCCTGTTGTGCTCCCACCTTGAGTTTGGACAGCTGGCCGAGATCCTTAGCAGCATTGAAGATCATCTGTGTCCCCTGTTCAAGAGACGGAGGACAAAATTAATGTAAACAGATGTAACGAAGGAACAAACAGACAGAGAACATCGGTAAAAGTCAGATGGGACACAGAAGCAGGCTTTACTTCCATACACTGGTGTGGGTAAACGCTCCTTTAAAATCAGAGTAACTGAAGAAGTCGTGAAAAAGGGGAGGAAGGACAAAGGTTGGGATGTTTTAGTGACCGTTGGTATTTACAGGGATCTGTGGGTAACATTTGCTTTGTTGGACTGTGTTGCTTTAGATCTGCTCACAGAGAAACTGTGATGAAGATCACCGAGGGTTAAAAGCAGATTCTTTATGCTTTAAGAGGCTAAACACATGCTTACAATAACCCGAGAGGGAAGGAGCCGCGGCAAGAACGGGGAAATGGTTTCATGTAGGAGTGGAAACAGCAGAGTTGTGTGTGTGTGTGTGTGTGTGTGTGTGTGTGTGTGTGTGTGTGTGTGTGTGTGTGTGTGTGTGTGTGTGTGTGTGTTTTAGACATACCGTCTGGTCTGTGAGTGTTGGAAGCACAATCGTTTTTTCCATCGTGTTCATCACCAGTTTCCAAAGTTCCTTCAGCACTCGTTTCAGGACCGTTTTCTCACAGATTTTTGCAAACAGCGACAGGCTAAAACATAAAAAATAATCTGTCAGCTTAAAGGACCAGGAGCTGATACAAACCTGGATTTTCATCTAAGGCACATTTTAAAGCAACAACTGGTACATTGAGGTAAATAAGAATAAAATCAGGACGACCTCGCTTAAAATAAAAACATATATACAATTAATTATTACCAACCAAAAAAGACTGTTTTGAATTCTAGCTTCATCAGTCTGTTTAAGCTAACACAGGAACGCTGAATACGAAGGAAATAAATCACAAATAATTATTAAGTTGGGTTGAAACAAAATAAAATGCATACAAATACAAAATAGAGGTGGATTTTTAAAGCAACAATAAAGAGTTTTAACACTTTAAGCTATTGCTTTCAAACTGGTTTCAGTGGTGCTTGAACAACTTCTGTACCCTCTGCAGACCAGAAACTGTACTTATTAGTTTTGTGGTTCGGGTAGAAAGGAGTTCTCTACCTGCTTTATGGCAATAGCTCTTGACTCTGCTGATAGCTAACATAAAGACTAGCAGTTAACCTTTGCAGTTTGCAAGAGAGAGTAATTTCTTTGGAGGCAAAGCAAAGAGCGGAGTGATCATCGGCACGCCTTCATTTGTTTGAGGGAGCTGAAGGAGACTACAAAATCACGGACTGATGGTGACCTGGCTTTGTTGCTACTGGACTTGTAAGTAATAATATTTTTTGTCCAGCAGTGTGGATCTTTTTACTCCGTGGCTTATTTAGTAGAAGTTGGGTCATGTTAGAATTAGCTCGTTGCTTGCGCTAGTGCGGCACGGTTGTTTACGACAGCTGTAATTCCACTTTCAACCAGTAGGAGGGAAAAGCAGGGACATATTTAGTGTTGCTTTAAATAAAGGGGGTTGATAAAAAGTCGATGATGATCATATCGCATGTTTTATTAAGAAAACAAATAAAAGTACGCACGTCATTTTTTTGTGCCTTTTTCATTAGACCATATATTTTTAAATAATTTACACGCATACGACCCCAGAGCTTGAGCAGCGAGAAGTCAAACCAGACTATTAAACCTACTTGCTGTCCAGGAAGTCCATGATGGGTTGCAGGACATTGTCGGCTTCCTGCACCACGCTGCCATTAGCTGGGACTGTCTGACCTTTCACCTGGGCTAAGATGTCTCCCATTTGCCTCACGTTATCTTCAATCTGCGGCTGGAAACTGTAACAAGGTTAAAAAAAACAGATATTAGACATAGGTATTGGTAAAAAGGACCGGATGTTAAAAAAAACCCACCTGACAGCGAAGATGCGACTGAGATCGTCCATGACACTGTTTAGTTTGTTCTGGAGCTCCTTTAGGAAATCACTAGCCTCCACATTGAGCTGGGAGAAAAACGTGTGTGTGTGTGTGTGTGTGTGTGTGTGAGATGAGATGAGAACAGCAGTCAGGTCATATCAGGACAATCAAAAACAACAGCACTGGTGGAAACTTACATCTTTGCCTCCCATAGCCTCAAACATCTTCTCCAGCTGAACTCTGAGCTGCTGGATGTTATTGATTATGATACATGGCTGAAGAGGGAAAGAAGGAAAAATCATCACACTGACACACGCTTGTGTCTCTAACACTCTCTTCCCTACGTTTGGTCCCATCCACTCATTGCAATCAATCGTCATGAGTTCCTTAAACATTTTAATGCTTTCCTAGCAAAAAAAAAAAAAGTCGTGCAGAACAGGAGAAGCTGGAGTTTTCAGTAATTACTGCTCCTTCTGGGGGGTTCTGGTGTCCCAGGGCATGCGGCCTACTTCCCCTAAAGCCTTTACCACCTTCAGCTGATTACAGAGCTCTACTTCAGCGACAAAACCACAACCTGAATTCTGCCGCTACACTCAAGAGGGGTTAATACCTCTCTAAATCACACGTTTTACCAACAGCTGCTTTGCGTAACAAACATTCTCACGTTGACAAACTCAAATATCTACCACTTTCTCCTTCTTGACGTGATTTGGGAAGTCTTTAGCTATGATGTCGGCGTAGGACAGCAGGACATTTCCAATTGTCTGAAAGAAAAAAGTCAGAAGAGGTTTACTGAGCACTATAAGGTAAAGTCTTTACGCTTCAGTAGAAGAGAAAGTCACCTTGGCAAATCTTTTCATGTAGTTGCCGACGATCTGCGGGTCAGGACACTCCAGCTTGCGGATGATTTCAAAGCTCTGATTGAGCTGGGAGAAGACGTCCACCACTGAGCAGGAGAACAACGCGTGCTCCGATGTGACCTGGAACTGGAGACGGAGAAGAAGGACCGGGGGGACACGTTCAGGGAGGTGCTGATGAACACTGAAGGAAGGGGGGGGGGGGGGGTCTGATTGCCTAAAAACTTTGGGAGTAAGAGGAAGGTTGTTCAGCTGCTCGCCGTGTTTTGAGTTTGTTTTTTTAAGGTGTTTGGATCAGAGAGAGGAAAGTGGTCAGAGGGTTGAGAGGGAAAAGCGCCCTGATTAGCAGCCCGGAGGTGAGCCGTGTTATGGTATCCCACCCAGTCTGGGGGGGGGGGGGGGGGGGGGCGCCATTTCGCTGACACAGGAAAGCAGATGCAGGCGACAGTAATTGGACTCAAAGGATCCCTGACATACGAGTTTGGGGACTGTTCAGCTGCTCTGCATTGACCTTCGTTCCGCACGTGTGTGTGTGTGTGTGGGTGTAGCTGTAGGTGTGTGTTTATGTGGACTTGTGCTGTAGCATCTGCACCATTCCACAGCAAAGACTTTTTGCATTACCTCTGGTATCGAGTCTTCATCGATTGCCTTGAGGCCTCCAATCTGCTCCTCACAGCTTGGAAAGTGCTGAGTCGCAGTGATGAATTTGAATATGCGATGCATGAATGCATTTGGTTTTTGGAGATGCTACAAGCTGAAAATTCAACTGTTGAGTTTGACTCACATGTCAGTTCTGATTGTGCTTTTTTTGAAAATAACAGTCCTACGAGTTTCCATTTCGTCTCATTTTGTTAATGAAGCGATTCTGGAAAAACCACAAAACAGTTACCCCGTCTTTCTTGTCCCTCTCCAGGGCTCCGTGCAGGAAGTCCCTGGACACTTCCTCATTCTCGTCCAACCACATGATGACAAACGGCTCAAACCACCTGCACAACAAGGAATAGATCCATCTTTGCATCACAAGGAGCAAAAAGCACCAAAAAAGGGTGCAAGGAGGTAAAACAGAACTCACGCTGGATATTCAGGTACGTGTTTCTGGAAGGTAGGCAGCTCCTTGCAGTACTCGTTATAAAGCCACTTCACTTTAAAGTGTAGGTTCATGTAATCTGCACTTTTACACAGGCGGTTCTTCTCATGCTCTGATCAGAAGTAAAAACACCGAATGAGGTGATCCTTTCTCCACACAGGTTACAGTCTCGGCTGAACTTACCCTCCATGGCGTATTTCATGTCTTGTGCAAACATGTTCCACATGACTTCAGCGCTGATCTTACCCACATTGAGTTCTTGAGGAAACCTGTGAGACATTGAAGCATTCAGGCTTGAATCCAGAAAGATCTACTTATCCCATCACGATTCTGTCTCATCATAACTTTAAACATCCGTTTAATGCTTTCCATGCATCATACAGTTAAACACACTCACTGATTAAGACAAGGAGTGTACGAGTTTTTATCCTCTTCAATGATGGAGACAATGAGAGTGATGAGTTTGGACCAGAAGTCCAGGTTCTTGATGCTGGGACCCTGCTCATCTGGGGGGACGGCTTTTGACTAGAAACAGGAAGTGGTTGAGGCTTAATATCCAAAAAGATAGAACTAAAAACGTTTCATGCACAGAAACTCACAGGGTCTGTCTGATATTCCCTGTTGTAGAGATCATGGCAGTTGTTGAAGATGTATTCGTAGGTAGAGTTCAGACAGGCTTTTACACAGTCCTTCACCACCTGACTGGCCCTGGGGGGACTCTGCAGCTCCTGGACCTGAAAACACAAACAGCAAAAGCGTCAGTCCTAAACCCGGAGTTTCACCAGAAACTTCAAAAGCTGCTAAAGTCACACTGGCGTCCTTCTAAAATGCATTTTCACCTTCATCCTGAAGAACGTGATGCTCGTCAGCAGGTCAACAGTAGACTTGAGGTCTTGTAGTCTTTCGGGACTGCTGGCAGGGAAGTTATTCTTAAAGGAGAGACAAAAACAGCATAAGAAACAGCAGCCGGCCCGTTTTCAGAAAGCAGTACCTGCACTTGTACATCTAAAGATAGCACATGCTGATTCAGGCAGCAGGAAACGTTCACGTGCACTCGTGAGACACTTTAGGCAGCGTGTATATTAAAATCAGCAGTGAGTACCCGATACATGGACAGGTCGATCCTCAGGGAGTTGTGCAGCTGATCCAGCAGTTTGACAAACCGCTCTTTCTACACAGACACAGAAAATCAGAACCGTGTCAGAAACTAAACACGACTCCAAACCCCACAATCAGCCTGAAGAAACGATAGTTTAAAACCCTGATATAAAAATCAAACATTATATGAGGATAGCAGTTAAAAAAAAAAAAAGATATTCACAGAATTCCACATTTGTTCATTTTTCAGGGACTTACGCCGAAGTTTGATGCAGCGAATCTGTCTGAAGCAGAAACGTTGTTGGACGACTGGGTGGTGTGGGCGTAGTATGCATTGATGTTGGCGAGCAGCGTGCTCATCACAGCTGGCACTCCTGGGCACATGTACTTGGATGATAAACAGGCAAAGTGGCTGTTGGATAAAAAAACGCCATCGTTTTAGTTCATTCCCGTTCCTTCTTACTTCAGCATTAATAATAATTTTTTTAATATATAATGCAACAATCTGACTCCTAAAGCCTCTGAAAACATTAAAAGTCAGGGTTGTGTTAGATGTACTGACGTCATGGCCTGGTAAATGGACTCCACTCCGTATCTCATAGCAAACTCATCCACGATCTCCTGAGCCGTCTCGTCAAAGTACACCTTCCAAGCATCGTCGCCTTTGGCCTCGGGGATCTTCACCACGCCGCTGTTTTGGTCTTCAGTGGTGTACTGGAACAGATGCTACACAGAAAGAAAAACAGTTTTTAATTAGGAACGGCAGCAGCAACATAACCTATTATGGGGCGACGGTGGCACAGGAGTTAAGCGCTCGCCCCATCATCGGAAGGTTGCTGGTTCGAGTCCCGCTCAGTCTGTCGCTGTCGTTGTGTCCTTGGGCAAGACACTTAACCCACGTTGCCTGCTGGTGGTGGTCGGAGGGACCGGTGGCGCCAGTGCTCGGCAGCCTCGCCTCTGTCAGTGCGCCCCAGGGCAGCTGTGGCTACATTGTAGCTCATCCCCACCAGCGTGTGAATGTGTGTGTGAATGGGTGAATGACTGATTGTGTTGTAAAGCGCCTTGGGGGGTTCCAGGACTCTAGAAGGCGCTATATCAAATACAGGCCATTTACCATTTATTATATGAACTACAGAAGACAAATCTAGATAAATGAAAGGAATGTATAGACTTGTCTGTGAAATTTGTCAGATCTACTCCAAGATGCCCACTTTAAAACTAATTGTTAAATTAATTATGAAGCCAATGATGTCAAATATTTGATTAAGTAGGGTAACTATGGAAACAGTCCCACTGACCTCATGCAGACAGGTGTACTGGACGCTGTAAGGAGCCACCGTCTCCTCTCCTTTTATCTCCACACTGATGTGCATCCGAATGGCGCCCGACACCGCCGACTTATCTGTTCTCTTGTCTGTCACATAAAAGTTGGACACCTCGTTAGCCGTTTAAATCTTCTACATCAGACAAGCGTTTCAGTCACCGGGCGACAAAACCCACCCAGGTTGTACCACACGTCCATCTCCCCGCTCAAGGTGCGCACTTCGATTATAGTCTGACCCAGGAAGTCATCGCTCTCACGCTTGAACCTCTGTTTCACACGAGACTTGATGTCATCGTCCTCATCCCAGACGCGGACTTTGATGCGGTCGGAGGAGTTGTGGCATTCGCTGGAAGATGAGACAAAACACGTTTGAAACTGGAACGAGTGAGGAAAATACAAGAACGGATCGGCTCTGCTCACAAGTGAAAACTCTCATCCCAGACTGGATTAAGGTTCCCGTATATGGTCTTGGTCCTCTTCTTAGTCTTCCCGACTTGAACAGTTACATACGGATCACTGGAGCCCGTTTTGTCTTTAGCCTGAAGGCCCTGAGCACAAACCACTGAAAACACACGCACTAAAGGTTTAGAAAAGTCCATAAATGTTGGATTTGGAGGAGAAATAAAACCACAAACCTGTGATGCTAATCTTCGCCGACCACTTGGACGTCCCGTCGAGCACGCTCTGCTTTATCTGCTTCATGTGTGTGGCGTGAGTAGTCTTGTCGAGGCCGAACACTTCCTGGATCTGCTCGAAGATCTCGGGCTTGTTCCTTTCTCTGATCTTCATGCGGTCTTTAAGGACCATGATGATGTTCTGGGTCCGGTCTTCTGCGCCGTGTTTGGAGCTCTTTTCTGCAGCTCCTTGTGTCACAGAAGGGGTTTAACGCAGAGGAAATAATCAATAACACAAATAAACGGCATATATGACCCTTAGAGCCCAGAATAGAAGATAAACGCCAAATTAAAACTGCGCCAGAATAAATTCCAAAGTGTTTGAGAGCTTTTAGTCATTGCCAAACACAAATTTCCTAATTATTCCACTTAATCACCGATTCTTAGACAACTGCATGTTGTGGGCAATAGATTTGATAAAACTCACAGGAGACAACTGAATTAACCTTACCGGAGATGCTTTTATGAATGAAAACAACAACTTAATAAGTGGGTTAGGGTTAGGTAGAATGGAGGCAAAGCTGAGATGAGAGAAAAAAGAGGCAGGGTTGTGACAGGACATTACTCAGAAGATAAATTGGAAAGACAAAGAGAGGAGAGTGTGAGACTGGATAGAGGAGCAGAGTAATGGGATGTCAGTCTGGCAGAAGGATACAGAGGAGGAGCTAAAACAGGTTGGATGGAGGACATGGTGCACATCCACCTAAGGAGAGACGTAAATATGTTTAGCGGCATTGACTGGTGAGCACAAACCAGTGACCTTACTTTGCAGACAGTCGGCGTTGAGCAGATCTTGGCACTTTTCGTGGCATTTGACGCCACACTCCGAGCAGCGCATGCCCTGACGTGCGATCCCCCACAGCAGCCCCTCGCACTCGTAGCAGTAGGTGGGGGTGGTAGCGGTCCACACCTCGAAGTTGTGTGGCGTAGTGGAGGAAATGGGGTAGATCAGAGCCTGCAGGGTCTTTTTGTAAACATGGCTCTTCTGCAAAGGCAACAGGATCACAAGTTGTTTTACTTCAGAAGTGACTCCGTGTTCGAATCAGAATTATAACGCTAAAGACACCCACCAGCTCTTCGTTGCCAAGAGTGGTTGAAGCCATGGCGGAGGTGATTCCAGCTTTACGCGAGTTCTGCACCAAAGACTGAGAGCCAGAGCAAAAACAAACATCCTCAAATTTACATATAAAATACAGTTTGCGTTTCAATTTTGTTGAGCAAAAGAAAAAACACTTACCATCGCCTATTGAGGCCAGGCCACAATGCACACAGGAGACGGGTTCAAAGAGAAAAGTCATTAAAAAAAAAAAAAAATTTCAAATACAAATTTCAAGCTGCAATTTAAAAACGTTTGTGTGCATAAAATCTCTTACAACTGATCACTGCAGGGCTAACAGAAAATGTGTTTCTAAACACTTATAAGTGGTTTCTGTCTGTGGTACGGTTTCTCATGCAGATCAGGTCAGAAAACTGTAGGATAAAAAGGAATACAATTGGTTTGGATTGGAAATCTAAAAAAAAAATCATGGAATCACTTAAAGCAGGAAGTTTTCCCGCTTTTGGGAATTATGAATGAGTTTTTAAAAAACTGTAAAAGTGATAGTCTTACCCAGTACTGTGATACAATGTGGGCTATACATCAATGTTCTTACTGCTAAGCCCATCCCTGTCCCCACGTAACCTTCCATGAGCATCGCTCAGCATTAGCCAACAGCGTTAGCCATCTGCTCACTTACAAACGCCAATCACAGAACATGTTCATTTGCAGACGTAACTAGAATGATGCACAGGTGGCGATTATCTCATAGAAATGGCACAACTTCAGGGTAAAAATGGCAAAAACGTGTGTTTTAGCTCCGTTGGCCAGCTAGAGGTACGCTTTCATGAATGAGAGGCATTACTTCCACCCGTACCATGGAAGTAGGGAGAAGAGCTTAAGATGTAATACATTTGTCCACCTCTAGAGGGTGCCTTCTGACAAAAACCTCTGCTTTAGTGTTTGTGTGGTTTCTCACCAGATCTCTGACAAGAGGAATGGCTTTCCTCTTGCGAAGGTCAGGCATGCTGTCAATGCTGTAGAGTGCACCTCCCATTCTGAAAAAGACAAAAACCTAGTAATTATTTATCCGCCCATCACTGATGTATGAAAATATCAATTCACTGGTGTTAAAATACACTTGATATGTCCTGGAAGAGTCTGGTCTGAGTTTTCCAATTAAATCAGTCTCGGGATTTGCAAATATCACCTAGTTTTAAGTATTGCAATATATTGTACATAATGCCTAGTGTCATTGCGTGATCTCATCATTCTGTAAGAATTACAGCGGTTTAAAACTCCTGCCACCTAGCAGTCGCAGTGTGAATTGCGCCACACAAAATAAATACAGTAAATATTTGCATCTAAACATCTACTTTAAAATATCGATTCTGTATCACAACATGAAATACTGCCATGTTTAAATGAATCGATATTTTCTTACATCCTTCATGTTTAATCAACATGCTGAGTTATCTGTGAACGTTTCAGGTGTTAAACTAGGAAATGTCACCACTGAAGCTGCAGCCTCTCAAACAGCTATAGCCTGGCATTGACTGCTGTCATTTCTGATGTTACGTATTCAGTACGCGTCTACAGTTTCCCCCTCTTCGCTCTCCCTCATCTACAGACGGCCTGCCAGCTAAGCCGGGGCAGCCCACTGCCACTCAGCGTTCCCTGGCCGAAAGCCATGAGGAGAACGAGCCGGTGCATCAGAATGAAGTCCAGCAGAGGGTTTCCAGACTTAAAGGGGCATTTTCTATCTGAAGAAACGCTGGCTGGTTTCTGTAATAAGCTGGGGGTAATTTTAGGTGAATTTAAATTTTTATAAAAAGGGTTCCATGAAAAATGAATGATGAAATGATACTCACCCTCCCTTACCGAACCACAGTGAGCTGGAAGTCTCTCCTCGAGCCTGAGAGAGAAAGAGAAGTAAAAAAATACGTACTTTGTTTGTCCCTGCAGCCTTTTCTACCCATAATATGCTACATGGATGAAGCTGTACACTAGAAGGAACCCCTTCTTCATTGGTTTCTTGCAATATATTTCATTTGTTTGCAATAATAAGAGTGGAAAAGAAAGAAAAGAGAAGAGTGAATCAGGAATAACTCTTCACAAATAAAAAAAACCTTTCTGCATTAATTTATTCATATATTTTTATTTCAAGATCCACAAAATGTGAGGCACATCACCAGAATGTGGGCAAGTTCATGCGATATATAAGATTGTTGTGAAGATGAATGAACAAACTGAGAGGGTCCGCTATCAACCAGATGCATCTCCGCCTTTCTCTCAAGCAAACTTCAAGCTGCACCTACCTGTCAGCATGCTCCAATGAAGGCCGAGCAAAGTGCATGCGAGTGTCGCTATGGCAATGACATGAAACTGGAAAGAAAACAAAGTGGGTCGGCACAAATGAACAAAAAGTAAAACAAAAAGGGGCAAAGGGAGGCAAAACGTACCAAAACACAACGTAAACATCAAAGCAGCTGATCGATCCTTTGCACAGCTGAATTAAAGTATGACGAACAAATAAAATGTGCAAGTGAAAACCGACCAAGCAAAATTAAATGTGTATGAGGTGCATGGCCCTTTCAAAAGTCAAAGCTTGCTGCAGGATGAGGGTTCCTATTTTTAAAAAGCCAAAATGTATGAATAATAAAAGAAGGAACGCATAAGAGTCTGCAGAAACATGATTAAAGTGGGCCGTGTGCGCCCTGACAGCTGGAGTCTGCTTTAGAGGACAGGTGGAGCTGAACCCTCTCACCTCTCTGAGCTGGTCCAGGACCTTGTTGTAGAGCCTCAGCCAGTTCTCTTTAGCTCTGACTGCTGGATCCACTGACTCCTTTGGCTCCTCTGGCACAGGAGGACTAAAGAGAGACATTTTTTAGGGGCAAAAGTCTTAAGCTGAGAAATCTAAATGTGTCGTGACGTCCTCCTTCCCTCCCCTCCTACCTCTCAGGAGGCATTTCCTTTTGCTCCTCTGGTGTCAGGGGTCTGCTCTCTTCAAACCGCTCCTCTTCCAGCTCCACAGGAAGCTTTTCCTCATGCTGAGCCGGGAGCGTCCCGGCCTCGTTCTCGTTCATCATCTCCTTCTCCGCCCACAATTCTTCCTCCTGCCGGCGAGCCTCCTCCTCAACTCCGACTAACTGTGTGGTGGAGGGATCGTTGGGGTGAGATTCGGGTGATGTGGACGATGGCGCCTGCAGGGATGAAAGGCCTGTGGCAGCGGAAGGTGGCTGGGTGGTGGAGTTAGCCAATGTGGCTGGGTGTGATGGGGGCACTGAGTTGGCTGCAGCTGACTGCTGTTGCTGGGCTACAGCTGAGGCTGGAGGGTGAGACTGGGTGGGCTGGGCGGTGGGAACTGAAGACAGGAACGATGAAGCCAAACCTGTGACCGCAGCTGTTAGAGGCTTGGCCATCGAGAAGAAGGAGGTGGCAGATGGAGCAGGCTGTGGCTGGGCTTGTGTTTGGGGCTGGGATTGCTTTGGCAGCTGGGCTGCTTGTTGGCTATTCGGGGGCTGTGCTGATGGTGCCACACCAGGGGGGTGAGTCTGACTGGACGTCTGGTTGGGAGTTTTAGCAGGAGGCTGTTGGTGTATGGAGGCCTGTTTCTCCAGAGGAGGCCTGGAGTTGGGTACATCGAGCAACGTGGGGGCAGGTGACGTCGGCGTGGGAGTGAAAGGCGGCTCCAAGTCCTCACTGAGGGGTCCATCTAAATTATACAGATCCTCATCGTCATACATCATCTCTTCATCCTCGTAGAGGCCTTCCTCCTCTCCCTCATACAGCCCTCCATCATCTCCCTCGTACAGAGCAACATCTTCTCCCCCATCTTTGCTGTAACCGCCCTCATCGCTGTACGTGTGCGTCTCATCAGGGTCCCAGTCTGGAGAGCCTTTGCTGTAGCTAACCGAGGAGTGGCAGGAGTGGTAGGAGTCATTTTCATCATAAGGGTCTCTTTCTGCGTATTCGCCACCGTAGTCCTCCTCACTCAGCTGACTGCTGCACCGGCTGAGCTCCGCAGATGACGCATAGCTTCCAGTGGGACTAAACAGAAGAGAACAGCAGCAGAATGATTAAACCATTTACCTTCCTTCTAATCCTAACAGAGCATCATGGCGGAGATGCATGTGGACGGGACACTGTACAGCCCTGCTAAACACCTTTTCTACACTTCTCAGAGCACCGCTGATGGCTAATCAATAAAAAACTGTGGGAATACAAAAGTGGCTGTAAATGACGCAGAACATAAAGGTGAGAGGTTTCTAGACGGCTGACAAAAACAAATAAAGATCAAATAGAAAGAGAAACAGCAAAGAAGGAGTGAAATATTTGTACTTCTTGATGAACGGAGTTATTAAAACTGAACAAAGGCACCAAGAGAATGGAGGCTGGAAGGAGGGGGACAGAGTCAGAGTGGTGAGCTGGCACGAACAGGAAGGAGCTGAGTGGGTGGGAGTGTGAGGAGGTTGCTCCGTCCAATACACTCACACAGGCAGCAAATCGTATGTGCCGTGTTGACCATTAGGCTGCCAGATGAATTATTCATAGAGCCAGAGCTGGATGGATGAATTTTTTCATCCCCCGTCTGAGAGCAATACATCAATAAATGCTGAGAAACCCACTGAAAATGACAGAGTGAAATGGCACAGGTCTGAATGAGCCAATGAGAGGCTTAAAGCTGCATATATGGCAAGCCAATATTAAACCTAATTTATTCAATCGTTAAAAATCCTTAAGAGGCGAGTTTGTCAAACAAAAACACAGATCGCAGCAAATCAAGTCTGAGTTTAACATAATGTTGCAGAATCACATCTCAACATTTAAAAGCTAAAAGTTCAGATTTAATAAAGGCCAAGAATCTAAAACGGAGTTTAAAATTTAGCAGCAAAAATTCTAATTGATCAAATAATCTGATTGTGAAAAAGATTTTTTTCTAATAATACTTTAAGAATTATAGTTTGTCACTTACAGTGGGTACAGATTTTTCGCTCTGTTATTTTGCAGCCATTCACTAAAATCAATTAAATTCATTTTTCCTCATTAATGTACACACATCACCATGCTGACAGGAAAAAACTGGATTTTAGAAACGTATGCAGATTTATTAAAAAAGACAAACTGAAATATCACATGGTCCCAAGTATTCAGACCCTTTGCTGTGACACTCCTATTTAACTCAGGTGCTTTCCATTTCTTCTGATCGTCCTTGAGATGGTCCTACATCGTCATTGGAGTCCAGCTGGGTGCGATTATACCGACTGGACTTGATTAGGAAAGCCACACACCTGCCTAAATAAGACCTTACAGCTCACAATGCATGTCAGAGCAAATGAGACTCATGAGGTCAAAGGAACTGCCTGGAGAGCTCAGAGATGCGTCAGTAGATGGGAGAAAGTCAACATGAAAGCCAGCATGGAGTTTGCCAAAAAGACACCTGATGGTGAGAAAAAAGATTCACTGGTCTGAGACCAAGATAAAACTTTTTGGGCTTAGTTCTAAGCGGTATGTGTGGAGAAAACCAGGCGCCGCTCATCACTTGTCCAACACAGTCTCCACAGTGAAGCACGGTGGTGACAGCATCGTGCTGTGGGGGTGTTTTTGCGCTGCAGGGACAGGGCGACCGGTTACAACTGAGGGAACGATGAATGTGGTCAAGTACCAGCTCAGTGGCCTAGTGGTTAAAGTGTCCGTCCTGGGACTGGGAGATTGGGGTTTGATTACCGGTCGGGTCATACCAAGTGTTTTAAAAAATGGGACCAAATGCCTCCCTGCTTGACACTCGGCTTTAAAGGGTTGGATTGGGGGGGTTAAACCACCAAATAGTTCCCGAGCGCAGCCACTGCTGCAGCTCACTGCTGCAGCTCACTGCTGCAGCTCACTGCTGCAGCTCACTGCTGCAGCTCACTGCTGCAGCTCACTGCTCCTCCATCGAGATGGGTCAAATGTGGAGATGAATTCCACCATTGTGTGATGATTATGGGACTTTAGCTTTACTGGAATATCCTGAACAAGAACCTTCTCCAGAGCTCTCAGGACCTCAGACTGGGCCGTAGGTTTACCTTCCAGCATCACAATGACCCTAAGCACATAGCTAGAATAACAAAGAAATGGCTTCATGGCAACTCTGTGACTGGTCTAGAGTGGCCCAGCCAGAGCCCTGACTTGCACTTGATCATATTTAAGTCTCTATTTATTCACTGTGAACATGAATAGATGACCCCGATTGTATGCGACTTCACACCTGACAGTTCTCTGATGGCGATAGTCCACGTCTTGGTTGTTCCCAGTGCGTGGGTAAGACAAGCTCCTGTTGCCGCGGTGCTGGTGGCTGATGGGATACTGGTGGACGGAAGCATTGGGCTGGGATGTGCTGTAGTAAGGAGGCGGGATGCTGTTACTGGTTTCGCTGCGATAGTCGCTGTCCCGATCGTCCACAGCGCTATCCGGGTCCTCATCTACACAGGCGCACACAAAAATCAGACTCATTAGACCAAATCATTCATTTAGAGAATGTTCAAACGTGACGAGCTCATAAATCTGCTGTGGTCATTCTCTGGTGTTTACATCCATTACCACCCGGGAGACTTTAATAGAGCCAATCATCACATCGTCATCGATTAATCATTTTTTTATAATCATCATTATTTGCACTCAAAGTCAACAAACAAGCTGCCGTTCCAACGCTTCGCCTTCATGTACGTCTACACATAAAATGACACCTGACTTTGTTTTCGAACGCCATCCGTGTCCCACCGTGCTTCGCTATCTCTGATTGAGCTCTCCATCTATCATTACCTCCCTGCTCTGTCCTTTTTCTCTCTGGGATGAATCGCTGCAGATGTGTGGGTGAGTCTGTCAGGCTCTTAAATAACACCACCTGCTAATAACATGAGGGGAAGCGACACACGGGGGGGAGGCAGAGCTTTTTGTTGTATAAAATTGCGTTACATCGAGTGTTTTGGTGGATTATTAATTTAATTGATTAAAAATCCAATTGAAATTTCATAGAAAGGGTCATTCTCCAACCTCTAGAATGTACTTACTTTGCTGGTCTCCCCATAAACTCCAGTTACCTGCAGTGAAACAGAAAGTTGTCACAATTGATTGCAAGCTGCATCGATGTTTGAACCGCGTCGGTGCTTTAATATTTCCAAATGGATTTGGTGAGCAGTAAGAAAACAGGCAAGATAAATCCCCCCGTGTCTCCAGCTGTCCCAGACAGCGGGCTCAAAACACGGAGACATCCTACCGGAGTGTGTCTCTGGACTTCTGATAACATTATTGATCCTTTATAGTACAGCAAACCTGGCCTGTTTCTCCTCTAATGCACAAGTCGAGTTAAAGCATCTTTAAAGGATCATTTTCTATCATGCGCCGTCAGCGACTTGTTACTTACAGCACTGGGTTCCCGGCACACGCAGGGGGCGTTCCTGTTCCTCCTGGTATGGACACTGTGAGCCGAGAGAAGCAGGACAAATGAAAAATGTACGCTGGTGAAAAGAGGTTTGCTGGTAATTACCGGGGGAAATTGAAACTTTGCTTTTGTACAGGAGGTGGAGAAAATGTTGTTCGATTTTATCACGTATGGCGTTTCCTGCTCCCCAATTAATCACGTGAGCTTTTTGCTGGGGTATTAAATCAAGCAGGCGGACAGCTTACATCTTGGTCCCTCATGGCGTTGAGCTGCTCCAGTTTTTTTGCCCAGTAGCGCGCCTCGTCCTCGGGGATGTCTGGAAAAAAATCATCCAGTCAAATTCAGGTGACATAAACAGTCACAGTGGAGCTCATCCAACTGATGCACTTTAAATAATCCTGCATTCAACTTTTAGCCAAACCATAACCTTGTTTAAAAAACACTCCGATTCCATTTTGTCCCAGATCGACTCCATTTTTTAAACATGGTGTAAATACAGCTAGGGACACTTTTAGGCCTGACCTGAATACAGACGTTTAAAACAAACGACTCACTTACAGCCATGACGCCAGACTTCTATAAGCAGATGGATCAGATGGACAATATTGATTTAAAGAGGAGGAATCAGTATGAAAATCAGTGGGAGGAGGAACAAAGAAGGACCAAGGAGAAGAAAACTGTCTCTCACACACACACACGCACACACACTGTGATAAAAGTGGGTCAGGGTTACTAATCAATCCCAGATTATTAGTGTTCATCTGTTTGTTGTGAAGAGATCCTGACAAACGTGACTCATTTAACCCAACACCCCCTTGCCTAGTGAAGCGATTATTTCCTGATTATCAGGTCTGGGTCGTGCCGAGTACCGACTTGAGTGCTCACCTAGCGGCAGCTCAAAGCGTGTATCGAGCAGCACCAGGTGTAGAGTGGGGTCTTTGGTGCCACAGATCTCACTGTCAGCCATGATGACTTGGGAGTCCAGTGTGAGCCACTCCCCTGGACCTTCCTACACACACACACACACACACTTATAAGACAAAGTGCTTATGCTGCGAGCCCCACTTTTAAGTCAGCTCCTGCGTCTGTGTTACTTGAGTGGTTAACAGCAAACCTCATTTGCCTGCCGGATGCTGTGGAGGGGAATCCACACCGTGCCCACCATGGTGTCCCAGATTAACCCTTTGTTCCACACCTCTACCATCAGTCCCAGATCCAAACGATTGATTTCACTACAAAGGCAGAAAAACAACTGTTAGTGAGCGGCAATACATTACAAAAGACTCGCTCATATTTCAGGTGCATGAGTGTACATTTCACACATGAAATTTAGCTAAATACAAAAAGTTTTAAGAAGTAATGCAAATGTTTCCCCTGCTACACATTTATAGAAGGCACCCAGGTGTTAAATGCACCTTCTGGTCTGAATTATGTTGATTTTACGCTACAATACTAATAATATAATCCAGATTATACTCCCCTGCCCAGGTCAAGACTCTTATTTTATTTACAGTAAATAATCAGAACATCTAACTGCGTTGGTATATAATTCAGACTTTTTGCAGTTGATATTCAAGAGACCTTCAGACTCTAAGGTGTAGTAAATGCAGTACGGTTTGAAGGTAAACAACAGCAGTAAGGTTATTTTGTTCTACCCCGAGCCGTGAGTGACGGTCCACAGATCTAAAAGGCTGAGGAACATTTTCAGGTTTTCTGTTTCAGTAACAGGTGTTTTTGCAACTTTATTTTAAAAAGTACATTATAAATAGGATTCTGACTGAAGCAGCAAAAAACATATTCATTATTTCACCAGTAACAGTAAAGTTAAGGGTTTATTTGAATAAGAAAACATTAAGGCTGTCATACGTGGATAAATTATAGCTAGTTTTGTGACAAATAAAATGCACTTTTCTTTGAAAGGCAGGAAGAAAAAAACGAGGGATGAACTAGCAGAGGAAGAAAAAGGCAGGTTTAATTAAGAAGCAGAGGAAGTAGACTTCCCCTCTCAGTGTGGGTGTGACTGATGGCAGCCGCTGAGAGCGCCGAGTCTCTTCACCATGTTTGACGGAGGACACGAGGCGCTCTCTGTAGCCCAAACATTGCATAACACAGCTTCACTGATGCAACCCCAGAACAAAGCCCAACGCCTCCGAACATCATAGCACTCTGCAGTAATCCAGCCTGCTGCGTCCCACATGCTAGATGCTTCTCAACATTCAGCGCCCATATGCTGCCGCTGTCAGCGGCACGAGTCACTCTGCAGGAGGAATGAGCTGTGTGCTACGGTTTTAGCAACTGCAACATCTCCCAATATTTATAGAAACATGCATGACGAAATGGGTAAAAATTAGGAAAAGAAGGAAGGAAATCTGAGATGTTTTAGACAGACTGACAAAAAATGGAAGAGGGGACGGGAGGAAGCCGAGGATGAGAGAGCAGAAGTTTCAAGGGCTTCTTGAAACAAAAAGTGAACGTGAAGTGGAACAAAAAGGGGAAGAGTGGGGAAAAAAGGGATTGAAACATTCAAGCAGGAGAAGAAAGAAAAGAGGTGGGATGTAGAGAAAGATGTGAGCTTAGTCAGAAGATGCTGCAGGACTCACAACATGAAGTCTTGTTCCCAGCAGGGCAGGTTGCCCCGGACCGCGATGGTCGTGCTCTTCACATTTTGTACCTTTAGAGTCACATAAGTGTTGAACTTTTCTACAAGAAAAAGATGAAAAATCACACATCACAGCCTGTTTTCTCATAAATGTCATCTTTTTGTTTCCATCTCTTACCTTGGGGTCCATCCAGCTTGGCTTTCTTCACTGTGGAGACACAGAGTGGGACATGGTGACACACAGAAACACCATCTGTTTACAGAGCGCACGAGCTGACCGTACAGCAGTCACAAGGACAAGCGTGCACAACATTTTTTATGTTTTTACAGTAAAAAAGTGATTTGAAAAATCATATTTTTCAGTCAGAGTAAAACAGTGCTTTATTTACATCAGAACCTCTGCAGGTTTGCACCATAAGGAGGGAAAAAACGGGACCATTTAGCACGTCTAAAACGGGAACATCCATGTGGTGCAACACTGCACAGATAAGCCTTCCCTTTTTATTACTTTGTATGTTTTGTTTATTTGGGAATGTTGCATAATCTGTCAAAGGAAAACCTCCCTCCTCTATCCAACCGGATCTGTCTGGGAGTTTTCAGAGTGCATTTAAAGAACAGGCTTCCTCGCTGCAGCACCGTTTTACCAGCCGTGATGTAACTCACGCATACATTTTTAATGCTTGGCTTCTCACTACTCTCCCCCTCACTTACACACACACACACACCCACACTCTCTCTCTCTACAGGATCCACTGCAGATGTGTAGGCATCACTCAAACCAACAACATCACGTTATTAAATATCAGAAAACTGTATTCTATTCGCTTTTAGAAAGATGGCAGCAGCATGATTCACAACAGATCTCATTACTTTCTCCACACATGTTCCACATCAGGACCAGTCACCATAGTAACCACCACAAAATGAAAAGCACAATTGTCCTGAGTCAGCAAGGCACTCTAGGTCCCATTTCTCAAACCTTTCACTCAGAATCTTTCATGCAACAAACTCGAGACACGTCTGCAGATTTTGTCATGCCGTCTTAGCGTGCACGCACACACACACACACACTAATGCAGTAGCTTAATCATAGCACACCTGCAGAAAGGGTACATTTATATCTTTATTTTTATTGAACAACCTTGAAGAAGGTTGAAACAAAAATAAACGTAAACATGTGGTTATTTGTGATAAAACTAAAGAATCTGCTCAAGATTCAAATGAAATCGGTTCAAATCTTATCTGAGTCGTCACTCGAACAGCAAACTAAAACCAAGCACGGGAAGAACCAACAAAAATGGGATTTTCAGTGACAGACGAGTTAAAAGCATAAAATTCACACAAATTCATACATTTCTCCGACAAGCTGAGTTAACGCAGCTAGGCGCCTACACACAGCAGATCATCATAACTACAACACCCCATTTACCTGTATCAATATCTCATTTAAATGACTTGACAGAAACATAAAAACATCCTAAATGTATTTTGTGTTTATTGTTTAATTAAATGATACTGGAAGTAATGTGAAATGCCCAGCGATAAATCTTGAGGAACTACCTCTGACACAGCCGATTGACTTATGGGAACCAAGCTGATTGCCAAGAAAACACAGTCAACGGGCAGACAGACAGGCCCTTCAACGTGAACTGTGAGCGTGCATTAACCAGGGAGAGGGTGAGCCGACTTCAACCATCTCACAGCAAAACGAGTGATGACAGGACTCAGGGCGGCATCTATTTCTAAACGATCAGAGATCTAGACGCTGACAGCGACATTATAATCCACAAGAACTGGAAATCAAAGTAGAAAAATTCGACACTTTTTAAGTTATCAGCGTCTAAAAGTGTTGCCTCGCTGGCAGGTTTGCCAGAACGATGCTTATTGAAGGGAATCAAAGTGCCTTTGAGGCCAGAAATAGCTGGAGTCAGGTAAGCATGAATGATGTAACCGGAACAGAAACAGGGCTCTCTGCCAAGACTCGTACTTTACAGCCACGGCCGGGTTTATGAATGAATGACTCTCAGGGCCTTAATGACATCTGGGACTGACTCACAGCAGCAGGGATAGTCAATGGATGGGGCTGCCGGGATGGGACGAGGAGGGATAGGATCCATCTTAAAACTGGAGATATAAAAGGTGAAAGACAAGCCTGAGAATGCACACAGACTGTTCTCGCATCAGTTTTAAATCAGTGGAACAACTGAAAATATGAGGAGAAAATCTTTATTGTCTGATCATGAACCAAAAAAGACAAACCAAACTGTAACTTTAAGCTCTATGGGGACATTGTGGAGATACAAGACCTCTTTCTGAGCTGCCTTCTTGCCACTGGAAAGATGAAAACAGTACTTCTCCATGCAAGTCTAAACGAGCTGCCAAGAAAAACTTTTTATTCTCTTTACAATTTTGACAAAATATTCCAAAGCTCTTCCAAAAACCTACCAAAATCAGATCATGGCTTACAGTAAAACATCCCATCTCTGCTTTAAAAGGCTGTTTGAATCAACTTTGAGACAACTGTTTGAACTGACTCAGCATGATGAAGCATTTTTGGATTTTCTCTGATATGTTTGGCAACTGATGAACCTAGAAGTCAATATGATAAAAAAAAAATATCTGATAACAATTTTGGCTTTGGGTGTTCTGCTCAAAATTCCTCACATAAAGTTTCCTGCCTGCCAAACGCGTCAGATTTAAGTGAGTTGTTGCTGAATCAGCTTCCTGTCCGTCTGAGAGGGTCTCCCTCATGGTTCTCCATCCTTTCCTCTCGCTTTTGACGCGTTCCTCCGTGGAGCAGATGCCTTTTCACAAGCCGCGTGTCAGCAGCATCAAGTGCTTTCAGGGCGGATGGTGAAAGGAGGAGGTGACGCATCCCCTTTTAGGAGGAAAAATGCGGAGGAATGACGCGCACCTCCTGCTAGTATTCCCTCGTTGCAGCAGCGCGGCGGAGGGGGGCGGCGCGCGCCACGGTGCGGTGCGGCAAGCCGCGGCAGGGGCTTTTCCTCTCCTCCTCCTCCTCCTCCTGCCCACGCATGAATGAGCTGAGTGGATGCCACGGCGCGCGCGCGCACACACCCACTATCACAGACGCGCACACACGCAACAGCCGCAACAACCCAAAGAGGAGGAAACACACTCTTCAGCCTGCGTTTACACTTAAAAGCGCAAAGAGCCTGCTAGCTAGTCGCCGACCAAACGTTTAGCTCATAATGACCCTTTTCCAGATAAACACGTTTTATATTGTGAGCTGCTATGTTTTAAATGACTAACCGTCTCCAGCTCCTGCACTTTCACACGGAGCTGACAGACAGGGACCAACTTGAATAACACACACACACACACCGGGTTCGCTCTCCTGTCTTACCTCCCACGCACAGCAGGGACATCTCTGAAGCGGTGTGTGCGTCCCCGGCTGTCCTCTGGTTACTTGGTGCTTCGTGATTTGTTTCGTCTCTCCGTTAGTCTCTCTTGGTTAGCCAGGAGGGGGGGGGGAACTCAAACCGACGAAAGCAGTTCCCCTAAAAGCTAACGGAAATAGATTAGCACTTTCTTCCGGACGTCCATCCCTGTTCCGCGGGGCTGTAGCTCTGTCAGACAGAAAAGGACAAGCAGGAGTGGATTCCAGTCCCCCTCCTCTGCATTTGCCTCAGCTCTCCACTGCTGCTCCTCCTGCGCGTACAGCCATCTTGTTTCAGCAGCATCCAGTGGGCTCCGCGCGATGACAACTCCCCCGTGCCCCCACCGTCCTGACGTCACGGTTGATGAGGAGCAGGTGCGGGGGGGAGGGGGTGCTCGTGCTTCGAGGTGGCCTGCAGAGAGTCAGCGGAGATGGAGATGAATTTAAATGACCGATGGGATGCTTTCATTCAACAAAAGGTTCAGCCATTCTTGTTACATGTGGACCGAGCAGGAAAGCTGCTGACGGGATCAGCCCCAGACTGCTCAATGACTCTGCTGAACAGCTTTAGTGGCTACTCACATGTTCACCCTGAGCCTTTGGTTGGAGCAGGTCCCCATCCCGTGGAAGACCTTTTATGTGGTTCCAGTTCCTTAAACATCACATCCCCGAGAACCAGACCACAACAGAGGTCGCCTTGACCTCCCATCTGATGAAGACCATGGGGAGACTCATCCTCACCCATTTATGTTCAGTGGTAAGCCCAGAAATAGACCCGTTAAAATTTGCATATGAACCAAACATGGGGTGGGGGACCGCACTCATCTACCTGCAGCACCGGGCTGACTCACCTCGAGATGCAAAAGAGCACTGTGAGAATCAATCATGTTCTTCGACTTCTTAAGTGCCTTCAACACCATCTCAACTCAACTCAACTTTATTTATAAATCGCGCCTTACAGGCAAGAAGATGCCACTAAGGCGCTACACTGATCAAATAAAAACATAAAACACTAAATCCAGAAAACAAAACATTGCATCACACAATACAGATAAAACTACAGTGAGTAAAATCGCTATAACAAATGTTAAAAGACAGGACCATTCAGGTGTGTCGACTGCAGCAGAAGATGAGTGCTGAGGAGTGGACAAACACCTGACTTTCATACCTCACCAACAGGCCACAGTACGCGAGGCTAAATAACTATACGTCTGAGGTGGTTGTGTGCAGTACTGGAGCTCCACAGGGTACAGTGCTCTCTCCCTTTCTCTTCACCTTCAACTCCTCTGACTTCGCCTAACCAGCAGCTGTCACCTCCAGAGGTTCTCTGATGACTCGGCCATTGTCGGCTGTGTGTCTGGGAGGAATGACCTGGGGCCTCATTCATCAGTCTGTGCGTATGTCGTGTGTAGGAACTAATTTACGCATTGTGTGGTATTCATCATTTGGTACCTGTGTGTGGAAATGTTCCTAAATATGAGAAAACTTCAGACCATGTGTAGGAAGAGCATTTAGTGGTTGAACGAGGGAACCGCAACACCAAAGGTCTCAGTCATCCACACAAGTTCCTCATCCAATTATTTTACACATTAAAACAATATTTCGGTGTAAAAACAGCCAAGTCACATGATTGATACTAAAACACCAGACAGGAATCTAACATTGTAGAACACCTTTTTCTAACTGCAGAAATGCCTCCTCAGCCAGGAGCAATTAATCACCTCTGCCTCGCCTCAGTCAGCTGTGGCTACATCTTAGCTCATCCCCACCAGTGTGTTAATGTGAAGCTGTGTGTGTGAATGATGACTGATTGTGTTGTGAAGCACCTTGGGGGACTGTAGAACCCTAAGAAGGCGTTATACAAATGCAGACCATTTAATCACTAAATCAAACAAAATAACAACTCACTAAAAAAACTAACTAAAAGATGCAGGAAACATGCTGGAAGCAGACTGCAATGTCAGGTGTGTCAACTCCACTTTAGTAAGTCCAACCGGACCGGACTGGCACTCTAAAGTTGCATGTGTGGTATTTTGGTCACAGAGGGTGACATTTCATTAACCCCGTAGGGTCATTTTAGTACATACTGGCTCAAGAAAATGATTTAAAAATATTAAGTTGCATAGTATGCCTTTAACTAATAAACTTTTAACGTAATTACTTGCAATCTGAAATTTGGTTTGACTGATGCCCACTCTGTCTATAAGGGATGTATTTGTTTTATTTAGGTCAGTTCGATGGAAACACAATAACTCATTAACATGCCCTATAGGTTAACAACTGTACTATGTGTAAAAACATAAACATAAACTCAATCCTCTAGCTTTCGAGATTAAAGATTTTTCCTGCTATCTGCTGGAGCAAAACTGTCTCTACAGGCAATGTTCATATTGCTAATCACGAGAAAACTCAAGAGCGTTTCCTGTGGATTCCTTCAAAATAAACTATACCACTTAAAATGACTGCAGGTTTGAAATTAGTGTTAACAGCATAATTAAGTCTGAATCAGTGGTACCCAATCCTGGTCCTGGAGGACCAGTATCCAGCATATTTTAATGTTAACATTTTTTCCATACACCTGATTTCAATCAGCAGTTAATTAACAGGCTTCTGCAGAGCTTCATAAGCTGCTGCACAGGGGATTCAACCGCTGAATCAAGTGTTGTTGCAGAGAAACAACTAAAACGTGCTGGATACAGGTGCTCCAGGACCAGGATCGACAACCACTGGTCTAAATAATGCCAGAAAGTCCTCATTACACAACCTAGTTAACTACTAAAAATCAATAACTCTACTTTAATTATCTGTGTTCAACAAGATCAAATCAACCAGCTACAATTGGAGCCATTAGCAGTTAGCTACAAAATAGAGGTTCATTTTTTTAAAAGTTTTATTTTGATAAGGAGGCTGAATATTCTCAAAGGGGAAATATCAGATGTTTTTTTTCCATATGTGCTTTATTAAAATTCAGCCTAAAATTTTTTTGGTCTGATGTTTTAACTTTTTAATGTTGTTTAAGAAAAGAAAAAAGTGAATTATAAGTTTTTTAGTTTAACCCATTGAGGACAGCAGATTGTAGTACCCACCGTGGCCGCTAGAGGGAAACAAAAGGCAGACGTGACCCTTTAGACTACATGAAATGAAGAAAGCGATGAAGTTTGTTGTTGACGCCTACGCCAGGTTGAAGATGTCCGCTGGAGACAACAGCGGCAGGCCTCCTTGCCTCAGTTTCTCCGGCCCGGGTCCTTTGGGAAACAGCCAGCCCAGCAACAGCGTTTTCTCAATGCCAGCATTCAACGGAGGAGCAGGCGGTGCAGCTGGAGGTGCACAGGGAGCAGCGAGGCGGTCCAACCCGCAGCTGGGGCCTGCCGGGGGAGACAGCAGCGGCGTGTCGAGCGGAGCTCCGCCGACTGCGCAGAACCCTTTGCAGTCGCCCGCTGCGGCTGCGGCAGGTGCTGCGGCAGCCGGAGCAATGGCCTCCCCGGCGTCCAACATGATGACCACCGCTGCGTCAAACGCCAACCCGGCGACAGCGCCCACCTCCACTCCGGCTGCTGCGTCTGTGCTGGTCTACCGAGAGCCGGTGTACAACTGGCAGGCAACAAAGAGCACCGTAAAGGAGAGGTTTGCGTTTCTCTTTAACAACGAGGTGCTCAGTGACGTTCATTTCTTGGTTGGCAAAGGGATGGGTGTTCAGAGAATACCAGCTCACAGGTAATTACCTCCAACATGAGCCTGCTCTGACGTTTAAACAAAGATCTGACAGCCCCCTCTCTCTTTGTTTCAGGTTTGTTCTGGCTGTGGGGAGCGCAGTGTTTGATGCCATGTTCAACGGAGGGATGGCCACCACCTCCACGGAAATTGAGCTTCCAGATGTGGAGCCAGCTGCCTTTCTGGCCCTGCTGAAGTAAGAACCAGACAGTCCAGCGTAACAGTTTACATTCCCACAAACCAACCCTAGTTTGTGTGGTTTCCTGCAGGTTCTTGTACTCTGATGAAGTCCAGATTGGGCCTGAGACTGTGATGACCACCCTCTATACAGCTAAGAAGTATGCAGTTCCAGCCCTGGAGGCTCACTGTGTGGATTTCCTTAAGAAGAACCTGAGAGCAGACAATGCTTTCATGCTGCTCACACAGGTCAGCTCCCATCAACTCAGTTTCCTTCATCATTATTTATTCAATTCATGTTTGAGTGTTCTATTATTTTTATAATTTGTGAGTAAAAGCAAGGTTGTGATTTCTGTTCCAGGCGCGTTTGTTCGATGAGCCTCAGCTAGCCAGCCTCTGTTTGGAAAACATCGACAAGAACACCGGAGATGCTCTCGCCGCCGAGGGATTCACGGACATCGATTTAGGTAAAGTGCCTCTGTACATATTCATGCCATTTCTACATTGTGGAATTACACTTTTAATATGATTTGTTTGCTTCTGTTTAGATACGCTGGTGGCGGTGCTGGAGAGGGACACTCTCGGAGTCAGAGAGGTGCGTTTGTTTGGAGCGGCTGTCCGTTGGGCTGAGGCTGAGGCCCGCAGGCAGCAGCTGCAGCCGACGCCCGAGAACATGCGTAAAGCCCTGGGAAAAGCTCTCACTCTGATCCGCTTCCCTCTCATGACCATTGAGGAGTTTGCTGCAGGTAAGGATGAACAAGCTACGTGTTTTTCCTCTGTTTTAGACATGCATAGATGCTGTGATTCTGAATTTAATCTTCGTCTTTGGGTCCTATCCTTCAGGTCCGGCCCAGTCCAGTATTCTGACGGACAGAGAGGTGGTGAGCCTCTTCCTCCACTTCACAGTGAACCCAAAACCTCGTGTGGATTTCATCGACCGTCCTCGCTGCTGCCTCCGAGGGAAGGAGTGCAGCATCACCCGATTTGGGCAGGTGGAGAGTCGCTGGGGCTACAGCGGAACGAGTGACCGCATACGGTAAGAATCCCGAAGTTTAGTCTCTTTTACTAATACTACTTAATGCATTATAAAGTATTAATAAACTAAGTAATCCTTCATTTACATTCCCGATATTGTTAACTATTGATCTTAAGGTTGGGACAAAGGGCCAGGGGTTATCTGTGTTACCAATACATTTAACTTGTATGTGTTTTTAGCTCAAACAGTGTACCACATACATCAAATGATTTAATAAGATATTTATTAGTTGTTACTGAATTTTATCTAAGAGTTGATTATTATAGACGACTAGTTCTAAATACTAAATTCCATCTGTCACACTTTCCTGATCATTTTCTTCACAGGTTCTCTGTTAACAGACGGATATTTGTGGTTGGCTTTGGCCTCTACGGCTCCATACACGGACCTACAGACTACCAAGTCAACATACAGGTACCACTCCAAGCACTGCTCCAGTATTAAGTTGTTTCTGATCATTTGGAGTGTTTTCATCGTGTTTGTGACATTTGCACGTGTTGTAGATAATTCACACAGACAGTAACACGGTGCTGGGGCAGAACGACACGGGCTTCAGCTGCGACGGTTCGGCAAACACCTTCAGGGTCATGTTCAAGGAACCAGTGGAGATTCTACCTAACGTCAACTACACCGCCTGTGCTACACTTAAGGTGTGTGACTCCTGAGAGCTAATTAAAGGGAGCCAGAATGTGTGTGTTCATCCTTTTTTTTTCTGTGCGTCACAGGGTCCAGATTCTCATTATGGGACCAAAGGGATGCGAAAGGTAACGCATGAGTCATCATCCACTGGCACAAAGACCTGTTTCACATTCTGCTACGCAGCAGGCAACAACAACGGCACTTCAGTAGAGGACGGACAGATTCCCGAGGTCATCTTCTACACATAGTCACCTCAGATACCACCACCATCTTCCATCAAATGTGACGGCTTGACACCAGCGTGAGGCCACACCTCAGCAGCTGTACTGAGGACTAATCTGTCAGACTTCATACTGTTCCCCTCCACTTAGTGCACAACCGTTAGCTGCATGGGAGGACTAATAGATTGGGGGGTGATTTAGGTTGCTACACAGGACAAAGACTGTCATCTTGCATACCGTATGTCCATTTTTGTTCTAGTTGTATCGGCTTCTGGCACAAACTTACCGCACCAGTTCCGCGAGGGATTGAGAGGTGAAAGACGTCATTCACTGGGTCTGTGTCGCTGCTTCAGATTGGCGGTATAAGGCTCGACACTGAATTAATCTACGTGATTCTCATCCCTGTACCTGGGAGCATCGGTACAGAGAAGAATCGCCCCCGTTTGAGTGTGCAGCTTATCAGATTTGCCAAGACAAACTCCTCGTAGCATTTAGCATAAACTAGACGTTCACTCGGCTCCACGTTAACTGTAACTTCCATAAGCTGATGGACCTCAAAGGCTTTATGAAATCTGGTCTGAATTGAACCAAACTTCATGGTAATCTTAAGATTAGGACTAAGATGAGCATTTTTCAGATTTTTATTCAATCAGTACAATCTGTGATATCTTGTCTTTGCTTCTTAGTTGCCTAAACCCAATATATGTTGCACTTCTTGGCCTTGCCTATGTTCATTTGGGTGTTCTATGGATGCACACTATTTCTTTTGATGTTTTTTAAGCTTTATTTCAAGTGTGGGTGGAGGACCTATTCCTTGTGCAGAAGCTGAAGGGTTGTATATTGAAGTGGCATTGATTAACATTATATATGTAACTTGAAATAAATATGAAAAAGTGGAAAAAAGAACTCAATATGTGGGTTTTTCCTTTCCTAAGTAAAAAATGCTGAATGGAACTTTGTTTTACACCTTTATGGTGCCTATGGCAGTGAGAAACTCACCAAATTACTGTGAAAATACTAACCTGCACCTTGAAATAACACTGATTTAAAGTAACTTTATTTCAGAGCCACTACCCTGCACATCAAATCATCTAAAACACTCTGCATTGTGGCCCTCAACGACCAGAACAGGTCTAAATGTTGTAAATTATAATATTCTCCATACGTGATGGAAATAAGTTAGCTATTTGTCCCTTTATGTCTCCATTTTTAGGTATGTGAATATTTACAGGGGATGTGGTATGTATTATTTTTAAGTTATAATAGTTTTACGATTGATACAAAATATGTTTATGAAGGTTTTGTTTGCACCAACTCCCTCTTAGATAAAACAGTTTCAGCAGTTTAGGGCTGCACAGTGGTTAGAGCTGTTGCCTTGCAGCGAGAAGGTCCTGGGTTCGCTTCCCAGCCCGGGATCTTTCTGCATGGAGTTTGCATGTTCTCCCTGTGTATGCGTGGGTTCTCTACGGGTACTCCGGATTCCTCCCACAGTCCAAAAACATGACTGTTAGGTTAATTGGTCTGTCTATATTGTCCTTAGGTGTGTGTGTGTGTGTGCATGATTGTTTGTCCTTTGTGTGCGTCTCTGCAATGGACTGGCTCTCTGTCCAGGGTGTACCCCGCCTGATTGCCTATTGACTGCTGGAGATAGGCACCAGCCCCCCCGGGACCCTACGTGGACGAAGCGGGTTCAGACAATGGATGGATGGAATTTCAGCAATTTATTTGATGGTTTCAGTACCTTCCAGAATGAGTTGTTTCAGGGCTCTGACACATTAAGAAAACAAGCTGCAGTTGGCCACACACACCCACCCCTCACTCAGGCTGCTATAAGCAGAGAAGCTCCAATATCTAGAAGGGACTCAAATTAATCTGCTCTTCAAGCAGCAGCTCTCTGTTGCATGTGAGATGTGGTTCTAATCTATTTTCCCATTTTGTGACATCACAAACAGACTTTTTCAAATGGCTAGTTTTAGGCACATAATTCCTAAAACCACCACTGACAGAAAATGGATGGATGGATTTTTTTTCACGTTTGGAGTGTTTGTAGAGGCAGTAGAGGCCCACGGGGCAGCACAAACTGATGCAAAAGGTGAGTTTTGCATATTATGTCTCCTTTAAATGAAAGAAAACCAAGAGAGAATCCATAACATGTTTGATCGTATCAGCTACTGTGTTACTCAAGATAAGATTGCTGGGGACTTTGGCTGCTTTCTCACTAACTAGATCGGTTTTTGCACATTACCAAGTCAACAAATGGTCCTGTCTGTTTGTTAGGAAATTAAAAACACACCAGGCATCAATAATAATAATAATAATAATAAAATCTCACCAGGAGATGAAGAAAATCAGGAAAAATCCTGCTGATACATGACGTGTATTATTTACTGTGATAGGTTTGTAAATAGTTTTGATTAGGCTAAAGTACTTCTACATTATATTTTGTTAATTTCACATATAGTAATACACAGGAACAGTAACTCACAGCCAGCAAAGAAATAAGCATTTTTCCAGACAGTAACAGAATTCTTATGTTATTTTTATTTAATTTTATTTATTATATCCACTGAACAGAAGTCCAATCCAGTAAGTTTAACGTCTGTTACACTTTATTGTGATTTCTGTGTATTTTTTTCTGGCCATGATCCATTTGAGTAAGCATTATTGCAGCAGAATCACAGTGCATTTAAACAGGCCCATCCTGGCAGATGAGTGGAAGGAAAGGAAGGGATTTGACGATGTGAAGGAATAAAAGAAAGTAAAGGAATAATTGCTTTGATCCAATTGCCTCCCAAACCTCTCACCCCCAGGCACTTGGTGTCTGGTAGCAGTGAAATGAAAAAAGTAAAAATAAAGCATTGTTTTTCTGCTCTGGAAGTCAATTCAACGTGTGCAATGTGTCTGTAAGCCTGTGCAAAGGGTTTAAAGTGCCCATGGGGTGAAGTTTGGTGCTTATTTGGTATTTTTATGATTCAGGATTAGTGTTATTTTTAAACTGATTTATTTTTACAATTTGTCCAAGTAGTTATCAAGGGCAGGTATGCCCTCTTTTAGACCCTTGCGTTTCCTAATTTCACCGACGACTTGGAAGGGTTTGCTGGTAGGGTCGCTGGGGTCTCCCTGCAGGATCTGCCAGTGATCAAAGACACACTGAGGGAAAGCCTGGCCCCCGGTATTACTGCGCAGGTCAGCGGTGAACCCTGAAGGGAAGAAAACATGCAGAAAAATCTCTTTTTGTTTACTTTTTAAAATAGTTTTGTTCTGCTGACTAAATAAATACCCTTTTTAAAAATTATTAATGCGTTTTTCCAATTAGGCATTAGACCAATTTCGGTCAAGAACTGATTAACAGACAAATTAAAGAATTCTGACATTTAAATTCTCAAAAACTGTGAATTTTAGTAAAGAAGTGTGAAATGAACCAACCTAAACTAAAATAACTCACCAAAGGATTCGTTGACTGGCAGGTAGGCTTTCACCACAAACATGGGAGTTCCCATAACTTGAGATTCCTCGAACACGTGTCCACGTTTCCTGTTTAGCACGCCGTAGATACCACCAACCACCTGCTCAGGGCACTGCATCAAGAAGGTAAATATGCAAAATTACAGCTATTATTGTATTTGTTAAAATGATTATGAAAGTACCATTAAATGGTCAATTTTAATGACTGCAGCTCATTTTATTATCAAATGAAGTTCTCACTCCTGTCCCGTTTCATGGCTGCTGCCAGCTGCAGCTCAGCACCAGAAGATTCTAGATGACAAGCGAAGATGAGCCATATCTTTGCCTCATAAGTAAAACAAAAGGATGCCGTGGCATTTTAGGGCTACGAGAAATAACGTTTGAGTCGCTCCTCTTACCGGATTTAAGATCTTTACAAAACAGTGCTGGTGCTTTGGCAGTCGGTGTCCCATTACAAATGCCAGTGTGGCAAGGTGGAGTAACGAGGGCCCGGGCGGGATTCGATACCCAGACTCCCGAGTGAGAGTCACGCACCAGTCAGCCAAAGGGACATCTACTTGGCCAAGTAGCCAGGGCGGATGATCAATCGGTACACTGTGACAGGACGCTCACACTCACTGCGTTTACATGCAGCCAGTAACCCTTTTAAAACCCGAATATTCACAATAACCCGGTTCTGCACGGCCATGTAAACACCGCCAAAAACCCGGATATGCTCATAACCGGGTTTTTAAAAACCCGGTTACTACACCTGGAGTAACCCTTTTCCAACCCGAATGTTTGGTCGTGTAAACGCATATCGGGATATCCCCATCAAAGCGTGTGTTCTGCGCATTCTCTGTTCGCAAGGAATCTTGGTCTTTTGAGTAGCGAGACGTCTTGTATGCGCCAGAACACCGGAAGTAAACAACAAGTTGGGAGCAACATGGCGAGTCGCGGTAAGAGCTGCTGGTGGGCCAATACCAGCACTAAAGCGCAAACAAACGCGGTCGCTATCTCTTCCGAACTGGGAAACATGTTGTTGTTTTCACGGATACCGGAACAAGAAGAACCGGAAATGACGCATATTGTGTCTGGACGTAGTCCATACGTCCTGACGCTACCCCAACGTCCGCATTTAAATCGGGTTATGCAAGCTAGGGGTAACTCTTTCTTAGGGCTGGGGGTAAACAATTATTTTTAAAACGATTATTCTGACGATTATTTTATCGAATAGTCGACTATTCTAATGACTATTTAGAAAATTAATCTAATGATTATTTTTCTATTGCACAATTAACAAAAACCAGAAAATCTCAAATAAATTCCTCAAAAAAAAAGATAAATTGTTACTGTAAGAGAATAAACACTACAGGCCTTCCATTTTGTATAACACTGCTTTTATTGTGTTGGTTGGTTATGTTCTGGTGACGTGTAGAACTTGGGAGTGCAGGCTGCTGCCTGAGAGGTGGTAGAAGACGGTGTCTCCATGCTGCTTTGTTTTGGTCACTTATGTGCGTGAGGCGAGTGGTCTTACGGGTTAAACCAAACTCAGGTGATATTTTACACTAAACCGAAAACCCACAACACTCTAAATGTAATAAAAGGGAGATCTACACCACAAAAAAGATGAACTCTAAACCAAAACGTAACAGCTTATCCCAACGCAAGAAGCTGTTAGCGAAGATGCTAACAGTAGCTTTACCAACGTTAAATTCAAGTTACCAAGTTTAAATAAACCAAAAACACCCAGCAGCAAACAGACCAGCACAGAGGAGAGACTGCTACCACCAAAACAGCTCTCCTCGTGTCTGAAAGAAGCTCCTTAATGAAGGGAGAAGCGCTCCCGGTGATTTTCTACATCTGCGATAGACACGAAGCAGCGCATCTGACCCCGGAAGTTGTTGTCCGTTGCCGGGAGACGAAGGGGCAAAACAGGAAAATAATCTAGTAGTGGACGGACGTTGTTCCGGGTCTTCGGTATTTGGCGGAGATGTTAGTGAAGGCGGAGAAGAGGGCGAACTAGAGGAAAAACAGGCAGATTCCTCCTCTATTTACAAACTCCTGGGGATGCAACAAGTGGGCGCGGTGCGTCGACTTCCAGATCTGACATCGACAAATTTTTAGAATCGAGCCGTCGACTTCGTCGAGGCTTCGCTACAGCCCTACTCTTTCTATTTATGCTTGTAAACGGGTTATTCTGATCAACTCAGAAACCCGAATACCGACCTTAACCCGATCATAACCCGGATATTGGCTGCATGTAAACATAGTCATAGTCACCCAGCACTGCAGAGCCGACTCAGCGCACATTCCACAACCCTACGGGCTCGCAGGTCGTAAACAACGATTATGTCCCTCTTTGGCTTTTTTGAAACAAAACAACCGGCCTCCGTGCAGCCAGCTCAGGAGGAAATCTGTTTCAGTGTAACCATCCTTCCAACATGACTAAGAAATTAGACTGTTCTTACATATTGTGTAAAAGACAAGTTTTGAAGACCAACCTGTATCTCCACCAGATAAACGGGCTCCATGAGTCGAGGCTGAGCGGTGAGCTGGCAGGCGTACAGAACCCTACGAGCGGTGGGAATGATCTGTCCTCCACCACGATGAATGGCGTCTGTATGCAATGTAACGTCATGGATGTCGAACCGGACTGCACGCATGTTTTCTTCACACAGTGCGCCCTAGAAGATGAGGACAGGGACGATTCTCAGAGCGAGCACATTAAAATGACTAAGCAATGAAATACAACATCTAAAACGTAGCACCAAATGAAATGAGTGATCCACCCACCTCTTTGGTTGCCCACTGGAAACCAGCCACAACGCTGTCCTTGATCTCATTGAGGTACTGAACTCCCTTCGTTACGTCTATCAGGAGGTTGGGTCCGGTTCCATCTGGACCGAAACACCAGATCTTCCTGGCTTCTGTCACCTCCCACTCGTATTTGTCGGCCAGGTAACGCGCACGAGCCTTAAGCTCCTGCCGAGCGGTGACATCCCCCTTCTCGATGTCTTCAGCAAGGCCATCTGGGAATGGACGGGACTTCATGAAGAGACGATTGTGCTTGTTAGGGGACTTGGACAGACACATCTGGTCTGATTCTTCGGTCACCGTCTCTCTGTAGGACACCACTGGGTCGGATTTCTAGAAAGAAGGAAGAAAACTTGTCAGAACTGAAACCCGCCGCAATTGTTTTTAAAGAGACACTTTACTGGTTGAGTCACCTTCAGTGGAATGCAGGCGTGGTCCTCCTCCAGGTCCTTAAGGCAGATCTCCAGGTGCAGCTCCCCGGCTCCAGCGATAATGTGCTCCCCGGACTCCTCGATGATGCACTGCACCATGGGGTCGGACTTGGCCAGACGTTTCAGGCCCTCTACCAGCTTGGGCAAATCAGCTGGATTCTTAGCCTCCACAGCAACTCTGACCACAGGACTCACGCTGAACTTCATCACCCTCATGTTGTGGGCCTGGAGATAAGAGTTTTTTGTTGTTTTCATGGGAACTCTATCTACTTTCACTTAGACTGCACAACACTAATATAAGAAAGAGATAATTGAACACTAGAGGTGTGTATTGGAAAGAATCTGACAATATGATATTCATCAGAATACAGTAGAGATGATATGATACATTCCACAATCCATTTTCCTCCGCTTATCCGGGATTGGGTCACAGGGGAAGCAGACTAAGCAGAGAGTCCCAGACTTTCATCTTCTTGGCTCTTCTAGAGGAATCCTAAGGTGTTTCCTGGCCAGCCAAAAAAACATAGTCCCTCCAGCGTGTGCTGGGTCTTCTTTTAGGTCTTCTACTGGTTGGATGTGTCCTGAACTTCTCACCTGGGAGGCTTTCAGGAGACATTCTAACCAGATACCCAAGCTGCCCCAACTGGATCCTCTCGATGTGGAGGGTGCAGCGGATCTACTCCAAATTCCTAGCGAATGATTGAATTTCTCACCCTATCTCTACGGGACACCCTGCAGAGAAAACTCATTTTGGCCGCTTGTATCTGCAACACTATTTCGTAGATCGAACGATAAATCGAGTGCTTCGCCTTCTTGCTCAGCTCTCTCTTCATCACGACAGATCGGTACAACGCCTTCAACTCTGTAGACGCAGCACCAATCCAACTGTCGATCTTCCACTCATTTTTCCCTTAAATCCCTGACCTGGAGAAAGCATTCTGCCCTTTTCCAACTCACTGAAACCATGGATACAATTGCAATACTTTGAAGCAAGACTGAATTTAATTTAGGCCAGACACTTTCAAGACAATCATGTTGTGTCAGGATGAAGGTGGTAAAATCTGCTGCCACCTAGCAATCAAAGTTTGAATTGCATAACGAATAAAAAAAGACATAACTAACATTTTTGCATGTAAATTCCCAATAAAAATTTATAGGTTTATGGATATCGATAACACAAAATATCCATATTTCTGTGTATCAATTATTTTATTACGTCCCTTTTGAACACTCTACCTGTTCATAGGTGGTAATGGTTCCAGTCTTAACCAGGAACTGGTCAACTCCAACCAGACCCACGATGTTGCCACATGGGACATCTTCAATGGGCTCCACATACCGACCCATCATCAGAATAGTCCTGCACGGACGCAGGGATAAAAAAGTGGCAGCAAAACAAAAAGGCAGAAATAGAAGCTTGTAAGAGAGTGTTCTCACCTCTGGATGGGTTTGATGTAGAGGTCTTCCTTCTTGCCAGGGGTGAAGTTTGGCCCCATGATGCGCACCTTCAGTCCTGTGGACACACAGCCAGAAAACACACGACCAAAGGCGTAGAAGCGTCCCTTGTCACTTGTAGGGACCATCTTGGAAATGTACATCATCAAAGGAGCCTTGGGATCACAGTTCTTAATACCTGAGAAGAAAGGTGAAACATTAGGTTCTGGTTGACTTGAAACACAAAATAAGATTCTGTTTTTAACGACGTCCACTGACCCATAGCAGCTTCATCGTCTCCTGGTCCTTCGTACAGCAGCTCACAGCGGTATTTCTGCGCGGTGACGGGTGAGGGGAGATGGATGGTGATCATCTGGAGCAAGGCTTCTCCAGCAGGCAGCCAGCGGCGCATCACAGCCTTGAGCAGGGCCTTGCCCTCCTTCTCCTTGTCCTCGGTGTCCAGCTTCACATCCAGCTTGTCGATTAGTTTGGCTGTTTCTTCCTTTTTGAAATTCATGATGGCATCAAACACCTGACAGATCAGCAAAAAGGCAAAGATGAACACTGATGTGGACAATAACTTAATGTGGATCTCTGATGAAGAACAAACATTTAAAAAATAAATCTTCGTCATCATTATGTTCATACCTTAAAAATGGGATCCAAAACAAGCTGGCAAAATGTTCGAGGGAACTTCTGACCATCAGGACCCGTGGCCGTCTTACTGAATTTACCGGCACTCGGATCAAAGTATCTAGAAGAAGCAAAGACATCTGTGAGACGTCTCAGCGGAAACTGCTGCTAGAGGGGACTAATGTGGTGAATAAGTGGATCTTCAAAGGGATCCAGGATGTACTTTAACGCCACCACTTCTGAACGTGGCCTTTGTCACACCTAGTTTTACTTTCTTTTTAGTTCTGTTGGTGTTAAATTAATAAGGAAGCATGTTGAAATGAAACTTAAACAGGACAAGAATAGAAAAGGTGTTTTTATTATTCCTCATTTGTATTAAAGGAATAGGAACACCGAACTTGAAGATTTGGGTTAAATGAGAAAAAGAGTTTCCTGCAAAAAATAAAGGGACAACCACACAATAAGTTTTAGAGTAAAAATGTGTTTTAAATAATTATTTTAAATGAATAATTTTTTAATATATTATATTTAATGTTATTATTATATATATTACTATAATTTTATAATGACAATAATGATACTGCCGAGTAGCTTCAGGCCCTATCAGACCACCACCCAGAGTGACTGACGTAACTTTAAAGGGAATGTATTATGATTTATTTTTTTTCCATAATACTGTAATTTCCGGACTATAGAGCGCACCTCAATATAAGCCGCACCAACAAAAAAAAAAAAGTTTTCTACACACACACGCCGCACTCAAATACAAGCCGCGGCGCAGCAGCCACATGCAGGTCTCCAGTGCACAGCGCATGTATGGCCATGACATAAGATAATTAGACAGAAAGACACTACACTGAGGTTTTTCGTCGTTGTTTTAATTCAACAAAATTAATTTTAAACACGGGTGAACGTGCCCGCAAGTTTAGAAAAGAAAACAGCACTGACAGTCTCGCATAAGACAATTTCAGCAGTTTTATTCTTGAAATTTTCAGCCCTTTCCAGAATGACTTGTTTCAGAGCTCTGTCACACTGGAGCTGGCCACGCCCACCCTTCCTCCACTCAGGCTGCTATAAGCTGAGAAGCTCAGATATCAGGGAGGGGCTCGAAGTAAAGACATTGATCCTCCAGCCTAGCTCTGTCCTGCAGGTGAGAGTTGGTTATATTCTGATTTCCCTATTTGTGACATCATAATTGGGGACTTTTTGAAACAGCTCGTTTTAGGCACATCATTCCAAAAACCAAATGCTGACAGAATGTAGATCGACTGGTAAATTGAGAGCTTCGCCTTCCGACTCAGCTCTCTTTTCACAATGGCAGACCGGTACAACGACTACATCACTGCAGACGCAGCACCAATCCACCTGTCGATCTCGTGCTCCAGCTTTCCCTCATTTGTGAACAAGACCCAGAGATACTTAAACTCCTCCACTTGGGGCAGGACTTCTTCCCTGACCCGGCGAAGGCATTCTAACCTTATCCGACTCAAGACCATGGTTTCAGATTTAGAGGGGGTGATTCTCATTTCAGCTGCTTCACACTCAGCTGAAAACACTCCAGCGAAAGCTGGAAATCACGTTCTGATGAAGTCAACAGGACCACATCACCTGTAAAAAGCAGAGACCCAATCCTCAGGCCACCAAAACGGACCCCCTCAACACCTTGGCTGCACCTAACAAAGGGCAGCCTCTTACCGGGAAAGAGCCCAACTTACGGCTGGCAATGCGGACCAAGCTCTGACACAGGTCATACAGGGACCTAACAGCCCCTATCAGAGGGCCTGGTACCCCATACTCCTGAAGTACCCCCCATTGGTCCTCCTGATGGAAGCGGCATGTAGATTAGTTGGGCGAACTCCCACGCACCCTCCAGGACCCGCCTAAGGGTATAGAGCTGGTCCAATGTTCCACGGCCAGGACGAAAACCACATTGTTCCTCCTGAATCCGAGGTTCGACAATCCAATGGACCCTGCTTTCCAGAGCCCCTGAATAGACCTCACCAGGGAAGCTCAAGAGTGTGGTCCTCCTGTAGTTGGAACACACACTGCGGTCCCCCTTTTTTTAAATCTTCTGTGTCCTCACTAGAAGATGTGCTGATGGGATTGAGGAGGTCTTTGAAGTATTCCACCCACCGATCCACAACATCCCAAGTAGAGGTCAGCAGCACATGAACCCCACTATAAATAGTGTTGGTAGTGCACTGCTTTCCCATCCTGAGGTGCCAGATGGTGGACCAAAAATTCCTCAAAGCCACATGGAAGTCTTGCTCCATGGTCTCACCGAACTCCTCCCACGCTCGGGTTTTTACCTCTGCGACCACCCGAGCCATATTCCGCTTGGACTGCTGGTACCTATCAGCTGCCTCTGGACTCCCACAGGCCAAAAAGACCTGATAGGACTCTTTCTCCAGCTTAACAGCATCCCTAACCCCTTTGGGGATTGTCGCCACAACAGGCACTGACGATCCTGCGGTCGCAGCTCTGGTCGGCTGCAATGAAGGCAATGAACATGGCTTATTCGGACTCAGTGCCCCCCGTCTCCCCTGGAACGCTTTGGAAGTTCTTTTGGAGATGGGAATTGAAACTCCTTCTGACAGGAGACTCTGCCAGACGTTCCCAGCAGAGCCTCACAATACGTTTGGGCCTACTGGGTCTGACCAGCATCCTCCCCCACCATCGGAGCCAACTCGCCACCAGGTAGTGGTCAGTTGACAGCTCTGTCCCTCTCTTCACAAGAGTGTCCAAGACATGCGGCCGCAGATCAGATGAAACAACAACAAAGTCAATCCTTGAGCTGCGGCCTAAGGTCTGAACATGGTGTTCATTATGGACAATCCGTGACGAGCACAGAAGTCCATTAACAATTCTATCTACAAATCTACATTCTTACCCTCACCTCATGGCCTTTGGGTAGTGACAGAAAGAACGAGATTGCAGATACAAGCGGCCAAAATTAGTTTTCTCTGCAGGGTGGCTGGGATCTCCCTTACAGATAAAGTGAGAAGCTCGGTCATCAGGGAGGGGCTCGGAGTAGACCTGCTGCTCCTCCACATCGAGAGGAGCCAGTTGAGGTGGCTCGGGTGTCTAGTTAGGATGCCTCCTGGATGCCTCGCTGGTGAGGTTTTCTGGGCACGTCCAACAGGGAGGAGACCTTAAAGAAAACTCACTGGTCTTACAGGGGCCTAACAGCCCCTATCAGAGGGCCTGGTTCCCCATACTCCTAAAGTACCCCCCACAGACCCCCCCCCCCCCCCCCCCACAAGAGCTGGCCCAAGTGGCTGGGGAGAGGGAAGGCTGGACTTCTCGACTTAGAAAATGGATGTATGGATGGACGGATGGAAATGCTGACAAAAATAGATGAAAGTGTTTGTAGAGGCAGTAGGGGCCCACATGGCAGGACCAAATAATGAAAAAAATAAGTTTTGTATAATACGTCCCCTTTGACATGCTTTCAGATACCAGTACGATCGTTCTGTGTGTGTTTCTGTAAAGTTCACCTGTCTCCCCACAGTTTCTTCATCATGTCCTCCACTTTCTTACACCTCTCCACTGGTGACAGCTGAGAGACTCCTTTAGCTGTGAACTTGGCCACGTACATCTCAGCAAACTGCTTCAATGTGAAAGCCCAGCCATGGAGCCCAGAACCGAACCCAACAGTACCAATCACAGGGTCGATCTGTGGAGAATTTAGACACAGCATTTAAAACATATAAAGTAACTTTATGAGTTTATTTTGGTGTGTGTGTGTGTGTGAGTGTGTGTGTGTGTGTGTGTGTGTGTGTGTGTGTGTGTGTGTGTGTGTGTGTGTGTGTGTGTGTGTGTGTGAGCTTCACCATGATATTCCCCATGGGTCCGCCCTCATCTTCCCCGTAGGTGGAGATTATAACGTTGACGTTCTCCACGATGCGCTGAAATGTTTGGTACAGCTCATCTGTTTCCAGCTGCAGCTCCAGCAAGGCCCGGTCCATCTTGTTCATCATCAGAACCGGTTTGATTCGTTCTGCAATGGCTTGTCGCAGCACAGTCTCAGTCTGCACGCACACACCTGTCGTAGGGAATAAACCGGTGAGCTGTTGAGAGTGCAAAAGGAGGGTTTTGGGAGCAACGTAGTTACCTGAAACACAATCGACCACCACCAGGGCTCCATCAGTTACTCTGAGGGCAGCGGTGACCTCAGAGGAGAAATCAACGTGACCCGGAGAATCTATCAGGTTAATGAGGAAGCCGTTTCCATCTTTACTCTGCTTGATGAACGCCAAGTCGTTGTCTCCAAGCTCATAGTACATGGAGATAGCCCTGAGTCATAAACAGAGAGAACAGTAAATACATGTAGGGCCCACCATCACAGTCTAGGTCAGGGGTCGGCACCCTGCGGCTTTGGAGCCCCAAGTGGCTCTTTAGGCCTTCTACAATGAGTCTTAATAACTTTGGCTTAAAAGGATTTTAAAAAATCATGTTTTCAAATATTATTATAATAAAAATTCAGTTTTAAACAGATTTTCAGTTCTTTTTATTACCTAATTATATTGACATCCCATAACAGATGTGGCTAAAAGTACCAGTAATGTGTTTGAATCTATTTATGTTTTTAATGTGTCGTTTCTAACAAATATCAACATCTCACAGAAAAAATGTCCATGCTTAATTTTTTCTTAAAATTTAAAACTTCATAATTGAAACAAAATAATGATTTTTAAAAAATAACAACAAAAATCATGAATTATTTTTGGTAACGCTTCCTTTTACAGTCCCCTAAATACTAAGTACTTACATGGTAATTATACAGTAAGTTAAAGTGTATTATTGTGCAGTTAAAGTGTATAATTGTAATAAGGTGTAATTATTGTGTAAAGGCATATTTACTGGGAATGATTAATAAAATAAAAACTAGAATTGAACCTGAGTTACATGGTAATAACTGTTTAAGAAGACAGAAAAAAATACACTTAACTTACTATGTAATTACCATGTAAGTACTTAGTAATTAGGGGACTGTAAAAGGAAGCGTTACCTTTTTTTTATATGGAAGAGGAAAGAAATATTTTGCGACTTTAATCACAGACGTTTTACCTTTTTCCTTTATTATTTATGTCATTCTCAGAAAATATGAGAAGCAGTCTTTTTCAATGACCATAAATGTTTCTCGATAATGATAAATAGTTTCTTTTCAAAAGGTCCTGTAATAGTTCTTTAAACTGGACGGTTGAAAATCCCTGTTCTAGATAATAAAAAGTTTGCATAAAACTTGTTTCTTATGAGCCAGAAAATGTATATTTACTAAAAACTGGAGTGACATTAAAGATTTTATTACACATTCAAGGATGTTAATCAATAATATTCGAAGCAGGTAAACAAAAATGTATATTTAATAGCTCCTATTAAAATGAAATGGGTATGCATCAGTCTGGATTAATTTAGAGAAGACCACAAAGGGTTTAAGAAGAATAAAATAATTTATCATAAATGCTAATTATTGACTTTAAAATGTTGGAGTTGATTCACATTTTCAGGTTGGAATATTGTAAACCTCTCTTAGGTTGACCGGGTGAAAAGAGGAATCCCAGACAGGTTTCTTATAATTTGGGATCATTTGTGGATTTAAATTTTTCTAATAACTAAGAATGTCTTTTGAAATGATTTTAGCATAGATAGGTTCTGGAGCAGATGCTGATCTGTTTACCTGCCATCCTACAGGTATAACCCAGACAGCTGCAGAAACACTCTGGGAATTAAACTGGAGATATGATCCAGATCAAGTCAGTTTATTTAGTGTTTCATGAGTGGAAATTTATGATTGTAAATTAATTCAGAATGTGTGAGAACTTTTAACTTTTAAAACCACAGCACTTTTGGAAGTGCTGGTTATCAAAACAAGAAATGATGCAACTCAGTGGTAAACATGCTGCTCTGCCAAATGTTATGAAACGAGCTGCTGGTATTAGAATTAAAATAACTGCCTTTTAAATTGTGTAAATTATGTTCCTAGATTTTATGAATTGAGTTTTATTCATCATTTGCAAATATATTAGAATAATATTTAATGTTTTTATAAATTCAAAGTTCTGCAACTGACTTAATTAACACAATGAGAACTATTGAAAATAAACGTTCATTTTTCCAAATTCAGCTCTGACTCGGACTATTTCTGACTTGAAGAGGTGTTGTGAAGATGTCTGACAGGTTGCACAACCAGCAGGTAGCTGTGCTGGCTCAGTTCCTTTCTCAGAGCCACGTACGTTGACTTGATGGTGATGCAGCGCTCCTGCTCGTCCTTGCGGGTGTCTGTGAAACGGGTTTCCCCGGCACGGGATGAGGCAATGATCCCCGCCTTGGACACCAGAGAGTCAGTCAGCGTGGACTTCCCGTGATCCACGTGGGCAATCACAGACATGTTCCTGATGTTGGACTTCTTGTCCATGATGGCACGGATCTGATCCACAGTGAAGTTCACCTGTTTGGGTGCAGGTTCAACAGCAGTTAGATCATTTACAAGCAGGAGTAGGTTCTATTTCTGTGTCCGAGCTGAACTGCACAGCCGTTCCTAGCAGAGTTATAAAAAGAAAGACATGTTTGAAACTGAATCTAAGTGGGAAGGCGGGTAGGCACAGCGTAAAGACTTTGCCTTATGGCTAAAGCAACGAATTTATTGAGTCAACATTCACATTTTGAAGCATGATGTTTCTAAATCTCTGCTTTAGATTTTAAGCTCCCTCTAACATATTATTATAATTTGATAATGAGGTAATCTATCTATCTATCTATCTATCTATCTATCTATCTATCTATCTATCTATCTATCTATCTATCTATCTATCTATCTATCTATCTATCTATCTATCTATCTATCTATCTATCTATCTATCTATGAAGCTACAAAATAGATGCCAACGTTTGCTTGAATAATAAATCCTATTAGGTATCTTACTAGATCAGACCATTCTGTTATGTTAAATTCAACATGTGGATGGTTTATTTTATCAAATAATAATGAATAAAATCACCAATTTAAATTATAAAACTGTCAACTAAAACCAGATATTGTGCTTTTTCCTATAACACAATGAAACCCTTCTATAAAAGCTCATCACAACCATAGATCTATCATGCAGTGCAGCTCTGCAGGTGACGTACTGCAGCGGGCCTGTGTGTAATTTTATATTTTAGCCCTTTGAATTAAACAGGCTGACGCAATCTCCGGTGATCTAATGGAAATCTAACGTACAGATTGTCTCAGTGGTGTTTCTGGAGCACCTGTGAGCCCTGCGGGGTTATCTACACGGCTCGGTGGTGGGATTCTGCTGTTATCCAACAGATAATAGCGGCTTTGCGATGAACGTCACAGAGAGGCCACAGCCCTGCTCCACCAGCCAGCTGCTGCGTAGCTCCTAGCCGAACACAGACAGCCCTGATCCGGTCACACAACACCACCGAGCCCCGCTTCTGCACCTGACAGGCTCCATCCAGGCCAGCTGGCTGCTCGGACACCGTTAGAGCTGCACGCATGACGGCCACAACCCGGCGGCTGACAAACCGCGTTTTCCTTTCTTTTGAAATATAGTTTTATTCGCAGCATCTAGGAAAGATTTAAACACACATTCATGCCGGACTGGTTTAAACTCACCATGTTTGCCTGCGGGTCGCGGATCTCCCTGACTGTGTGACGGGTTTTCGGTGTAAACACCGCCTCTGAGCTGCGGTCAAGTGAGCCAAAGACAGCGCTCTCTTACTGATGAGCTTCGCGCAAACATGGTGCATTACGGTAATAGAGCAGCTGGGGGGCCTGGCAGGCAACAAAGAGAAATAGCAAGGCATCAATATCCAACATTTATATTTATGTAAATATGAATGTATTTATTTGTAATGGACACTATATTTCGATTTCTAATTAAATAAACTCTTTACATTATACTTACATTTTTACATTAATTATTTTTTATTTACTACACCCATCCATCCATCCATCCATCCATCCATCCATCCATACATCCATCCATCCATTTGGGGCAGCAGTAGCTTAGGAGGGTCTGCTGGAAACGCCTGGCAGAAGAACCTGTCAAGACGGTCTTCAACTCCCACCTCCGGCAGAGCTTTGACTGCGTCCCGAGAGCAGTGGGGGACATTGACTGCGAGTGGGCCTTGTTCCACTCTGCGATTGTTGAGGCGGCTGTTGCTAGCTGTGGTCGCAAGGTGGCCAGTGCCAGTCGTGGTGGCAACCCCCGTACCCGCTGGTAGACACCAGAGGTTCGGGGAGCCGTCAGGCTGAAGAAGGAGGCCTACAGGGCGTGGCTGGTCTGTGGGTCTCCGGAGGCAGCAGACAGGTACCGGATAGCTAAGCGGGGTGCAGCAGTGGCAGTTGCCGAGGCAAAATCTTGGGTGTGGGAGGAGTTTGGTGAGGCCATGGAGAAAGACTATCGATCGGCTCCAAAGAGGTTCTGGCAAACTGTCCGGCGCCTCAGGAGAGGAAGGCAGCAACTCGCTCACTCTGTTTACAGTGGGGATGGGGAGCTGCTGACGTCAACTGGGGCTATAGTCGGACGGTGGAAGGAATACTTTGAGGAGCTTCACAATCCCACCAATGCGCATTCCGGAGAGGAACCAGAGCCGGGAGACCTGGGGATGGACTGTCTCAGGGGCAGACGTTGCTGAGGTAGTCAAATAAGTACACAGCGGCGGAGCCCTGGGGGCGGATAAAGATTCGTCCTGGGTATCTCAAGGCTATGGATGTTGTGGGGCTGTCGTGGTTGACACATCTCTGCAACATTTCGGAGTTCCTGTGGAGTGGAAGACCGGGGTGGTGGTCCCTGTCTTTAAGAAGGGTGACCTGAGGGTGTGTTCCAACTATAGGGGATCACACTCCTCAGCCTCCCTGGAAAGGTCTACTCCAAGGTATTTGAGAGGAGGGTCCGATTGATAGTTGAATCTCAGATTGAGGAGGAGCAATGTGGTTTTCGTCCTGGCCGTGGAACTGTGAACCAGCTCTATACCCTTGCAAGGGTGATGGAGGGGGCATGGGAGTTCGCCCAACCAATCCACATGTGTTTTGTGGATTTGGAGAAGGCTTATGACCGTGTCCCCAGAGGCACCCTGTGGGGGACGCTCCAGGAGTATGGGGTGGGTGGCTTTCTGTTAAGGGCCATTCAGTCCCTTTACCAGAGGAGCGTGAGTTTGGTCCGCATAGCAGGTAGTAAGTCGGACCTGTTTCCGGTGAGGGTTGGACTCCGCCAGGGCTGCCCTTTGTCACCGGTTCTGTTCATTACCTTTATGGACAGAATTTCTAGACGCAGCCGTGGTGTGGAGTGTGTCGAGTTTGGTGGCAGGAGAATCTCGTCTCTGCTTTTTGCGGATGATGTGGTCCTCCTAGCTTCATCCAGCTCTGACCCTCAACTCTTGCTGGGTAGGTTCGCGGCCGAGTGCGAAGCGGCTGGGATGAGGATCAGCACCTCCAAATCTGAGACCATGGTTCTCGACCGGAAAAGGGCGGCTTGCCAACTCCGGGTCAGGGGGAGAGGTCCTACCCCAAGTGGAGGAGTTTAAGTATCTCGGGGTCTTGTTCACGAGTGAGGGTAGGAGGGATCGGGAGATCGACAGGCGGATTGGTTCAGCGTCTACAGTGATGCGGACGCTGAACCGATCTGTCATGGTGAAGAGGGAGCTGAGCCAGAAAGCCAGGTTCACGATTTACCGGTCGATCTACGTCCCAATCCTCACCTATGGTCATGAGCTTTGGGTAATGAACGAAAGAACGAGATCGCAGATACAAGCGGCCGAAATGAGTTTCCTCCGTAGGGTGGCCGGGCTCAGCCTTAGAGATAGGGTGAGGAGCTCGGATATTCGAGAGGGACTCGGAGTAGAACCGCTGCTCCTCCGAATTGAAAGGAGTCAGTTGAGGTGGTTTGGGCATCTGGTCAGGATGCCTCCTGGACGCCTCCTGCCGGCAGGAGGCCCCCGGGTCGACCCAGGACACATTGGAGAGGTTACATCTCCAATCTGGTCTGGGAACGCCTTGGGGTCCTACCGGAGGAGCTGGTGGAGGTGGCCAGGGAGAGGACGGTCTGGAGCTCTCTAGTTGGGATGCTGCCCCCGCGACCCGGACCCGGATAAGCGGAGGAAGACAATGAGACAACGACGATGATGAGTAACTTAGGAGGTAGAGCAGGTTGTCCAAAAATCTGAAGGTTTTAGGTTCAATCCTGGCTTCTGCCAGAGAATGCTGCTGTTGTGTCCTTGGGCAAGGCACTCAACCCGCCTTGCCTGCCTGCTGGTGGTGGTCGGAGGGACCAGTGGCAACCGTGGAGTCTTACCTCTGTCAGTGTGCCCCAGGGCAGCTGGGGCTACATTGTAGCTCATCAACACCAGTGTGTGAATGTGTGTGTGAGTGAGTGGATGACTGATTGTGTTGTGAAGTGCCTTGGGGGGTTGTAGAACCCTAGGAAGGCACGATGTTTATGTATTTAGCAGACGCTTTTGTCCAAAGCGACTTACAAGTGATAATGAAGCCAGTAGGTTGCTCTTGAGGCTAACAACAAACACTAATCAGTCAAGGTGGCAGTGAGGCAGCATAATGACTCACCTTAAATTTCCTCCAGGTCATTGAGGTCTGCTGATCAAGAACTCCTTTGTGTCCCTAAAAGGAGCTATAAAGCTCGGGGACAGCTTGCTTTTACTTACGCTGCACCATGCACTCCCCCTGTCCATGCTCCAGTCTCCTTCACTGGTGCAATTCAAATCTGGCCTAAAGATTAAGTTCTTTCATATAGCTTTTGGAGATCTGGTCTGCAGGCGAAGCCGTCTCTCAGAGCGAGTTAGTGGAATTCTGATGCATCTGAAGACCGTAGGCCCCCTCAGTCTACACACGACTGGTCAAAAGATACTTCCCAGGTGGATTCTGGCAGACGGTTTTACATCTGATGAGTGGGTGTGTGAGTGAGCAAATAATAATCGTTGATTCAAAACGGGTGATGGTTGTTTGAGCCACTAAAATTATTCCACAGAAAAATCTGGTTTGATTCGCCATTAGATGGTAATTTTGCATGAGCGGTGAGCTTCGGAAGAACTCGGAGCTCTGACGGAACTGAGGAAATGAGAAGTGATTTCACTTTTAATGAAATTTTTGTTTATAAACTTTGACCAACCAGATCTGAGAAATTTGTATAGGTGTTTACCAAGACCCTCAGGCACTCCCCCTTCTGTGATGCTTAGAAAGCTCATTTCATTTAGTATATGAAGTAAATCTGTTAAACATTCATTTGTTAACACACTAATATTACTATGTGAATGCAGCTGATAACTTATTGATCAATAAATCATTTTAGATAGAACATTCATTGTAAATTGAAAGAAATCATTTTATGAGACCAAACTAAGAATTAGTGAAGTCTCATCTTTTGCATGAACCTTGGAGTTACAGCTTCTTGTAAACAGCAGCAGAAAAGAAGTCAGGTAATGGAATTGTTATGACTATCTTCCCAACGGAAAGGTTAGAAGCTGTTTTTTCTGGTTTGGAGACCAGACAGTCAAGATGTGGCACACTGTCTGTTGACCTCTGACATTGCTGTGGACAAATAACTTTGTTAGACATTTCTTACATTGCACTCCACCCGCATTTCCTGTTTGAAAAATGTGCCTAAAGGAGGCATTGACTGGAGGACCTAGACAGCAGTGCTGAGTTAGTAATTGGCAGCAAAATGGATCCTGTTAGCACTTTGGCTGCACCTAGAAAGTATCTGCTTCATACTGCTCCTATACCAACCACAAAATGTAACACCCGCATCAATGAGCCTGGTACCCCATACTCCCAGAGCATCCCACTACAGGACTCCCTGGGGAACACGGTTGAACGCCTTCCCCAAATCCACAAAACAGGTGTAGATTGGTTGGACGAACTCCTACACAACCTCCAGGATCCCCTTAAGCGTATGGAGCTGGTCCAGCATTCCACGGTCAGGACAAAAACCACATTGCTCCTCCTGAATCTGAGGTTCAACTATCTGATTTCCCCTCCTCTCCAGAACCTCTAAAAAGACCTTACCAGGGAGGTCCAGGAGTGTGATCCCCGTGTAATTGGAACACAGCCTGCAGTTCTTCTTTTTAAATAGGGGCATCATTATCCCAGTATGCCAGTCCAGTGGAACTGCCCCCAATGTCCACGCAATATTGTAGAGCTGCATCAATCAACACAGCCCCACAACATCCTTAAGGAATTCAGAGTAAATCTCTTCCACCCCCAGGGTCCACCACCAAGGAGCTTGTTGACCATCTTGGTCACATCAGCACCAGAGATTGGACCCAAGGTCTCCAGACTCTGCTTCCTCACAGGAAGACATGCCAGTGTGATTGAGGAGGTCTTCAAAATCTCTATCCACCAACCCACAAGTTGAGTTCAGCAGCAAATTGTCCCCATTAACAGCATTCGAAGTTCACCACTTCCTTTTCCTGAGATGTGGGATTGTGGACCAAAATCTCCTCAATGGAAGTCTTTTTCCATGACTTTGCCAAACTTCTACCATGCCCAGGGTTTTGCCTAAAGGACCACCCAAGCTGCATTCTGCTTGGACTCTGGTACCCATCAGCTGCCTGTGAAGTCCCACAGGCCAAAAAGACCTGTTACAGGTGTTGCTGTTTGTCCCAGAAATCTGATGCTGCAGAGGACAATCAGTGCTTTGCCTCCTCCTCCTCCTCCTACCTGCACAGCTGCACTCACTTGGACTGATCACCTCCTGAGCAACATAAAAGGGAGAGCTGCCAGGGGGAAGGGAGATACTAGTTCTGTGCCAGTTC